GCGCCGCTATTCAGTATAGTCAAGGGCATGACCTTTGCGCTTATCGAGCTGCCGTCGCTCGACCTGCTGGGCGCCGTGTGGGTAGGCGCTCTACCTGAGCTGCCCGCAGAGCTTTTAGATGACGGTTGGCGTGATGGCTGGGTCACGCGGCGATACTACTTCGTCCGGCTCGGCAGCGAGTGGGTCGGCGGAAGGATAGTCCATAGGATCCGGACGAGGATGGTCAATCAAACAATAGAGGACCCGGCCACGGGAAGCGCGGCGTGCGCGCTGTCAAGCTATCTGAGCCTGCATGAACTAGAGGAGCAGTCGGTCAGCTTTGAGATCACGCAGGGTGTTGAGATGGGACGGGCCAGCAATATCCTGATTGACGTCGAGGTTAGCAAGGGCTTGGATGGGGCAAGGAAGCTGGGGACGCTACACCTTGGGGGAAGAGCGGTTCCGGTCATGAGGGGCTCCATAATGGCCTAGCGATGAACCGCTGCATCGTAAAGCCACAATATCAAGAGGGCTCCTAGGGAGTGTATTAGAACGGATGCATCCATAGCTTGCAGATAGCTAGCGATCTGCATCATGTAAACCTGAATTAGGACGACGTAGACGCTAGCAGTATTTGTTAGCCTAGATCGACAAATTTTATATGCAACTTAAAGATTATGTGTACTGTACCCGTGCGCGTAAGTATGTAGATGCTTACAAGGAGGAAAGGGCAACCACTATACCCGCGGGAATTTCTGTTTGTATATAGGGCTCGTTTCGGTCAAAAAGAGGTGAAAGTCATGTGGCCCAGGACCCATAGTTATTATTATTTTCATTGCATTACTGTATATGTAACGTCGCAGGCATAATGCTACTCTCAGTATATTCTTAATGAAGACAGGTGGGAAACAATTGAAGAGTGTAGGTGGTGACACCGATCTCCGGAAGTGCTATACAAGAGGTGAAACATACACAATTTGATTTACTTACCTCATACATTGACGTTGGGAATTAGAATCAAGAGGGGCAATCTGAAAACACTTCTACAACCGTCCTTAGTCGTACCAGATGTAAAAGAAGCCCCGTCCGTGACTATAAGAACCTAGGCCATTTTTATTATTTACCCGTAATTCTATGTTTTTATTTGCTGGCTTACCAGGTTCCAATGGCCTCCGAGCTTCACAAAATCTTGATCCTTCATGGTACATCACCTGAACACATGTGGGGCAGGAGCTAACAATTCCAGGTCACGGGCAATCGGCAGAAATCATCGAGCCGAAAGCCCGCTACGTGCGAGAAGTGTTTCGCAATTTATCAGACGACATAAAGTTTGAGTTTCAATTCTTGTCTGGTGTCTTACCAGCCTATATAGATGAGGATGACAGCAAGGACCAAAAGGTATGGGGTCATGGGGAACCAGAGCACGACAAAATTCGCGGATTGGAGAAAGCTCTTGAGTATCTTCAGTACCTCGCCCAAGACGGTCAAAAATTTTGTATGCTGAAGGTTCATCTGTGGAAAGGCTCTCTCCGCTGCTGCGGAATTCGCTAGGGTATCGCAAAGACGACGGGCAAAAGGAGTAAGAATAGGAGCAAAGTCCGCCGATAAGTGGATCTTAAAGATAAGTTCTTTTTCTCTATATTTGAATGCTTCAACTTACGGGTTTAAGCCAAAAGAGAGATGGAGAGTTGGCCTTCCAGCAAGAAGCATTATAAAATGCACCTGTCTTCTGACGGAGCGACAAAGTTCGTGCCAAGCAGACGAGCCTTGATCTTCGTTTTGAGGAGGCCGTAGACACTTTCAATGTGATATCGAGAGCTCTCGTCAATTTTTCCAGGGACAAGTGGGGTCAAGATGATAAGCTACCCAGTGTATAGGCTCTAGCTGACGCGTTATACGACTTTGCCAGCCTATGCCATCCAGATATGATAAAAAGTCATCCTTAAGGGATGTTTGGGAAGCTAGCGTTCGCAGACTTTCATGGAGATATAACCACCGTTGCGTTACCTCCATAAATGACGAGTTCCGAGCTTCCGATTCCTTCTGAGCTATATGCAGAGGCTTAAGTATCTTGATCAACTCCTCTAGTTGCCATCTGAAAGAATGAGAGTTAGCAGTCCGGACGATCTCCCTCCCCCTTATAGTCGAAGCAGCAGGAGTTACGAGAGCCCACTCGCAGATGTGCTTCCTGGCAATCATGAAGTGATGACAGCATATTACATCCCCTACCAAATGTTCCTTCCCACTCCACTTTTTCGGGTCCCCTCTCAAAATATATATATCACTTGCACAGTATATAGCACCACCATTTTATGGTCTATAATAATATAATTAAATTTCAGGGTTGCTTAATAATAGCACTTTCAAAAATTCGCTTAATATTTTGTGTAATACCCCTTAGCCTTCCGCACTGCCTTCAAACATCTTCCTATGCTCAATATTAGCGCATCTATCTTTGCCTAATCTAATGCCTTCTAAGCTTCCACCAGGCATTTTTTAAAATAATGCCAGTCTGCCTCCGACCTTCCTATGCTAATAAGCTCCGGATATAATGCAAAAAGCTTCACTTTTAACTAGCGCCATACCGGTTCAATTGGGTTCAAATCGGGTGAGTGCGCGGGCCAGTCTTCGACGTATACTCCGTGAGTTTCAAACCACTCTTGCGTGTCCTTCGCTAGATGAATCCTCGCGTTATCTTGCTAAAATACTAAATTAGGGGTATAGATTGGCATCAGACCTTTTTCGAGCGTCGAAATATACGACTTCGCAGTATAACCCCTCCCGACCGCGATTCTTTGTCCCGTTCCATAATTATTAATTCTGTTCGACCTCCTAGCCAGATTCCGGCCCAAACCATTTATGAAATATCTTTAACGTGAGCCTTAGCATTCACAAGGTCCTTACGAAGGCCCTCTAAGGTTATACGAAAGCACCATTGTGGTCCAAAGTTCGAGGTTCGTTGCACCGAACACTCGTCCGAGAAGATCCACGATTAGAAGCTTTCGCGTCGCCATTTTCGCGCAAATTTTAGCCTCTTCCTTATAAGAGGAGGCTTAATTAGTATTTTCTGTTTCGATCGCCGTTTTCCGAGTCCGAATCGCTTTAAAATTCGACGTATAGTGGAGGGTGACGGATACTAAGCTATGGCAGCACTTAGCTGTTTATAGGTCCAAAACGGATACCGACGTGCCTATAAATAGAGATAAGAGCAAGCGCGCTCACTAATAATAGCGGGACGACCGCTTTTTTCGCGATTCTCTAGCTTTTCGCCTTCTAAATAGCGTTTTAGCGTATTGTAGATTGTACGCCGAGAGCAGCCAAAGTCATTAGCTAATTGCACTTGCGTAGCGCCATTCTCGTGAGCATAGATAATAGCTGACCTTTGGGACGTAGATAGCTGCGCCGTTTTGCTACTTTTTGGTCCTAATTTCATTGCAATTGGAGCAATAGGGGAGGTGTAGGAAGAAAAATAAAATGGTGGGTTGGTTGTTGGGCCAATATAGTGGGGCGGAGTGGGAAGGAACATATGACTAGTATCTGTATATTGCGTTCCCCATCGTGTAATGACCGACGCAATAAGCGCCTTTCTATAGCCACACTTCTCAATCTGCTTTGCTTACATCCTTGCGGACTCAAGTGGTGAGTGGTGGAAGAAGACAACAACTTCAAGGGCAGACCTAAACACCTCTTACGCCCGTGGAACCTTTGAGGGCTTAGGATCGACGATATCCTTCATAATTAGCTGTAGGCCGTGAGAGCCACAAGGAATCATAAAGCAGTGTCTGAGTTCTGGGGTTGCCTCCAGTTTCTCCCAGACTGATCTCATGATATGACATGTGTCTGTCGAAATAGAATTGATCCTCTTCCAGACAACGACTTTGTCTAGCTGCAGTAGGATGCCTTAGGGTCTGTTTAAGATCCAACTACTAATAGCAGGAGGATAAGAGTCTTGTCTTCCATGTCATTAAGTTGAATAAACCACGACTTCGTAGGTGTTGTTATAGTCATCACAATCACCCGCTAAGATCGCATGTTAGTGGTCTCATCCACCATCACATTCAGGAACTAGCTTCTTTGCAGCTCCGTTAGCACCTCCTGATGTAGTCCATTGTACGCTTCATCTAGCAAATCATCCGCGACACGGCGTCGAGATGGGACGGTTGACAACAATCAATGAACAGCTGAAACAGCGATAATGTAGCAACAGCAAACAGCATATCGGGGCTTGTAGTGTCTGGAGGCGCCGATTACGCACCTAGGAACGAGGCGTCGCAATTAAGTAGTGTTTACCTCAGTTTATCAGTTGCAATATTACTATTATTATTAAATCAAGTTTATTGTACATACCGAGCCCTAAAACTATGACAGACCGAGTTTCTGAGACTGGGTCTTCTCGCGCCATGTTGGGCTACTTTCACACCCCAGTTTCCTCATAGTTCCTGGGCATTACACCCATATTAAGACAATCCGATCCTTTTCCTCGCCCCAAACCGTCTATCTATGCAGGACTTTTGAGCCAGCGCTCCTCTTTTTCCCTTGCAGAATAGGTGTTACCTGGACTGGACATAATTGGTCACTTCAGCCTGTGGTTTGCACTAGGAACCCCGTGTGAGGGGTCGAACACCCAATACGAACGCCACACAGCGTGTTCTAAGAGACCCATGACAGGAGGCGGTTCAGTCAGGACCCGGAAAATTTTCGGGCAAAGCCAGCCGGAAAATCCGCATCACAGGTATTCCGAATTGACCCGGTTTACCATGCAGAACATATTAGTAATAGAGAATCCACTTCACTGAAGCCTAAATCTCGTCTAAGCCGGCTTTGAGGAAATGTAATTGGCCATATCCAGAGCAATGCTCGTGTTGGGATTGATGAAAACAATAAGATATAAACACTACGCCTTCTTCCTCATTTCTCATCTATGTCCCTCCATCACCCTAAGGCTGTAAATTGATCTCGATTTCTCTGAAAGAATAAGTTCCCTAAAAGCAACGGGAAAAAGACGGGAAAGAGAAGGAAGCATGGCTCGAGTCCTCCTCACTGGTTTGTATTTCACTTCAAGAGTGAAATTTACGAGGGCCGAGCTTCAACTGACAGCACTACATAGGCGGCAACGGATTTCTTGCAAGCCATATTCTTGATCTCCTCTTGGCGCGAGGGTAATGCAATCCTCCCTCCCCACAACAATTGTTACCATGTTAATCTTTTATGTTCGTAGACAATCAGTGGTGACTACTGTCCGTAGTCATGAGAAGGCGGAGCAGATCCGCGAACGCCATCCATATGCATCTACCACTCAGCTAGGAGTTATCATCGTTCCTGACTTTATAAGCGCTGGTGCTTTTGATGAATGCTTCAAATCCGATGCGTCCTTTGATGTGGTCATGCACACTGCGTCTCCTTTTCGCTACTCCATAACTGATATTCAGGGAGAGCTCTTGGATCCTGCAATCATTGGGACTATTGCATTGCTGGAAGCAATTCGGAAGAATGCACCATCTATCAAGAAAGTGGTACGCTTCCCGCATCTGAGTTTACATAAAACAGAGTTGGCTTCAGTCCCCCGGCATGTTTTTAACTAGTTGCAGATCGTAACATCTTCTTTCGCATCGATCATCAACGGCTATAAAGGGAACAGCTGGGTGGATCATATTTATTCCGAGGAAGATTGGAACCCAATTACCCTTTCGGACGCTCATTTAAATCCCCTCAACGGATATAGAGGTTAGCATTCACCTCCTCGTTTGACCGATGTTCCTATATTTGAACTAAAAGCTTCGATCTAGCAAGTAAGACTTTTGCCGAGCGAGCATGTTGGGAGTTTGTTGAGAGAGAGAACCCGCCTTTCTCTCTGGTTACGCTATGTCCAACATTGATGTTTGGCCCCGTGATACACCCACTGCGCAGTCTCGACAAACTCAACACATCAAACCAGCGGATCCGTAATTTTATGGTAGGCGAATATAAAGCTGAAATCCCAGACACAGGGACATCGTTCTTCCTCTGGGTAGATGTCCGTGATGCTGCTTTGGCGCATATAAGAGCGATGGAAGCTTTAGGGGCCGTGAACCAGAGATTCTTATTGACTGCTGGTTACTTCTCCAACAAGGAGATCTGTGAAGTGATCCGAGGATCCTTCCCTGAGTACAGACCGCAACTCCCAGAACAAAACACGGGCGGTGGTGGGTATCCGAACAAAGGACTTTACGGTTTTGACAACTCCCGAGCGACCAAGAAGCTTGGCTTGACGTATCGAACCTTGTCCGCAAGCATTACTGACACTGTGATGTCGTTACAAAAATTGCAAAACTGGGAGAAAATTACTGCATAGTTTTGAATGACAACTGTTTTACTAAGTATCTTAATTTACTAGTCGTCTCATATATTAGATATGTCTCTGCTTCGGAAAATACTAGAATAAGTAAAAGTAAAAATCCAGCTTGCTATTTCTTGACCTTGGAAAAGTCTAATCCCCACAGGTGCGCAAGGTTCCTGCCCATTTACTCACATCCAACTAAGATAGATACGTAGTAGTCCTTTTTCACACTTACCATATCCGGCGCTATCTATTAAAATTACTTGAGGCCGATGTGATGAGATTTTTTTCGCGTCAATGTTGACGGTTTTGCAGGCTCAACGATGTGTCAACAAGCCACAGAGACACGCATGAATGTATTAAATTGCATAACCTCGAAAGTTTCAGCATTGTAGTCTATTTCACCGTTGGGATGTGGAATTATCAAAATGACAAATTATCTACTTTCAGTCCCATGGCTCGCCATTAATGTCTATCTGACGTTACATTCTCCACCCTCTCTGACAAACCCGTCTTAATACTTCAGGTTCTACTTGACAGTCAACGTTGGAATTGCTTGCACTCAAAGGTCTCACTATACGGCATGGTTGTTGGTACAGCCGGGCTTGGCAATCAACTCTCTCAACCAGAATCAGACAGTTGATCCAATGGCTCGCCTACTAGTTTAGCCTTCTTGCTTAAGTTGCGGAGGTTGCTTCAATTATCCGTGAACAGACGAAGGTTCAAAGCTCAACAAAGTCCAATTGAGTGCCCTTCACTTTTTGCCACAATTCAACTGTCTTCACGCCACCAGTATTTGAACAAGCACCAGGTCCTCACGAGGTGCGACAGGATGGTCAGAATGAGAAGAAAATAACCTCGTTTTCTGGTTAGAGGCGCACCGCGCACTGCCGTGGACGGCTCGCTCTCGCATATTTTGAGCAATTTCGGCTGAACCGGACTGTGGAATCCTTACGAGGAAAGAAATACCACCTTCTAAGAAAGCGGCATCTTGGTCGAGCCAGGCCGTCTGGGCGAAGCCCAGCTCGAAATGCCGGAAACACTCACGACGCCTGATAGCCACCAGCAATACGCGACACGATCTCTCGGACAGAGATTCTACTGGCCAGAATATTGACCGCTGGCTTCAGGGCATTCCAGAGACTGAATCAGATCGTTCAAAGAGCCAAGTAACTGCCTTAACGGAACATTCACTATCGTGTATGGAACAAATCCCCTGTCTTTTGCTCCTTCCCAGCTCATCTCGTCTTACAGCCCACGAAAGGCGTACGTCGAGCCACCACCGACGGGCGGAAAATCGATCACTATCCAAGCTTTGGAACCATGTACACTGGGTCAATTGCGACGCTCTTTCGTGCACTCTTCTTGACCTTGTATTCAGATGCCCTGCAACCATTATCAGCTCAGTTGTCATCTCATGTTCATGGGACCGAATGAACGAAAAAAGACATGTCAACTAGAAAAACGTACTGTCTCTGATTCACAGATCTGGGAACAGTAAGTCAGAATGGTGCAATGGAGAGAAAACGGCGGCAGCATAATAAATATCTGTGATTCGACTTACTGTACTGTGTCATACTGATGCTTTTTTAGTGTGCATGATAAGCCGGAGAGTACTATTCTTAGCTGACTGGAACTGCTGTCAGCCTCCCCAGCATGGCTATCCCCAAGATATTTCCCGACTCGAGACACCGCGGTATCTTGAGGGGTTTGCGAAGAACGGTGGTGTTTCTTCCTATTTAAAATGTCTTTCTTGTCCAGCAACTCCATGGATTCGATGGTAGACTGGCGGGGTGAATTGCCTGTTTCTAGGCAAAAACGAATAACCATTGTTACGAGAACTTGATGTCGAGATTCAAAGGTTAAGCAGGGTGCAAAGAGAAGCTAAAACCTTGAAAAAAGAAATTTATCGGCAATAGCGCCAACGGTCAATTTGGGGAACGGTCAAGTGGGGGGTGGGGGTTGATCCACGCGCCGCAAGAAGAATATTAGCCATCTCTCATACAGTAGAGGGCCTAGGCTCTGCTCCACGCGAATCCATAGAGAGTACCCATTCAGCAAGCGAATCCTGTTCTAATTGTGTCAATTTATAACCATGCCCGCGTGTATCAGCGCGTGAGGTTCTTCCGGTGGTGCGCGCTTGAAGCGTGGCGAAGGGATGGCACTTTGTAATGAGGTATTCTTCTGTCAGGGTGAGGTCTTCCACAGCGGACGGGTAGTCCTGGCACAGGGGTACATTCACTAGATTCCTTGTAGAGGACTGAGGAATAATGTCTCGATTGAGTGAAGTGTAACATGGTGAGTAGAGATCCTAAGTGTCTTAATGCCGGCCGTAGGAATCAAGTGTTCTAACTAATAGTAGTAGTAATGGATCGTCCTTAACAACATGATAGACATTAGCGTCGGGCATAAATTTCCTACATAAGCAATAGATGGGTCGGGTGCCACCAGCAGTGGGTAGACACGTCCAATAATATGACGACGAAGGGGTAAAAGTAAAGCCATGGGAAGCATAAAAATGAACCATATTGACTACCGGGTTACTTCCTCTATAGTACTAGCACAATCTTCGACATGAAAGAGATGTAGACTAAGGCCGCGGAGGAAAAGGAAGAAAGGGAGGGGGCTTGGATCAAGCCAGATCGCCAGATCTCCCCACCCGTTTAGATACCTTCCTAGAACATTGGAAGGTGTTATAAGGGAATTTACAATACCGATTACCACGAAAGCCTGACACGTTCATCCGAGAATCTCCTGAGGAACGGGAAAGGAAAATATCATTGGAGATTATTCTTGGCAGCTTTGCGGTAGCTTCGCATGTGGATTCTGTCCCAGGGCCAGCATGAACGTCGGACCAGAATCTCAGATCTCGGCACAGTAGAGACTTACCTGGCAGTAGGGAGTGACACCCCATTCCCCTTCCAACTCCCGCCAAAGCCTCATTGAATTGATCTGACAATTATATAGGGGATATTGTCATTTAGGAAACAATCGGCCAGACAATGATGCTCACAGCCGTCGTAACCGCCTGCGTCCCAACCCTCTGCCACATCTTCGCGGCCTACACTCTAGCCTGACCACAACCTAGATCCCTAATAGGATCGAGCTCGAGCTCCTGTAGACCAAGGCTCAAAATGTCGAGATGCATGAAGCCGAAGACATGGAGTTGGCGATGCCCTAATTACGGGGTAATTAATTCGGGTTGTTGATGCCTTTCTAGAAATTGAAGTTCAGCTAGTGGTTCATGAGGAACGGTGGTGACTTAATTTTACTAAGGGGCTGCACACTAAATGGAAGTACCTAGCGTTCATGACCGCCGATTCTCGGGGCATGTAGTATTGCCAAGAAATGCATGCATTTTTACCGAATAATGCATTGGAAATACAATTACTACGCCTTTACCTAGATAGGTTTAGCGTACATTTGCTGGGGTCCAATTATTAAATATGGGGGTCCTTTTATTGTCTCCCTATTTCTATTGCTACCCTTTTGTGATTCACTAGTGAGTGTTACGGTGCATGACGGGCAGAAAATGGCCTGGTCGGAACATGTGACCGAGAGCTTTTTTTCTAGGGCAATGTATACTTAGCTTCTTTCCTCCCTCGTGCCTCTCACGCCGAGTTAATCATCAATACATGGCCTCTTCCATCTCTTTGTGAAGAATCGCCAAGCAGTCCCCACCCCCCAAATAGTTATCAATCATAGACACATATCTGTCTGACAGGCCCACATCTTTGTTATATCAAAAGACACCGTGTTCGATGGAATATAAGCGCTGCGATCCGCAGGTACCGCTTCGCTCTTGCAAACGTATGAGCCATACTTACTGTCACTGCTTGTTCCCTTGATGTTATCACCATCTATTGTGAAAGTCGAAGTCTGACCGCAAAAGGTTGCTTTCGCTCCATCGACCATGCCACCCTTATTCCACGTGCCTTTGAGATACGCAGCCTCATTATCAGTTGTGACCATCATTGAGTTCCACTTGTGACCCTTCTCGCATGTGAATCCAATAGGACATTCGGAGGCTGACCAGTAAACCATTGCAAGGGTAAATCCCGTGGAGGTAGACTGGCTGGTTGAAGACGTGGTAGTTTTTGTGGACGTAGTTTTGGTGCTGGTAGTCTTTGGCGTAATTGTGGAAACTGTCAGGGCCGGGGTCACTCCGCAGACAAGGAACGTGGATTTGGCCGCATTGGTCTTCGTGGACAGAGACACGCCGTATCCTCCATTACATGAACAATAAGAAGAGGAGCTGGTAGTCTGAATAGCACAAGAAGTAGCCGAGATAGCAGTGGCGGTGGTCTTTGTAGTGGCGGTGGTCAAAGCGACGCTTGGTGCCGTAGCTGACGCAGTGATGGTTGTGCTGTTTATCATAACAGGATCCATGGATGTATACAGCGGGTTCAACGAGGACGCTGCAGAGTAAGCGTCGGATGTTAGAGCATCATCTGACTCGTAAAGTAAAGTGGATGGCCAGCCGTCTGCATCCACGGTGCCGAGCGAGAAGGCAGTGAACCCGGTAGGCTCACAGCTCATTGTGAGAGACGTGCAAAGGGTTACACAGGCTGTATCCGACTCTTGTGCGCAGGCATAGTCGCAAACAGTCGTGACAGTAGGTGTGGCAGTTGCGCTACATGATTCAGAAGTGGAAGACTCTTCTTCATCGGAGCCACCACCCCCACCGTCTTGAAGACATTCTCCTAAAAGCAGGAAGAACTAAGTCAGTGTCCTGTATGATAGAGAAATGGTAATCTCGTTGATTGAATTTACCGTCACCGCATCCAGGGCCACACCCAAGGAGACCACAGCCACCGCCGCAAAAGCCGAGACCACAGCCTCCATCGCATCCAAAGAGTCCACATTCTCCACTGCATCCAAACAGAGCACAATTTATAGATCCACAGCCACTCAGGTCAGAACCTGAACTACACCCTCCATTTGAGGGTGCTTCTCCGTCAGAATACGTGAGTATAGGAACAGACGTCCCTGGGGGTTGAATTGACGTCGCCGTGGCCTCCGGAGCTACTGTAATAACGTGCGAGCTGGTGAAAAAGCTTGCAGTGTCGGCAGTGTATGTGTTGCTGGTCATGGCAGCGGTCGTGGTTGAGGCAATAGCAACGCCTAATCGAGGTTAACGATATCCAGAGCGTCTGCTCCTCGACAACTCACAATAGTATTCATCAACCCAAAGCCCCGAGCAATCTGATCCAACGGCCGGATTCCATTCCTATGATGAGTGAGTCAGATACCACTATACATTCTTTTAGACACCGCAAAACATACGACGAATTGTGCTAGTGTAATGCTGTACACACTGGCAATTCCATAACATCCATCGCCTGAGACCGCTTGATAAAACTCTTTGCAATCAGATACGATACCGCTCTGGACAGCAGCAGGTGTTGCGACTGATGCAGTAGCTGATGGTACGGTAGCATTTGCCGCACTTGTTGTTGTTGTGGAGGCCGCGGCCAGGATGGAGGTGTAATCAGTGTGGAAAAGAGGGAAGGTAGCCTCAGTGCCAGGCAGAGTTAAACCAAAGGTGGGTGGAGCAATGCTCTGCTTGGGGCTCAAGAAAGCATCTCCACCGGTGCTCGTAACAGTGATAGGCCAGAATGGGATCTCATCGATGATGAATGGAGAGACAGCTATTATCGTCGTCTTGGTCAATGTGGCTCCGTCTGAGCTTGATGCAATGGTAGTCGTATAATCCGGCCAGGAAATTGTTGCCGGAGTAGAAAGTGGGAATGGAGGTAGGATAATAGTGCAAGGCGGCTCGCAGGAAATCTCGTTGGTACCATTGGTCCAGAGATCAGGTCCGATATAAATATCTTCACTTCCTCCATCAGAACCATCGTCACCCGGGAATATACTAGTTTCCCCAGTCAGACCATCTGCCGGAAAAAAGATTAGTATTAGAAAAGGTAAGAAATATTTGAAAGGTTCAACTCACTGGTTGCAGTCCCATCGATGTCCAAACTGACAGCCCAGACCATTGTTCTGAAAAAGGTTGGTGAGCACATTATCTATAACATTTTTGGAGAATAGCATCTCACGTACCCTCCAATACAGTGGGAATTCGCGTAGTCCATCTTGGCATCAAATGAAACCCAGTTATCATAGCTGACCCATTGGTTGTCATCAAAGGTAACGATCTGTACCGCAGCAGCTTCATCGTAGGTCTGCGTAGCTCCGCGACTCTCATCCTTCAAGATTGCTTCAATTTCCGAGAATGAGAGCGTACCAACACTGTTCGTACAAGGCCCCGCATTACCTGTCAATATAATGTCAGAATCTGCTTTCAACGTAGCCTTCCAGCGTCGATGTGGCTTGGTTCCTGCGAAGGGAAGGGTTACATACCAACCGACGAAAAAGGACATCCTGCAGTGACACAAGACGTATCATTCAGAGTGAAACCTGCGAAGTTGTGGGTTTAGCACACTTGAATTCTTTCTTCGGGAGTCGAATTCACTTACTTCGGCCGTAGAAGCCCAGCCCCATAGTGACCTGAGAAGGTTCAATATCATTTCGCCACAAAAGATCCATCGCCATTTTGATTTCCGTCAGGTTGGTATGTGCGTTAACAATAGAGCCGATCCAAGGATCATCTGCATCCCAACCACCGTCTAAGAAAATAATCAGCCTCGAACGCTTTGTCTGTGCTGTATGCACGGAGTGTTAATACGTACGGAGGTCATAGGTCATCATGTTGAACTGCACAAACAGAGTCAGCTCATCAACTAGTATAGTTCTATCGAAACTTCAACACGCACCCAGTCCACACATCTTGCCATGCTCACGATATCAAAGTCCTTAAGATACCAGTAACTGCTGGGCAAAGTGATAGTCAATCCATAGCCTTTGTCTGCACCATCAAGTGCGGAGCGGAGGTTCGCCAAGAAAGTGGGATAGTTGTCATAATCGGCGTCTGATCCACCGCGGTCTGAATCGACTGGATATTCCCTGTTGCGCCCTCGTTAGATAAAGCATCTTATAAGCAGGCCTCAATACGTACCAGTCCAAGTCGACACCATCAAAACCGTATGTTTCCAAGAAATTCAACAGTGAATCAAAGAAGGTTGATTGCTTGGATTTGGATGCTGCGAGTTCAGAGAAAGTGCTGGCAGATGATCCTGGGTCGTTGAAGGACCATCCTCCAATAGAAATCCATACTTTCAAGCCAGCCTTGCGCTTTTTCAACGCAGTGACGCGACTATAGAGATTCTGTTGAGAGGTCTCCATCGGTGTAATGGTGTAAAGATCGGGGTCAATATACAGGAAGGCGAAATTGAGGTGTGTGTACCCGCCGATTGGAATGTCTTCCGGTGGCATAGTATCACAGCTGCGCTCAGCGTTCCATCCTTCATAATATGCAATGGTTCTTTTGGTGGCCGAAGTTCCATCGCATACGGGCTCAGCCACACTACTGTCGCCACAAAAGTCTGTGGTTGTTCCGCAGAAGCCATATTCGCTGCAACATACATTTAAAGGGCAGTTCTCTGATGCAGCATAGTCAGAGCCTAAATCAGAAGATCGAAAAACATTAGGTGATGCTCAAAAGAATGAAACGCTCTTTCACGGAGGATAGACCATACCCCAACTGTCACCCCAGCCTGGGTAGACACCAGGATCACATTCGGCCAACTGAGAACAAGTGCCATTGGTACTGGCAGCAGCGATGCAGTTATCAGATGAACAATAGTCTGGGCCGTAGCCGCAAACGTTCGACAACTTAGAACAACATCCTTCGGTACATTGATTGTCTGAACTGCACGAAATATCGTCACACAAGCCAAAGATAAAGAAAGAAATAAAAGAAAGTATAAGACAGAGTCGAATATTCTGCATAGTTCCCGAAAGGATGTTTCAGCGAAACACCAGGCCGTATGTGAACAGAATATTCACACAGGAAAAGGAAAAGGGCGTCTGCGAGCAAAGACTCGGACACTTCCACGCCTCCTACTCTTTATACTAGAAATACAATGTCGACCTCCGTCTAGTCGCGTTTTCAGTGTTTGTATTTTTCAACAAAAATCTAGATATTCTTCGGGAGTCTAGGTAGTCGGAAATGAGCCCAGGAGTATACTAAAATTGAAGCTAGTATAGATACGGAACAGTTACCCTCACGGTGGGGCCCATCGGGCGTCGTCCGACACATCAAGAACCGCTTTCCCCACCTACCTGTTCCTTCCAGGCCATAGAAAATTGTATCCTGCGCGGAAGTTACTGATATTTCCCGTTTATTATATAAAAACTACGAATGTTGGAATACTGTAATTGAAGATGAAGATGAAGATGCTTCAGGTCCCTTTCCGATATCTAATTATTTCAATCCCCTGCCGCCATTCCGTATAGAACTTACCGTTAGAAGCTAGCACAACGCTGGCAGACCCGCTCCTGAAAATTGGAGCTCCTCGCTAAAGATGTAGCCCTGCGGGCCTTATAACTTTCATTCGACATCAAGCCATCGTTTGCAGGTTTCTTCCCTGGCCATCCGGAGAAACGCGGTAATTTCCGAGCCCCTGGAATAGTTGCTCAAGCTTTGCCCGCGCTAGCCACTAGTAGCGTGGAAAAAGCTGCTCTTGGCATGGATTATAGACACATTCACGGTCTTGGCCTTCGCGCTAATTGACGCTAAGCTTCGATTTCCGGAGCGCCACTTCCCATTCTTGGCACCTCTTAAAGGCTATTGTCTCGAATATTTATGCAAATTGCACGGAAGGACTAGTACGGATGATGGGAATGATTACGCACGAACCAAGCGCTGTGAGGAGGCAAAGACTACTTGAGCGAGAGAAGGTGAGGTTAAAGCCTACACTGAAACAAACAATAAACACCACTCACCTGAGGGTTGGTGGCCTCTTGATCCTTAGCTTCCCTGGGATCACGACTACTTTCATGCGCATAATGTGTGCCTTATCTTCGTATCTGCCTTGCCCTCATGCGATGCCAAGACTAATCGAGGGGTGCCAACACTAACGAGAGAGACGCTAGTTGTTTCATTTTGGGTGAAAGGAGGATAAATAGACTATGGTGATGGCTTTGTGATCCTTTTAACCCGTTATGGCTGTATGTCCGGAACGACCACTGATGTTTGGGGAAGTGGCCGGGCCAGTACCTGATTTTGTATACAACTCGAGAATCTGTAATTTGGCGTGACATTTAGAACGAAGTATTACCAGCCTTCGTATAAATGCCGCACTGTATAGTTACTCAATTTTCTAGTGGGCTAGATCAGGCTTTGGCATTGGTCGAATGGGGCATCAGTCGTCTTGGATTGTGGGATTTGGCTGCAGCATATAAATCAGGTCTATATTCCGGCTTGGGTTAATCTCACTGTCCTAACATTCTTTTTGTCGCTCAATTTGCACTTGATTTTCGAGATTGGTCAATTCTTTCTTTTCTCTTCTGGTTGCTCTCGTTACACCCAATTAACACTTCGCTATTTGCATTATGAAGAGTTGCCCACAGAAGTCCACACGGTGGTTGCTAAATTGGGTTGGCCTACTCTGCGTTATCGGTCAATGCCATGCTTTGGATGTCTTTAGTCGCTTTCGCGTCGAACAAGGCCAGGGCCTTATCACACGGTCTGGAACAAATGGCTACGGCGGCTCTTGCTATGACATCGATGCAGACCTGAGTGCTATATATACCGAGGCAATCGATATGGCGCAGGTAGCTTTGGATGCCCTAAACAATTATGCCACCAGTGCCACTGTGCGCGCGAGTGTACAAACATTCTTCGGAATAAAGCCGGACTCATCATCACCCGCTACAGTCTCGGCCTCTGACGCTCAATATTTCACAAACGTTAAAAGTGAGTTTATTTATGTTTTCCCATTTGGCCTACCTGATTTCTGTCTCTAAGACAGGAACGGCTTTCATGTCTATCCCCAATGCGCTCTGTACCCATTGTTTAGAGGTGATATGAACCTAACGTTAACATTGTATTGATAGATACTTTCGAAAAGATTGTTGCATTCTCTACGCAGTCAACGGGTCAGACACCAGGTCTTTTCTGTGACGACAGCTGGCGTTGGAAGACACAGATGATGTATGCATCTGATGGGAAAATGACTAGCACGTCGGTTTATAGGGAAACAGGTAAGTTTGTCTGGACGACCAACTTTATAAGCGCTACTGCCTTCCTTGAAATGACCTTAACCTCTTGATCCCTAAATAGGGGGAGATAAAACATGGAACTGGTGGTCTCCCTTGTACAAAAAACATGTGGGCAGCGGGCCCGGATGTCTACAGAGTGCTACGTCCGTTACACTTGGTTTCACAATTCATGTGGACGGGGCCCGATCCATTACACTCTGTCCAAGCAGCTTTTCTTACCCTAAACGAAAGGATTCCTTAAGTGCTTGGCGTTCAGGCGAGAAGATCATCGCCGAGGGAATACCACTGCGAGCAGCTCTATCTATCCCTGCTACCTTTATGCATGAGCTATCTCATTATGTCACCGTTGGCGGTAAGTCAAATCAATTCTGCACTACCAAAGTTCGCCACCAAGAGTAATAATGCTTATGAATTTGGTTAAATGTAATAGCTGTCACGGATGTTCCGTTCACCACCGCCAGCGGGGCCAAAACGACGGCTTATGGACCGGAGAATGTCAGTCTACTAGCCAGGTCATCGACAGATTTCGCCACCAAAAATGCAGATAGCTATACTTGGTTTGCTACTGCTATGTATCTTGACCAATGCGACTGGTCACGAACAATATGCGCTAAAAGCACCGCCACAAGCACTGTCACTGCTCGTTCGGATAATCACACTAGCTCCTACGTTTCCGGCTTGCGAAGCTTTAAGCGAAGAATATTGTTTCCTCGTCTACCAATAGACTTTGAAAGTGGGCTGGTGTGAGAATCTTTACATGAATCTCCTATGCAGGAGACGAAAAGCTAGGAATCAAAGATCTCACATTTATTCCTTCTTCCTCTCTTCTCTGCTCTTCTCATTTCTTCTATAAGTCAGGTGTTTCATCATCCAAACCACATAGCATCTTCCAGTACGCCTCCTGATCTGCAGTCTCGGGCATGATGATAGGAAGTGAAGGGCCTGGCGGTATACACGCGTTCTCTGGTACATGTTCCACAACCTCCAAGAATCGGACGTGTCGGGATTCAAATCCTATCATTCCAAGCTTTTCCAAATCTTCTAGAAAATGCTCCATAACTTCCCAAACTTCCCGTCCATTACGGATTCGTCTGCCCCATCTCAATTCCTCTTTGTAGTATTGTTCTGCCTCTTCATCCTCGAATTCGAAAAAGTAAACCAAACGTTGAGCAGGCTGTCCACAGTATTCAACTTTTCCCTCTATCCATCCACGCCTCTGGGAAAGAAATCCTACCATAGGATGTTGAGATCGATATCCTTTAAGTTCCCAGTTAACCTCTTCGGGCCATTGCGGTAGCCCTATAAGTCTTTCTAAAGAGGCTATAGTAGCATCATCCAAGTCCACCGGAAGATAGACAGTCAAGACCTCGTAGAGCTTTTGTGGCGGAGAAATAGGGTTGGCACGTATTATCTGGTCATAGCTAGCGCAATTAATTGGCCAGACAAGTTCTCTTTCCAATGAGCGGTGTGTAAGAACTTTTTCTAACTCTAGAAATAGTTCCGATACCAGAAACTCCTCTCTAGCTGCGCTATCCTGCCACTCTGTTATTCAGTTAGATATATAGAGTCTGGCATATTTGTCAGGCGTAGAGTCCTATACTAACCGATCATCAACCACTCGATGTTGGTTAGCTCGCGTGGACGACCACGCGCAACAACCTGGCATCCTTTCTGTTGACGTAGTTCTCGTAAGAGACAGAAAAGCCTGTCACTGTCAGGAATGACACCATCGGCTGTGTCTTTAAGTGATAGCCATTCAAGCAATCTGCCGTGTCGAGATTTAAGTGATGTTTCACTTTCCCCGGCATCGCTAGTGGCGGATAAGGTGCTCGGCTGCGCGGCTTTCGCCTTAGTGATCTTGGACTTCGTGGTCTTTGGCTTAGTAGGTTTGGCGTCGGTAGATTTAGCCTTGGTGGTGTCGGCCTTGGTATGATTTAATCTCGTGCTTCGCTCTGCAGCGCGCGTGGCCGATCGAGTGACAGGCATGCCTTAACAAGCTGACGAAATAGCCGTGTAGTCTGAGCTAGAGGAGTAAAAGACAAGAAAATAAAGAAAAATCAACTGGCGGTGTCGAGAGGGAAGAGAAGAAAAGCGACAAGGAGTGAGATTTGAAGAGGTCGCAACTCCGCTCCGTACTTAGCGTGGAACGTGGAAAATCTCTCAGAGCCTGTTCTGGGGTGGCTTTCAATTTATACAGTCGACGATCCCACTTCACCGGGCCACTTGCTCCTAGAGGGAGCTAGAGTTATGACCGGCTCCACTTCGGAAATTTCGCAATTTTACAGCAAGTACTGTACTATTTTTCTCGCTGTATAGCCACTTACGATCCTCTACGGCAGTTCACAGTCGCCATTACCCCCGTATATCGAGACTTTACCGGTATTCCTAACCCCTCTTTATCATCACGCTTTGTGAAACCGCCCCTTTATATGCAGAACAAAATGCACTAAGTGGTATCCATCTTCTCATTGTACATGTCATCAGGGAGTTCCTCTCCCTCCTCGAGTTCCGATAGCTGGCCCTTAGAGTCTACAGAGACCTCGCCTTCATCGATCGTATCGGCATCGTCGGCCCTATCACCCTGTGTACTGATGACTCGTTCCTAATAGCGGCTATATAGCTCTATGTCGCTTTCGCCCTTTAAGGGGCCTATCAGTAGAACCAGGTATGATAGGGGGCTTATCGTTAGGAAACTCGATATCGAATTTATGTACAATAGCCTCCTATTGTAGAACAGTCACATCCCGGTTGTCCTCGGCAGACACCTTTGGGTATTCCTCAAGTTCTATCTTAAGGTGCACCCTAAGCAATACGCATCTTGCGATTAAGAATTTGGGTTCCTACATCATCCTCCTTTCTGTCTAGCCAACTTTTCTGCGGGTCGAACGATTCCTCAGGTTCAGATATGTGCTTATAAAAGGACTAGAAATAGTACTTTTTGTAAGCACTGTGGGCATCCGCATGCCACATCTGCTAGATCTGAAGAATCAGCCATGTACAGGCGAGGAACCGTAAGTCACTAACATTCTCAAATCCGATATAAGCCGCGAGTGGACCCTCCGCGCCTTAAAGGCTGAGCATTGGCGCTTCCAAGTGGAAGATATTTATAGGGCCACCTTGAAGGCCCTTTGTACGGGAACTGGGCTTGCGGGGTGTTGTGTCCTTCTTGTTCGCCGCTTTTTTGTTAGCCTACTTGTATGATTAGCAAAAGGAGGCCTCGTGTGGAAACGGATTTCTGTGTTCCACCAGCATATTGGAGCCACCTTCAATAGAACCAGATCCGCTGTGCTTGCATTTCACTCCATCCGGGGGAGCTGAGTTACCGGGAAAATCCTGGAAGCCGATATCAGTATTGGTTGTAAATTTGGGTCATCGCCATCAGTAGTGACTCACCGGAGACACTTCCATGCTCATGCGGTTGGATAGAGATGGTAGAGGGTAAGATTGAGCCCGAGTCGGAAGGTAAGCTCGGAAGGTAAGCTTTAGAGGCTGAATAGAGTCCACCTAGATATTGAGAATGGGTTAGTAAAGTGAGGCGAAGAAAGCGAAACTGATCCTGAAAATAAAGTGGCAAAACCTTAGTTCTAAGGATAATTCTGAGGATAATTCTGAGGATAGTCTAAGGATAGTTCGATTTGAACTAAGTAGCTAGAGAGGGGGATTTAGGATAGCAATATATAGGGAATGCACTAAAAGATAGCCCACGGGAAAAAGAAACGATACTCTCTTCGTAGGATGGCTAGATCATAGATTTAAATGGTTGACTAGGAGGATCAGGGTTACTAACGTGGGGGAAGAAAAGGATCCTCAGTTTTGAGGATAGCTAGGACCTAGACTGAGTAGCTGGACAGGGGAATTCGGGACAGCAATGTATGGGGAATGCACTGAAAGAAAGCGCACGGGAAGGAAAATGATTCTCACTTATGACGACAGCCGGAGATCGGTGTAGTGGAGGCGTCAAAGCTGTGGGAAGAAGTAATCCAAGGTCAGATCCGGGCTCATGCAAGATATATGCTTCAGGGGAGTATAGGAAAATCCAACCTTGCAATGCTTTGGCTTAGTAGAGCGGATGGAGAGAACCTGGAGGAAGAAAAGATCAAACGTCAGATCTCGGGTCATTATCTCCACATGCAAGGAGGCCGATGAACTGTGAGCGAGGAGCGGCAAATGTCGGTTGGATCTCCGAAGCATCCAAAATGCCGAGTCTATCGTTGAAAGTATTAGTCCCTGCGTTTTAGCGGTCATTCTGTTACTGTCTCATGGGTGCCCAATTCAACTCCTCAGCGGTGACTGCCGTTTTGGTGGGAGCGTATAAGACCTTCCAGAGCACTGGAGATGCCGTGGCGTGGCGCGCGAATGCCCTGGGAAAGCCAGCAATGACCCAGCTCGCTATGGACCGGGGCCTTTGCATGGGCTCCTTGTGTATCGCCATCCAAGCACTGCTGGTGGTCACTCTCATCAGTTACCACGATTCCACCATCGGTAGGGATTTTCCCGACTCGGAGAAGCCTCAGACTGAAGTGAAGAATTGATGCCGAGTCGTGTTGTGAGCCCCGGAGGATTCGAACTTTCACCTATGCAATTGAAGAAGTAACGAACAATAATAGTCTTCCGCTCCGAGCAAGCCGGTTTCATTCGCTTGTAGAACATGACTACGTATATATACACGGCAGGAGACCTGCCTGTAGACTCGAGACCCGATCAGATCCATTATCTTACCGAACGCATTTCTTCAGCACCGCGCTCTCCAACAGAAGCTTGGTGTATTGACGGTGTGCCCAAGCCATCTTGTCATCCATTGGCGCCGCTTCAGCCTTGCCAAGACCCTGGTAGAAACAACTCTTGAGGGAGAACTCGGCCACACCCTGCTCCTGCTTGACAACGGCACCAATCTCGAAGAGTCCATCAGAGGGACGAACATCACGGATGCGAGGGGAGGAACCGCAGCGGACAGTGATGCGGTCCTCGGTCTTCTCGACGACTTCGAAGTGATCGGTGATGAGGGTACCGACCTCGTAGTTGCTGGAAAGTAGGTCCGATCGCTTCCAGAGGTGGTCGGCGGTCTCGGGGCCCCGGTACTTTTGATCCAGGTAGGCGCGCTGGGGAATGTATCCTGTGCAAACTCGAGTCAGAATCTATTCAGCAGAAGCTCCAGGGCTTCGATCGGGGCTTACCCATGCCACCCCAGACACCGGCGCAGAAGGCCTCCACCAGCTTGCCCTTGTTCTCTAACAGCTCTGGTTTGATTTTGTCTAGGGGAATCCGGCGGACACAGACATCGTGCAGGGTAGGATTGCGATTGGGGTTAAACTTGTTGAAAAGGGCCGATTGGAAGATTGGATCAGAGGTGTCCATGGGCTCAAACACGTCATTGCGCGTGGCACCCCAGAATACGCCGACCGAGGCGACAGTACCGGCGGCGGAAACCTTCAGTAGACGACTGAAAAGACCCATGGTGTTAGATTAAGAGGAGGGGAGGGGCAGAGAGGGCAGAGAGGGCAGAGAGGAAGTATTGGGTAGCTCGGAGAGCTCGGGGAGCTCTCCGAGTCTTGGCGGCGGAAACTGACTCCCGCGTCAACTTTGCATGCTATGGAGTACAGCAAGCCAACTTTTCAGCTTGGAAGAGTCCAAGTTGAGGTATCTAAGATATTACAGATATCTCAGATATCTCATTGAACTGCTGAGGGGGCTTAACGCCTGCCTTCCCCACAAACTCGGCTTCTCCTACCCCAGACTCTTGACCAATCCATTGACCTCCATTGGGCCTCAGTCGACCACTTATCATCTGGTATGCCTCTACATGTTTTCTGAATTCAAAAAATGACGATAAATTCGGCAATCCCGACTGATCGACACGATGGTTGAAGGACTACGGTATCTGAACTCCCCAACCTCTTCCACCAGGTTGTATCCAAAAGATTGAATCTACGCATCTGTGCCAACCGAAGTTGAGCATGATCTTGTCCAGGGCATGATATTGGTGGCTTCAGGCCACACGCTAGCTGATATCGTGTTATATCCTTACGATTGCCGTGGGTGTCATCATCATTGTCGCTATTTTCACCATCAGAGAAACCTCTTATTACAAGCGACATGTCAGTTCCTCCCTGATGAACCGATCGCAAATTCAGTGGATGTCCTTGACAGTGGGATTCAATCGGGACGCATCATTCATTCAGGCTCTCTTGGATATTCTTGCAAAATGCCGCATACCCGCCTTTGATCTGGTGCTCGTTTACCATTGGAATATCTGTTGGCTGGTTCGTTACCAGAGGCAATCGCAATTTTCAATTAATGGCCAAAATTCCAGGAACACTGTTGTTCAACTTATGTCATCTCGGACATTTACGAAGCCCCTTTACAACTGGGAACTGGGTGACCTGGGCCTGCTCTCGCTAGCGGAATTCATTGGTTCTATCCTTGCATTTTATGTAGGTGGTCGCTTGATCGACATTGTCTCTAGGCGAAGCACTGCTCGACATGGCGGCGTTCGTAAGTCGGAATATCGACTACCTGCTGTCGTGATCCCTGGCGTGGTTGGATCCGCAGGAATTCTCATTTTTGGTCTTTGCATCGCACACAAAACTCATTGGATCGGCCCCGCAGTGGGTACTGCTATGCAGGCTTTCGGTGTCGCCGCTATCAGCAACGTTGCGGTGACATACTCGCTGGACTTATACAAAAAAGTTTGTACTGTTTAGATTGTTTCCCTCGCCAGTTTCATTGACGAAAAATTAGGTTACTGGTGAGGCTTTGGTCATCATATTCGTGATCCGGAACACCATCGGGATGCTGGTATCGTTATACGCGGCAGACTGGATTGAACGTCAAGGACCTGCAGCTGTCTTGGATGAAATGACTGCGATCCAAGTCGTGAGCATCCTCTTCGCGACCCCCCTTTTCATTTGGGGTAGTCATATTCGAGCTTCCACTTCACGATATGGTCCCAAGCGTTTCCAGGATTAGTGAGCGTTTTTAAGTTGATACTTTACGCGTTTCTTTGGTCTATAGGCCCGTGAGCATATTAACCAAACATTGCATGTCATACAAAGGGTGTGTTAGACGAGGCTACGAGTCGTCATCTGCATGACTATCTCTCCGTAGGAAACATTTCCGGATAGTAGCCGGCCGACTGGATATGGCAGCAAAAGGTATACAGATACCGAATTTGCTTTGATGTCAAGAATCAGGAATCGAAACCTGGTAGTTGGCTTGGTAATTGAGCGAAGCCAGCGAGGCTAACCTAACTTTCAGACTCTTCCAATCGAGGGATAACTCGTCCACCCAGGTATCAAGGTCTTCAGCTCGGTATCGGGGTAGCCGACAGAGGCCGCAGATCATTGTTTCTCGACGTCTGAAGTGTTGTTCTGCTCGCAGTCCCCTCCGGACTGCCCGGAAGTTTTTCACCTCTCAATTATGCTCCCACATATTGGATCCATAGTTGATCATGGGTGTATCATTCCCCGGAACTACGTGATAGGCGGCAAAATAGGACTTGAAGCATTGCCGGCATCTCCAGAATCTCGAAGCCGAAGTGTATATCAAAGCCGAGAACAAGATTCTCCCGGCAAACCGTATAAAGTGGGAGCCGAGCCGACCACGGTTCATCAGTGAATGCAGCCGCTCATTCGTCCACCATAATGAAGAGATGCGGATATTTGGCCAAAAACGGCGATCGGCGGGATCGACAATCGGCACCACATATTTAAGTCGCTTGTCCTTGGAAGTTCTGATTCGAGGGATTGTATCTCCAACTCCCTTCACGGGGCTCATTCCAAATGCATCGACTCCATGTGCTTCTCCACGCGCCACCCAGGCTCAAGGTATCTCATCTATGGTGACTCTCGACTCAAACTTGGACTCGTCGATGGACATAGTCGCGCACGTTTTCCTGGTGGACCATATCTACAGTACCGCCGGTCTCGCCCAGGTCCTCTTTTCCACTACCGGTATATGATCGACATGAAACGACCCATTAAGTATATCATTCAGGGTCCGGCTATCAAGCCCTTTCAGAATCAAGGCATGGCATGTCGAGCTTTGCGGATGGCCCAGTTCCAATCCAACCAGGACTTGTCTTCGGGATATGGGGCCTTGGGGATCCGATCCACCATACATGGAGGCAAGCATTAGGGCAAAATTTGGTACTCATTCTCGAACGAGTATGGGTGATCACAACGCTCGATGTTGTGCTGCCGATCGTCCAAAAAGATATAAAATACCCTCTGTATCCCTCCTCAATCCTTCTTTTCATCAAGCAGATCAGAGATCAGTTTTCTATTCCAATTCTTCTTTGCACAAAGACTTCCTTCGCTTTTACGAGTTATCGTTGACCGACAACTCTTCAATTCTCCCCAATCTTTTGAACCGTCAAGTCTTTCATTCAATCACATTTTCACAATGAAGACTTCCTTCGCCGCTGTTGCTCTTGCTCTCTCCGGCTGCGCCATGGGTGCTCCGTTCTCCAACGGAACTCGCCCTGCTTTCACTTCTTCTCCTCGTTCGACTTCTGCGCAGGTGTCGTCGACTGACCCGCCTCTCCCCAACCCATTCGCTTCCTCCAGCACTGGCTTGCCTTCTGGAACCCCCTCTTCCGGTGCACAATTCTCTAGTGGCGGTGTCCTGAAGCGCGTAGAGGCTCTCTCTATCCCCACGGATCTTCCCTCCCTGGCATCCGATGCTCAGTCTGTGGCTGCAGCTCTTGCTTCTGCCGGCGCTGGTGCCCAGAAGCGTGGTGAGGCGCTTTCGATCCCCACGGATCTGCCCTCGCTGCTCTCTGATGCCCAGTCTATCGGCTCTGCTTTGGCATCCAGTGGTGCTGGCTCTAAGAAGCGTGGAGAGGCGCTTTCGATCCCCACGGATCTGCCCTCGCTGCTGTCTGATGCCCAGTCTATCGGCTCTGCTTTGGCATCCAGTGGTGCTGGCTCTAAGAAGCGTGGAGAGGCTCTCTCTATCCCCACCGATCTTCCATCCCTGGCATCTGATGCTCAATCGGTTGCTGCGGCCCTTGCCTCAGCCGGTGCAGGTGCCCAAAAGCGTGGTGACGCTTTGTCAATCCCTACCGACCTGCCATCATTGCTGTCCGATGCTCAGTCTGTTGGAGCCGCAATCGCATCCGCTGGTGCCCAGAAGCGTAGTGTGTCTGAGCCCATTCCCACTCCGACTCCCACTGGAACTCCTTCCACTCCCCTTGGAACCGCCGTCCCTACGCCTTCTAGCAGTCTGTCTACTCGCCCTGCCTCCTCTGCATCTGCCACGCCTGCTGTGTCTTCTTCGGCTGCTGGTTCTGCCTCATCGTCTGGCCGTCCCCTCCCCACCCCTACCGGTGCCTCGCCTTTCAGCCAGCCTCTGGTCTAAGATCCAGCTTAAGAAATGGTCATTAAACATCCCAACACTAGGCTTGGAGCCCAGTTGGGATTGTCGAATTGCCCGTCTTTGTGCAATATTTCCGAATGTTTGGAATAGTCGCTCGTTTTGACGGAAGATCTTGTTATTTATGAATTATTTTATTAGATTGGGAATACATTTTATCAATTGAATCTACCTTGACATTTTCAGTGTCGATTATCTTTCAATTGTCTATTACTCTTCTTTGATTTGAACCTTTACTCCCTCAGGAACATCGACCTCTCTCAAATGCTGTACCGTCACATGTTGTGGCACAGTCACCCTGTATGATTTGGTAAAAGTCAAGCTCCGGTCGAAACAGTACTAGAGACAAGCACTCACCTGAAATTGTAGCTGGGTGGTAAGGATCGCGTTGTGATCGCAAGACCGACACCTGCTCCTTTGCTTTCTAGTGCCTTCTTATATCTAAGTGTGATGTTTAGTGCTTGTTCTGGAGCTCCTCAGAATGCAGGAATCCCTACTTCTCATCGAAAGGCTCAAAACTCCGCCAAGCGTCTTCGCTGTCAAACTGAATATGGAAACGCTGCGCGTACTTTGTTAGCATGATATAGACCTCCACATGGTACCAAGTTCAACTTGAATGGAGCGATGACTAACGTAAGCAGCCATATTTCAAGAGCAATAAACTAATACAGTCAATTGAATGTTTGAAGCCGAGTCAACAAACATATAGCGTTGGAGCCAGTGACGTCATTGTGGCAAATTGGTGTGTTTATGTTCGAGCACTAAGCGTTTATAGCTCCAATTTCGATGCATCTAGATTATCTGTTCAAGAAGTTAAATAGTTATTCGTTATCATATGTAACAGAAGCCCAAGACACATCCCTATTTACGGACCATTCAAGAGCCGTCCAGATTTGAGGGCGCAGGGTCTATGGGGCATCCGGAAGTTACGGACTTGATTAGTGGCTCCATGAAGCTTCCGATGTGCTGTAAATGTACTAGCTAGGCCCGCGTCTTGCCGTGACGGTGAAGGAAAGTGTAGGTGAAATCATGAGAGGAACAAGGTATTGTGTAGGCAGAAAAAAGGATGCACTACAATCGTTTCACCAAACCCAGTAACTAAACCGGGATATAGGAGTACTTGAGATGTGGAAGCTGAGAGAGACGAGAAAAGAGATGCAGATATTAGATCACGGGGTCTTGTCTTGGCTTACCCTCAACATCTCATCTCTTTTGATTCCCAACATCCACACATACAGTATCACACTTGATCTGCCCCATCTGTACTCCGTACACACAATACAGGACACAATGGCCTCCTACCTCTACGTGTGACCCCAAGCCAATAGTGTGTGGAGCTGGTGGACCCGTGTTTGCGCGAATTGTGTACATCGACGCCATCTTCTGCACTGTGAGATCACTGGGAGATCTGCGCAAGATCGAATCTTGAAATGAGCTGCATTATGTATTATGCATTCGAAAGCCATCCACATCAGGCCACGGTCTACCGTCCCATCCAGCCCCCATCCACTGTCAACACCTCGCCACTCACATATGCGCTCGCCCGGCTGGCCAAGTACACAACTGACCCCTTGAAGTCATCCGGATTCCCCCATCGTCCGGCAGGGATTCGGGCTAGGATGCTGGCAGCACGTTCCTTGTCCTGGATCAAGGCCGTGTTCATATCGGTCGCGACATAGCCCGGCGCAATGGCATTGACATTGATTCCTTTCGCTGCCCACTCGTTTGATAAGGCCTTAGTGAGTTGTGCCACGCCGCCTTTCGCTGCTGCGTATGCGGGAACTGTGAGACCCCCCTGGAAGGAAACCAAAGATGCGACATTGATGATGCTACCGCGTTGACCCGCCCGGTCAGGGGTGCGTGTAAGCATGTGCGCGCCGACGTCGCGGCAGAGGGTGAATACCGTCGTGAGATTGACTTGGAGGACCTATACCATCCATCAGTGGTAGTGTGACTAATCATCCCGAGAAACTTGCCTCGTCCCAGTCCTCGAGCGGGAAGATGTGGCTTGGATGTCGGCGCTGGATTCCCGCGCAGTTGAGGAGAATGTTGATGTCGTGACCACCCTTCAATACACTCGAAACGAGTAGCGACACTGAAGCTTGCGATGAAAGATCAGCAGTATAAATGGTCGCTTTCCGCCCAAGGTTCTCGATCTGAGACTTCGTCTCTTGGTTGCTAGTGTCTCTCTGAAAAGAAGTCAGTCACCTCCAATGACTACAGATATCAGATTTGTCACCTGGACAAGAACTATATCGGCGCCAGCTTCAGCCATTGCAATGGCCATAGCCTGGCCAATGCCACGGGTACCACCCGTGACGAGAGCTGTTTTTCCTGAGAGAGAGAAGAAGTCCATGGTGGAACCTGACGATGTTGTTCACTATGCGTCCAACGTCGATCGTGTCCTGCGGGGAGTAGCCCGCGTCTTATACCATCATCTTTCACCCCCACGCTTTCCCCCGCATCGGAAAACGGCATGAAGCGAATGATTACTACTCGTGAAGCACATACGGCTCAATTTACCCGAATGAGGAGTTCGGGTTTGCAAATGCTAAGGTCAAACTGTCATGCAAGAATTATCTATTGGATATATGATTACCACTCCCGAATGGAGCCGTCTGGTCCATAGAACTCCTTGGGCTGCCACGGCATTGTCTCCTGGCTGATCTTCCGCACGAGGTCCTCGTCAATGTCAATACCCAGACCTGGCTTACAAGGTGCAGCCACATGGCCCTCCTTGATATCGAAGACTGTCTTATCCACCAAGTAGCTGTTCAGGTCAATGTCCCCTGCTTCTACGTTGTAGTGCATCCCTAGCGACATCTCTTGGATAACAAAGTTAGGGATCGAAACCGCGACCTGAAGCGAGGCGGCCAGAGCAATGGGCCCGAGAGGACAATGGGGCGCGATAGCCACATCGTAGGTCTCGGCCATGTTTGCGATCCGCATTGTTTCTGAAATGCCTCCAGCGTGGGCAATGTCGGGTTGCAGAACATCCACCGATGAGTCCTCCAAAAACCGCTTGATATCCCAGCGAGTGTATAGGCGTTCACCAAAGGCAATGGGGATTGTGGTGTGCTGTGAGAGCTGTTTGATTGCCTCGGGATGCTCGCATAGCAGAGGCTCCTCAATGAACAGCGGCTGGTAAGGCTCCAGTGCCTTCGCCAGCTGCTTAGCCATTGGCCGGTGCAGACGACCATGGAAGTCCAGGCCTGCATCAAGTCCCAGAGCCTTCACTTGCTTCAGTCGTTCCACGCAGGACTGCAAGACCGCTGGGGAGTCAAGCCAGTTGACATCTTCGGTGGCGTTCATTTTGATACACTTGAGGCCCTGGGCGATTCGTGCTTTCCTATTATCCTGGCATGTTAGTAATATGCTCCTCCTTAGGATGCTTGTAGAAAGCTCACGCTGCGGCCTCGACCTCACTCGGTCGGTCACCTCCAATCCAGGCGTATACCTGTACCTTCTGGCGCACCTTGCCACCCAGCAGCTGATGCACCGGCACACCCAACCTCTTGCCCTTCAGATCCCACAGTGCGATGTCAATACCAGACAGGGCAGACATGAAGACAGGTCCACCCCGGTAGAATCCTAGTCGCCACACCGTCTGCCAGATGTGCTCAATGTCACTGTCCAGGATTATTAGCCTTACAGCAATGTCTATGGTATTCTCAAGCATACTCGGCCTCATATCCCACAATGCGCGGGATAATCTCATCCAAAGCACCCTCGACAGCGAGTGAATGTCCTTCCAGAGTGCCCTCTCCCCATCCAAACTGACCCTCTTCGTCGGTCACTTTGACAAACAACCAGCGGGGCTTCACCCGGAAGTACTCGATTGACTTGATCTTGACCATTTTTGAACGTGAGAAGTGTACAGTATGATCACAAGCAGGATGCAACCTGGTTAAATGTCAAGAGCTCCCCGCATAGCCAACACCCCACGCGGGGGCGTCGGGAAAAGTCCGGGGGTCAACACCCCCACGCCAAGGGGGTTGTCTGCATGTTTCTATATATGATTGGCGGGAAAACCTCAGGATGCGGTACACATGTGTATGCTGTCATGATCCTCTTTGTAGTAAATTATTCTAGTACAGGTAGCGGAAGTTCGCATTTTCCTTGTCCGTCAGGTCGCTAAACGCCGTTCGATCCAATTCCAGCTGTCGGATATAGTCATTGTCTCCTCCTGGCACCACATTCTGTGCCCGGTCGCGACGTCGATTCTCCCAAGCAAGAGCAATTGCGAGGAACACAATCAATGCGATTTCGATGAGGTTCGCCACGATCATCGACCAAATACCCAATGTATAGCCCGGTGCCTGTTCAGCTTTGTAGAAAAATGGTCCTGCAATATTACCAGTGCAAACACCTAGGAAGATCATTGCGTTGGTAACAACCTTCTTGGTGTGGCCTGCAATATTTCCTGTGAGGATCGAAAGGATGATCACAAATGAAGCATTGTAAGAGCCGGTCAGGTAGTAGCAGATCAGTCTCGCCACACTGTTGGACTCAGCTACAAAGTTGAGACCGAAGGAACCTGCTAGAGTCGGGAGAACAAACACGATGGCAACCATGCATCGGTTGTTGCGTGGCAGTCGGTCATTGATGAACACGCTGAGTAGGATCATCACTGCAATGAAGGCACCATACGGGATTTGCATAAGAGTTGTAACCACTGAAAACGGGTCAGCGCCATCAAACGATTCTATAAAATATGGAGCACCCACGCGTTGAATAGCCGAATCCCTTGATAATCAGGGTCCCAAAATTTGAGATGCCTCCATTTGGGATATTTGCACTGAGGCCAAGCAGGAAGAATGTCCAGACTTTCCAGTCAGTCAAGGCCTCGAAGATCTGGTGAGGCTTCATGTTTCGATTCTCTATACCAGTCTGGTTGTCTCTCAGTCTTTCAACTGCGAGTTTCTTCTCACGGTCCGACAGCTGTGGCGCTGTGACTGGGGAGTCCGGGAGGAATATGACCATCACAATGCCCCATACGCAGCATAGAGCACCGATAATCAAGAATTCGTACTTCCATGAAGCCAGGGATCCTTGGATCTGGCCAATTCCATATCCCAGTAGACCACCGACCGCGATTCCGAAGCCATTGGCGGTGTACCACAGTCCAATCCGAATAGGTTGTTGACGACGGGTATACCACATGCTGGTAATAAGCATGAAAGCAGGATCACTGTCAAAAGGCCACTAAGATAATGCACAAGTAGCACGCTTGATGTACACATACCTGCAGGCTTCAGCTGCGCCCGATATAACTCGCAACACAGCGAGTTGGGTGAAGTTTTTAGCAGCCGCTATCAAAATTAGACACCAAACAATATCTCAAGAGAGTGGAAATACCCTGTAGCATGAGGAAGAACCCCCAAAGAAAGATGTTGACACCAAGATATTTGCCGATAGGGAACCGCTGCATCAACAGGTTGGTTGGAAAAGACCAGACTAGGAAGCCAAAATAGAAGACACTCGACAGCCATGAATATTCGGCCCCGGAGAGATTCAAGTCCTCCTGGATTCCAAATATTGCAGCATAGGATAGCGTGGTTTTGTCGATCTAAACATCAGCAAACGTACCTCAGAGACTCAGATAGAACATACATAGTAGAACGCATAGCAAACCGATAAAAAGGGCAGAATCATCAAGTCGATCTTGCGAACCAGTCTCTTCTCCTCGCCAGGCTCAAAGCCTTCATGCATCTCATCCAGGTTATCAAACAAAGCCAGTGCTGCATCTCCATTATGAATTTTGCCTGTATCAGTGGCGATTCCAGAGCCCTCAACATGCATAGCGGCTGGTTTGGGGACGTTGTTGTCTGCCATGGTGGAGATGATGTTTGAAGCTGCGTGTGGAACCTGGAGTCCATAGATATGATATACTGGGGAAAGACGCACTACCCCAAAATCCCCGCAAGCAATGGACCCCCAAACGGAGTCAATATCTCCGTCTCGAGAGCTTAAGGGACCCCCACGCCAAGGATCGTCGGTGGTGCTTATAATGAGCTGATCCCCGTCAGTCACATGGAATGCAAGTTCGCAATGACACTCACTCGTCAGGAGGTCAGCCAGCACAACAGCCGGCAATCTTGCTGGGTCGTCATCCATGGAGCTGTCTACGATGTCACAGGTGAGGTCTTGTCTTCAGTGGAATTTCCTAAGCTGACTCCGTAGACTTCCTTGACTCCCACCCAGGAGGGCCCCAAGTGATCTTGCGATGTGCGGGAAAAGACGCAACTGAGGATTTCGATTCAGTTCATGCACCTGAGCTATTGAGCGAGGTCCTCCCCGAAAGTACAGTTCGAGGTCATATTGATCTAGCCGAACTGCAGGTGCTTGACGCGAAACTGAATGACACAATGCAAACAAAGTCGGACTCCAATGCCCCACCATCCTTGCACAGTCTGATCAATCTACATGATTTCGAACATGTAGCGCAAAAGCATCTGCCCGCTAATGCCTGGGCCTATTACTCGTCAGGAGCCGATGACGAAATCAGCAAGCGCAATAGTGCCCGCGCGTATCAAAAGATCGCACTTCGCCCACGTATTCTGCGCAAGATCCCCAGCGTAGATACTACAACTTCAATCTTGGGACATTCGGTCTCTCTTCCGGTGTATATCTCTCCGGTGGGAATCGCCAAGCTCGCCCACCCAGATGGTGAATGTGCGCTCGCAGCTGCAGCAGGCAAGAGGGGCCTTGTTCAAGTACTTGCCAATGGCTCAAGCATGCCGATCGAGCGGGTGATGCAGAGCCGTAACTCACCCGATCAGCCTATCTTTCAGCAGCTCTATGTGAATAAAGACATCCAAAAGTCTGTGGATACAGTGCGTCGAGCTGAAAAGGCTGGGGCTAGCGCAATCTGGATCACGGTTGACTCGCCAGTGGTGGGAAAGCGAGAGATGGACGAACGGTTGAATCTGAATGTCACAGTATGTCTTAAGAGTCCCCCGCGTTGAATATCCCAGCTGACAGCTCATATGCCACTGATAGTGATGCCCAGGGCCAGGGAGTAGCCAAGATAATGGCTAGTTCGACATCTCCTTATATTGACTGGGAGATTCTTACATGGCTCCGTCAATACACAAGTCTCCCCGTGGTAATCAAGGGGATACAATGCGTTGAAGACGCCGTAGTGGCATATGAACATGGTGTTCAAGGCATTGTTCTCTCCAATCATGGAGGACGTTCACAAGATACGTATGTTTTACCTAGGTCGTTCCAATGGTGTTTCCGTTCTCACATTCCACAGGGCTCAATCGCCACTTCTAACCCTTCTGGAAATCAAGAAATTTGCGCCTCATTTGATTGGAAGCAAAATGCAAATCTACATTGATGGTGGCATTCGGCGAGGTACTGATGTCCTGAAGGCTATTGCGCTTGGTGCAACTGCTGTAGGACTGGGGCGACCATTCCTGTTTAGCATGTCGGCTGGGTATGGAGAAAAGGGTGTGCTGAGAATGCTTGATATCTTACGACAGGAGATAGAGACAAATATGGTTTTCCTAGGAGCGACTAGTCTCAAAGAGTTGAGGCCTGAGATGCTGAATGTCAGTCGACTGGAGAGAGATCTCATTGGTAGTGTGAAGCTATAAATTATAAATCATAAATCCTGACTATTTATACTTGCTTCTGTGCTTGGTCTCAACTGCTCCTTGTATCCTTCCATTCTGACTAGTAAGTCTGATCCAATCTACCTTTAGCAAAGGTAAAGAATGACCTAGAAATAAAAAACATCATTGGTGCATCAACAAGGCCCTCAAGTGCTCCAATGCCAGCTCGTCTGCCGCTGATCTCGGCATTTGAAGTTGACCCCCACGCCCTCGGCCGCCCTCCGATGCGGGGATGAAACGCGACGAATGTTCATATTTCCGTCGCTTTGATCTGTTTTATCGCAATTCACACCATGTCAAGCCAAATTGATGTTCTTCTTTACGGGCTCGGAGCGTAAGTAGTTCTATCCGCTCGCGAGTTATATGCTGACCTCGTAGAATTGGCTCCTTCTATGCCTTTATCCTCAGCAAATCCGACCGCGTTCGCCTGACGGTCGTGGCCCGTTCCAACTACGAAGCTGTGAAAGCAAATGTACGTTCGATAAGAACGAATAACAACAATTGTTAACTCTTTCTCGATAGGGCATCACTATAAACAGCGAAAACCATGGCCAGCATACTTTCCATCCCCACCGAGGTACGTTCAAACCACAATCGGTCAATTTGCTTAGCTGACACTCTGTTAAGTGGTAAAGTCTGCTGCTGAAGTTTCCCCAGTGGATTACATTGTGTGCGCGCACAAGGCCATCGACCAGGACGAGGTGGCTGGTCGGTTGCAACCAGCCGTTGACCCCAAACGAACTACTATCGTGGTCATTCAAAATGGCGTGGGGAACGAGGAACCATTCCGGAAGAGATTCCCCGACAACACAATTATAACTTGCGTGGTAAGAGCTTCTCGGTTCCTCCAATTCATAGTTTAGAATCTAACTCCCATCAGACATGGGTAGGTGCTACGCAAACAAGTCCGGGCATTGTCAAGCACACCAAATCCGAGGATATGCAGATCGGTCTATTCCCAAACCTCACAGTCAACAGTCAGACCGAAAAACAACGGCTCGAGACATTTGCCGGCCTCCTCCGGAATGGAAAGACCCGATTCCAGGTTCTTGACGATATACAAGTACAGCGATGGGAGAAAGTCGTCTGGAATATAGCATGGAACTCATTGACCACACTCACCATGGTGGACACTCAGACCTGGCTGCACTCCTCTGAAGACGCGACACCATTCACACGCCAATTGATGCAGGAGGCTATTAACATTGCGCGTGCCTGCGGTGTGCCACTTAAGAATGAGCTCATTGACCAACAGATGGACAAGATCAATGCCATGCCTGGTATCGGAAGCAGCATGCAAACCGATTGCAAATGCGGGCGGCCAATGGAGATCGATGTGATCTTGGGTTTCCCAGTGCGCAAAGCTCGAGAACTAGGCATTCAAGCACCTTATGTGGAGGCTCTATATGTTCTTCTTCGGGCAGTTGATGGCCGACTCAGGGCGGCGCTGTAAGAATAGACTTGGTTGGAACAGAGATGACGATCATCTCGTTTCTAGTTCAGTCTAGCGAGCATCAATGACATATCATGCTAGAGAAGTTCCACCAATAACAGTCTAGATGATTCACGATCGTCTGTTTTGATACTCCAAGTAGGGTGACCTGGTGTAAGTGCATTCCCCCACGTAGAAGTCCCCCCACGCATTGAGTCATGTGTAACTATTGGTCCTTTGGTCCTTGTGGAGCCTTGCCGTGCACCAATTCCCGCTTGATATTGTGTAGGCTGCTGTGTGATTCTCTTACAAGCCCCCACGCGACATAGCCTGGCGATATCCATCCTTCATGTTGGAGCTGTGGGAGTACCATATACTGTGGATAGAGCGATCAATGAAGAGGCCAAGGGAGTTACAAGCAGAGATATTTAGAATCCAATTTTCTGGGTGACGGGTATCAATGACTGGGAAGATTAGAGCGTAGGCAAGACGGCGCCTTTGCTCATAAGCAGCCCTTTGTTCTCGGGGCTCAAGGAAGAATGTTTATAGATATGAGGTCAAATATTTCATGGATATCATAGACACCCGCCCTTCAAATTACTGTGAGGAAAGGGGGGCGGACATACAAAAGGAGTCGTGAGAAACCACAACACCAGTCCAAGATTCTTTGTACAGTATATCAAAGCGCCGTTGCCACGTAAGGGCGAATGTTCCCAATGCAACCAGACAAAGTAAGAGCCAGCTTGCTTGTCGATCGATCCATCTATACCTGAGCGCCCAATATTTCCAACGCGAAAACGCCCATATCCAAAATATATCCGGGGAACATGATATAACACAATCATCAAAAGAAAAATCACAAGCGATAGAACATATACCAGGGGATCAAAGCTGAGTCGGGCTCTGCGGCCTTCGAATTTCCTGTAACTGAATCGATGTATTTTTGTCGCCCTCTGGTTCTGAATCACCAGATCGGGCATCTGGAGGCTTAGTAGTCTCCGGTTCCTGGTCTACCGCGAACCTCCAGCGGTTGTCGGCACCCATGAACATTCGGAAGCCGTAACGTTTGTTCAAAGATGTGAGGTGTGCATGCCGTTTGGCACTGCTCCATGTGTGAGTGTCGGCAAAATCATTAAGCATCTGGCTATGGGAAATCCAAGGAATGACAGCTCCAATGGAACGTGGCATTCGCGGCGCTCGGAATCGGCCACGACGGGTCCAAAATACCAAGAGCACCACTATTGTGTCAAATACAATGATAGTCAAGGCAATGGCAAGCGACGGGGCCGACGGGACCATGCGCCAGGTGCTTCTGGTGACGGTGGCATTCGTGGCCTGAATGGGCTCGATAAGGGGCTCTAGGTAGATGTTGCGCCATATTGAAAAGTAGGTGCTATATACCCACTGAAACACGGTTTGAGTCATATCCATTAGGAGGTCGGGGTTCAACGAGTCAAAATCAGGATCTTCGCGCTGGTAAAGACGGGCAACGAGGAAACCTGCCCAGTCATACGATGATACGTTGTATGTCCCGTTCCGCATAGTGGTGTTGCCGACATAACTGTTGGGGATGGCGGCAAAAACTTTGTTGAACTGCCCGAGACTCACGGTCGCGTTGTCATACATGGCTCCTTCCGTGATCGATGTATTGGCCACCGGGTTATGCCATGCGATCTGACCTTTCTCATCGAAATTGATAGAGTAGTCCTGCAGTTTGGCCTGAGGCTCACAATGCAAAGCAATGGTATTGTCGTCGGTGATTGGCGTATCTGCCAAGTAGTCCCACCGGCCAACGACCAAGACAGTCGAGGTTTGACAGATGTCAGAATGCTCGGTGTCATCTGGAGATAGAAAATGAATGGAGAGAGCAATTCCTTCATCCTTGCCCTTTAGCGGTGGCATGCCTGCGGTACACTCCATCGAAGAGTTGCCGAACAACTCATACCGCCAATATTGACGACCGCTGGTTTCGTTGTGCACAAGCGCGTCGGTTGAAAGTGTCTGACAATCCAGTGTGGTACCCACCCCAAGGGTTGTTGCCCCGTAAGTCACATCAGCGTCGCTGTTTTTCACGTGGACGGGAACAAAAGATTGGTTAGGACTTGTCCATGGCAGCATAGGGACTCCACTGGTGATGCTGGTCTGTATCAGGTCATACTCAGTGAATTGAGCAGCAAAGTCAGTCTGCCAAAAGATGGATTGGCTGTAGTTCATGGTCAAATCCTGGGTTGCCAGAGTAGACGTTGCCATTTGTTGCGTGAAAAGTCCGCCCGCCACGACAGTGAGAGCCATATTGACAACACAGGCTATAGAGACCAGTCCCAGTAACACATGTCTGTCACGTACAGACTTGAAGAAAATGGCAAACGGACTTTGGGAGGAGTAATTCAAGGACAGGGAAGCTCGTGCGGACGCATTCCCACGTTGAAGGTGGACCCAAGGCTCCAGAACGCTAAGGTTTCGGTGGATGGAGGTGCAGAGAGACCCCACAGACGAGGCTACGACCGAGGGTAGGAAGGAAAGAACAACCTGGAATGAGCTCGAGTCGCCCTGAGTCAGGTGGCGGAAGCGGCCGTCCTTGAGGAGGGAAGAAATCACCAGTCCCATGAGAATGATGACAGCAGCCAAAGCTAGGAACTCCACGAGAAAGAAGGGAATGACGAGAAAGTGAGGCATCGGATCAACATGGGTTTGGAGATTCTCATCAAGTTGAACGGGTGAGCCTATTTACATAGTCAGTCGCGGGTCTTCAAAGGGACCATATAGTGCCAAAGAAAGTACATACCATCTTCGGCAAGAATCTCCAACCGATTGCCACCAGGGCCCGGTCGCCAGTAACATCTAGCCTTTTTGAAGATACGCCGAAGTTGACGTGTGGAAAACTGATGAAACTCAGCGACTGGCTCGGCGAGGATGTTAGATGGGTGAAAGACATCCGCAGTGATACTGCACATAGCACCGATGGAGCCCGGATCGCTTTGGAGGAAGATTGGTCGCGTACGGTACGTGTAAAGGAGGTACAAAGCAGCCAAGATCGCCGAAACCAATATGAGCTCAGACCAGATAGCGGCAAAGTCGACGACGGCGATGGCAACCTGGTTGGAAAAGCGTGACGCCGGGATAATGGTAGGTTTAGTGTCTGGATCAAACAAGCGACCGAGTGTCAACACAAACGTCTGTTTTACATCACGTTCAATCTTCGATTCGAATTCAGCTTCCGTCATGACGGTCGACGTGTCGAGCACCAAGAGCGGCTGAAGTTCCCCTAGTTCCTGGCTGATCACAGGTAGCTCAGTCACCGTGCGTCCTCCTGTGGTAGCGTTTTCACGAATAAAAAGCAAGTCACTCGTGTACGGAGCGCGCTGGGAAAGCAGGGCTTGAAAGTGCTCGATGCTGAACTCAGCATCGGTAAGCGTGCGGGTAGTGGTTGGGTCGATTTTGATAGACATGATGGAGCTGTTCGAGTGCATATTCACTTGAGCCTCCGCTTTGTGATACAGAATGTCGCAAGCGAAAGCGACACCCGTCGCGGAATACTGGATCGAGCTGGACGTCGGAGTCGAGCTTGACGTCGAAGTCGAGCTGGTCGCATTCACCCCAATAATCATGCCATAAAGGTCATAAGGATCGCAGCCGGACGCTGTAAAGGCCTGACTTCGGCTCGGAAAAGACTCCTTGGCAGCATCACTGATAACTGGTTCCCAATAACGCACTTGGAGGTAGTCGGTTTGAGGAAAGAAGACACTCTCGTATTGGAAATCGAGAGTGCATTTGTTGGCTCCCCCGTACGCATCTTCCAGGTCAATCCCAGTCGCGTTCCAGGTGATGTTTGGAAACTCCGCGTCAGTGTCATCGATACTCACAGTAAGGCTGTCACCAATAAGAACATTCTCACAGGACACTTGCGCCCAATACAAAGTTTGATCCAGCGTCCACGTTGTACTTTCCTCCAGGTCGCTATCCGGAATCTCGACGGGTGCCACTGCGTATTGAGCCGACCGAGACCGGCGGAGTTGTTCGTCTGTAGAGAGTACGGAGTCGACAGTGTTGTTTGCCTGAGTTGACATCCAGTTCGTCTGTGTGCTCAGGTCAACTAAATTAGGCCAACTTTTCATAGATCCATAGTCGATAACCGTCACTTCGCGCAGCTCAAACAGCGTGCTCTGCAAGGCGGGAAGAATCATCCGTATCGAGAGCGTCACGAACGAGACCCAAAGTACTAGCCAGTGATGACGGCGTGCCGCGTTGATCGGGGTCAAAATGGTTTGCCCAAAGTTGTAGTTGATGAAGAGGACGCTCGCCGGCGCCCCTTCCGGGCGTGACAACTGGAAGTACGGCTCCAGGCGAAGAACATCGAAATCGGTGACGGTCCAGACCAAAACAAGCACGAGAGAAATGATAATCGGGACGTAATTATAGGCGAAGGTCTGGATCGCGGAGACATCGTCGGTATCGTTGAAGAAGAAAAGACCCCCTTCGCGATAGCTATACTGCCGTAGCCCCTCCAGGCACAGCAGCATCGTCAACATCAGGCATACGAGGGCGACAAGGTAGGGCGGGCGCAGGGCCACTGGGCGCCAACCTCTGTTCGGGGCTGGGGGTCGAGGCAAACGAATCGGGGGAAGACCTAGATTGACTAACATTAGCCATGTCCAGCACGGAAAGGAGAAGACTTACCCCGGGCCCAGAACCCCCGGGATGCCTCATCGTTCATGCTGGATGGGCGTAGGATAGAAGGGCATTGCCGACAGTCAGGAGTATATCGCCATGATAGAAGAAAAGTGAAAAACCGGGACAAAAACTTGATCGACAAAGCCAAGAAAGATTTACATGACGTGGGAAGAAGGGAAGAGTTGGGGGAACGCGTGGACGTGGGGCCAAGGTCTTGGCTCAACTTTTTACGAGTCGACTACAGTAGACTACAGTATGTAGTCGGGCTCAAGTTGCTTGGAATATGGAGTTAGTCTTCTATCAGGTTGTGCTTCTATTTTATTTCTGACATTCTTTCTTTTTTTTCTCATTCGGAACGGGTACCTTTTTCAGGTACCTGAGATTATTGCCCTGGATATCTCACTGAACCAGCAATTTAGCAGATCTGACCTGGAGTAAGCAAGTAGGCCAGTGGTTCATTTCTAAGGTAGTCAAAGAATAACGTCAGGTTAGCAAGATGAGGGCAAGTGATAGTACCAGTAAAAAAAAAAAGAATCAACATCAACCCAGCAATATATATGTCAAAGAGTTTGGTGCTAATATGTACTCTGCCTAACTAAAGTTTATTCTTTCTTCCAATTGATGTTTTCTATCAAGGAACTAAGCCGAATCAATGTTGATTCCCGCAAATCTTACAAAGGGATGCTAAGTGAGCTGTAGAGGAAAAGGCTGAAAAATGAGACCTCGCGGCCTTGGAGCCTTACTGCCTTGGCGCTTGCCAACCCGAAAGCGGTATTACATTGATCCGTATCTTCTATAACCTCATCCCTGAGTCCCTTAAGCACGGGACATGGTCGAGGAGCTCATATATGGTCCTGGTAAGCTTAAATATATATTATTTCTATCAAGACTGGGGTGGCCCATTCTGCTACCAAGAAGCACTCGACAAGGCCTCACCAGAGGGTGACCTGGTCTTCGCCTGCATCGCACAGCCATCCGGAAACAAAATCTATCACACCTGCTAGCTCTAACCATAGAATCCTCTCTAAGATAAGTGTATCCGACGTCCATGGCAGCAATATCGAGCAAAACAAGAAAATCGGGGCTATTGACGAATACCTCGGTGATACTAAGCATACCAAGCCTTAGGAGGCTCTCAATACAATGGGAAATATTCCCTATTGTTGAAATCAGGGTGATCCCTGGTGCATATCCAAGGTATCCGAAAGTGCCCAAAAGTGTCCAAGATAATTTGATTTCGTACCTTAATATCCGAGTATTGCCGAGGCCCAAGACGGAGCCCCTCAGCGGCCCCCTCACACGCAAACAAACACTTAACACAGCTGCAACGAACATACTGAATAATTCCATTATTACATACTAATCATGCAAGCAGTGGTTTTCAAAGGTCCATTGCAAGTCGCGCTGGAACAGAGGCCGAAGCCTGAGATCCAGGCATCGACAGATGTGATTCTGAAAGTCAGATACACAGCCCTCTGTGGCAGGTGAGCAATGTGACACATTCCACAGAGAGACGGCTCATGACAAGTGTTAGCGAGCTGCACGTATTCCGTGGACACCAGCCCTCTGCAAATGGATTCATAATGGGCCATGAGTTTACAGGAGAAGTGATTGCCCCATGTCTTTGAAACACAGCAGGGCTAACATTCCTTGGTATAGGTAAGCTCAGTCGGACCTGACGTACAGTCCTTCAAGCTTGGCGACCGAGTGGTCTCGCCATTCACCGTGAGCTGTGGGAGCTGTTTCTACTGCAAACGAGGCTTCTCCTCTCGATGTGCCCGCAGCCAGCTATATGGCTCAGCGGTACTCGATGGCGGACAAGCTGAATATGTTCGCGTGCCGTTAGCTGACTCTACTTTATTTCACGCTCCACCTGAGATTGACGAAAAGAAGCTGGTCCTAATGGCGGACATCTTCCCTACTGGCTATTTTGCAGCTTCTAACGCTTTTCGAGCCTTGGACCCCAAGGAGATTCAACAAAGTACGGTCCTTTTATTCGGCTGCGGCCCAGTGGGGTTGTGTGCTATTGCCAGTGCTTTGGATTATAAGCCGAAGCATCTACTTGCTATTGATAGCGTCCCAGCGCGGCTAGAAGTTGCCAAAGGTCTAGGAGCAGAGCCCTGGAACTTTCAAGAGGATGAAACCGGCCTAAGGCAACGAGTCAAGGATCTCACCGAAGACCGAGGCGCAGACGTGGTCATTGAAGTGGTTGGACATAGTAGTGCTTTGCGCATGGGATTCGAGATGCTACGACCATGGGGGCACCTCTCCAGTGTTGGTGTCCACAACCAAGAAATCCCGTGGACTGGAAACGAAGCCTATGGAAAGAATCTACGCTTGCAAATGGGTCGATGCCCGGTCCGAAGTAGGTCAACCGAAATCCTATCTCAACGGGTACTGACGAGCGATAGGCATTTTTGCACCGGCTATGGAATTGTTGGCGAAGAAGCAGGATGTCCTAAAGTATGCTCATTACCTCCTACGAAAACGACATGAAGACTTACAACCTCTAGTTTCATGACTCATGATATTCGACCTCTGTCTCAGGCTGTTCAGGCGTAAGTTATCTCGTTTACTTGATAACGTTTGATTAACACGACAACAGATACGACGATTTCAATGAAATGCGAAGTCAAAAGGTCATTTTTGAAGCCGACAAATAGCGATATCAGTCAAAACACTGATGGACTGTTGATTCTCCTGAATCTCAGATTGAATTGGGAGGAGTTCTCCTGCTGGCATCGGGTTTGCATGTGGTGATGAAAAAATAGTGTATCACGAAAAGAGCAACAATCCAATTTACACCTCCCTACATGCAGTAGGAGGACAGTACCCATGATTGCACGCGAAGCTACATAGCCCCAAATAGGAATCATCCTCTCCAACAAGTGGTACTCCATGCGCTCCGGTCGTGGGTGGAGTAGGGACTGGATCACCGTACGCATTACAGAGGCATGGCCCCGGCGGGCAATACCCATAATTGCAGCAAAAAGCGCACAGCCCGATATAGTTCTCAGGACCTGATCCAGCGACGCAAACACTTCCTCCCCCTCCACCTCCACCTCCGGCAGGGGGGCTGGGCGAGCTAGTAGGCGGGGACGAAGGCGGAGTAGTGGGTGGTACAGTGGGTGGAATTGTGGGCGAGGTAGTTGGTATACTACTGCTTGTTGTGGGACTGGGAGGACCAGGAGGAACAGTGCCTAGAGAAGGAGTAGGTTGGCAAGTGTGAACACGCAATCCCTGCTCAAATGCAGCAAGTCCATCTGGCTGGAGAGGATCGCTGAAACCCGGCGGAAGGGTTCCCACTATATATTGCGTATTAGCAGTAAAATCATGAGAAAACAGGTATTTCTGCACTTACCATAGGCATTGAAGTTATACAGACCACAGACACAACCATTGATGATCTGTTTCAGACTTGTGCCAGAAAGAATTGTCTGTCCATTGCGAATTACCGCGAAGCTTTGTGAGCCAATCCCCATTGGAATTTCTTTAGCACTTGCGCCAGCTGGTGCATCATAGTTATAGACACTTCCCCCACTATTGACCTGGACCGTGGCTGGAGCCGTGAGCAAGGAAACCACAAAGACGGAATCATGCATGGATTGCCATCCATCGGGTCGTCCCATGAAATAGTTTCCACTACCATTATTTGCTGGAACCATGCATGTATCTGTTGCGTCGCAATCAACACCTCGAGGCGCCGGTCGATACCAGTAAACCAGCTCATCTGAAGAGATATGACTGTCGGGAGAAGACTCGCCCGCTTTGAACGCAGCAATGAATGGTTTTGAGATATCTAACCATCCATCGTGGGGCCTAGAACAGTTAGCCACCTGTATACGAATGAATTGGATATCATCGGGATCTCACATGTCGTTCACCCATTTGGACGCGCCGTCATCGGTGTGTGGGGACTTCAAAGGTCCGATATAATGACATTCTCCGTAGTCATTCCATGTCACAATCTCAATGAAGCGCGGCTTCAAGGCAAGAATTTCATTCCATCGATTAAACCACAAGAGGTCAGATGGGAAGTTCCAATTCTTACTGTAAGAAACCTCAGGTCCAAAATGAGTAAAGAACCACGGTGAGACGGCTATATTATCGTTAGCAAGAATCCTAAGGAAGTTAGTATAGGCATTGATATACTAACGGGCGACATAGGCTTTTCCAGCAAGTGCATCGACATAGACATGGTCTCCATCGGCGACAGAGAAACTTTTTCCAGCACTTGGAGCTTTATTGTTTCCATTATTTGGCCATGCCATCCAGTTCAAGAGGCCATCGACTAGGGAAATGTCGGTTCCATATGATGGATGGAAGTTTGGCGCGAAGAAAATCGGTCTACCCACTGCCGCTCGCAATGCTGCTACATTGAGTCCGTCACCCGCAAAGGAAGAGACAAATATCTTGTTATCGACGATGAGTTGCGCGGGCCTACTGCCATATTGGGCAATTTTCTGGCCGATTGCCCTAGCCTGTCCGATATTCCACCAGTTGAAATCGAACGATATGAAAACCTTCATGTCATTGTTGGCAGCGGAATCGTATGCCAGTTGGAGTTGTTGGTCAGTATATGGGTCAACGCCGATATTAAGCGCAAATGCATCAATTCCTAGGGATTTGGCACGCTTCATATCATCGTCATAGTCAGAAGAACTATGCCTATCACTAGTAATTCCGATCTATTTGACCAATTAGCTAGATGCCAAATCGTACTAAGTGGGAGTCTCACCATGAAGTGGGCAAACACCAGCCGGTCTGTTGATTGTCGTTTGTCAACACGGGTGCCATTATCGAAAGCAGATAGGGCATCTGCCAACATGCATAGGACAGCCAACAGAGCTGGTAGAAAACTACTTCTATTCTTCATGCTTGGAAGTTGCGCAAGAGCAGTCTCTTTCTTGGTTAAATGGATGTATCTATGCGTGGGTCAGCCTAACATCCTTCAACACATCCCTCCATTGACAAGAGAAGCTCAATTTTAGCGCTCACGTTCGAAGCTTCTTAGCATTGACTTTGGTGGTATTAGAACCATACAATAGTTCACGGCTTTCTTCCAATGAGCGTGTGGTCGCTACAAGAATCTGCACACTAATCGATTCTAATGACTGAGATTGATGTCATTGAATCTGCGAAACTATATCAGTGGTGATCCTTGAGTATTTCTAAGAATGGGTGATTGGAACGTCTGAGGGTCATCTGCCGAATGTACAGCAACAACAAAACCCCACCCTGTAGGCCGTGTCATGTACTTTAATTATCGGTCATACGGAAGCCAAATCTAAGGGGCACGCGCTCTCTTCCCTGCCAAGGAAGTTGTTGATGAAAATCCATCCGATTATTTTACCGAGTGAGAATGCTGCGTTAGCATTTTTCTATTCGAGGTCATGTGCGTAGAGCCCCTAAAGAGTATTCAATGAGGGTTATTGTACTACAATCATAGGATGTAGACCAGTAACACCCCAAATTTATCTAGTCACCAGGAAACCAACTAACCTCCCGAATGTAACCCACGGGCTATAATTTCTACATTTGGCGGTGATTTAAATGAACAAGAAATAATCATCGAAGTCAAATGCTTCTGTAGCCCTGGCAATACAGATTATTGGATACCATGGAATTGTGAACATGGCTTAACCAATTAGTACACACTTTCCTTGAGCTCGTTGCCATAATACCTGGGTGGAAATCAAGAAGGAACAGACAACACTGACCAATTCAACGGTTGCCGGTGTAAGTGGGAAGAAATCGAACCCTGCCTTATCAGAAATTTTATCTGTGCCAATTTCGTACTTCTCTCACTAGTTTGCTTACGACTAGGTGGGTTGGATAGCCTACCTACGTATCGGATCGGTTTGGGCTTGAAAGAGACGAAAATTAAGTAATAACCGAGAACCGAAAAGGAACTTTGCGGAGTATATAAGAAGGAAGTCACTTATTTCCCGTCACTTTGTTTGAAGTGATTTACATTGATCTTGGCATTTCTCACTACCTCCCGGTCTCGCTCTCTATATGTGCAACATAAAGAATCAAAAAGGGAAACTCACTGTTGATCAAAAAGTTTGCTGCTATTTCAAACGGAGTGTACATTTACGATACTGCCCGTCGAGCAGGATGAGCAGAAGCTGAGCCCAAAAGAGGTACATAATAGTGACATCCGAATAACCTTTGCTCTTAGATACCGATAATTCACTCCCTAGAAAGAGTAACAGCGTGCGAGTCTTCCCCACGAGTGTTGACTAGTGTTGACTAGTGACAGTCTGGGTGTGATTGTCTATTCAAGAAAGTATCACGGTGTCATTATGCTTCCGCCGTGATGAGACATTAAGCTAGCATATCCGATAACTGCTATGTGTGCAGCACTCTAGACCGTGTGGTGCTACCTGCTGCTAACAGTCAGCGATCATGAGCAGCGAAAAAGAAAAGGTAATTATATGATAAAATCACGTAAAAAAGGCACGTAGATCATCAGGCCAGAAAATATTCTTCTGTGATAGGTTATCTCTGTCCGGATGACTATGTGTGAGGTTGCTAAATTGCATGAAACACTCAGTAAGCCCTCACTCACTCAAACAGCGCTAGAACATAAAGATTTAGATCCCATGCACATTGTGCGCTACTGTGGATGCTAGAAGCGAGAGTAAAGACGTCAGCGAAACTTGAAAACGCCCCGTAATAAACACAAAGTACTAGAAACGCCAGCATAGCTTCCCTGCTATAAGTTATCGATATGTGTGGGGAACAGATCAGCTGTTGTTGCCCGATCGTACGAATGCCTAAGCCCTCAAAAAAAAAAAAAAAAAAGGGTTGTTTACTTATCCGCTCTGATCTTGATATTTTTTATCCCGAGAGCCACAGAATCCTTATTCTCAGCCTCTAACATACCGCATTGATTTAGAAATATAAATAGAACCAGGACACGCGGTTATGACTTTAGCAGAATTTCTGCACTGGGCTAGTTAGTGCTTGGCAGTGGTTAATAGTGCTTGTTAGCGGGAAAAGAACTTTTCGATCCTAATTGACTCACAGTTTTCTATCTTGCCAGTGACAGTGATAAGGAATTGCTGCACAAAGCGTTTTAAAATAATTCGACATTAATCGTCAAGTTGCATGCTTCTAGAAGCTGTGAAAGCGAAGAATCATATCAGTCTTGTGGGGACTGTGCCACGCGGCATATGCGTGTGCCCGTCAAGTTCGAACTCCACCGCCTCTAAAGTGGCTGATTCCACTACGCTTGTGCAAAAATATGCTACTTAACCAGGAGTCGATGTGGCGCGGCATGGCCATCAAACGCAATCATAGACCAGAAAAACGGGTTAAACCTGTTGAAGGGTGGAGGGTATACGTATCCCGACGTCGGGAGTCGCGTGTGGCGGATAAGTCTTAAAGCATGTTGACCCCCGTACAAATTGCATCAAGGCTTTTCACTGCTCTGCAACTTTTATCACCTTACTCGAGCAGTCATGCGCGGCTTAGTAGTCGCCTTATTAGCGGTACAGTGCGCCCAGGTACTCGGCCGCCCTCATGCCGCCGCAAACACAGAATGGGTTCCGGCTAAAACTACAACCACTTTGAACTCAACGCCAATGCCAGAGGCAGGCGAGACTGCCAGACTTCATGAGAAACGTGGATATGGTGAAATTCTCTTGGCCAGAGCCACTACCGAAACGACCGACTCATCGACATCCACAACGGAGAGCACAACGTCGACCACAAGCACGTCAGACACAACTACCACCACCTCAAGCGAGTCAACATCCTCTTCTACATCCTCTTCAACAACTACATCCTCAACTACGACTTCATCAATCACCACTTCTACGAGTTCGACTACTTCAAGTACATCGACATCTAGCAGCTCAACGAGCAGCACATCTACAACAACTAGTAGCACTGCAACTGCAACAAGCACCACCAGTGCCGCGGTGAAAGCGTGGAATCACAAGGGAAACATTGCAGCAATTGTATTTGGCTGCTGTCTCATTTCGCTATTTTCGGGCATCAGCATCGTTCACTGTGCTCGCGATAGGGCGAAGGCGCGACGCATCGCAGCGCGAGAGCTGTTGGAATCCAACGCTTCATACTCAGCAATCCCCCCTGCAGCCACTAAAGGGATATCCACTCCTGAGGTCAACAGCGTTCGGTCCTCGATGATGTTCACCAATAAGCCACAGACAAGTTACTTCCCATCAACACGGAGTGTCCCTTCGGTGTCCAACTATCACAGTCACACTCCTTCAGAAGCCTCGCAACTCACAGCGGATCAGATGTCTACAGGGGAGCAAACATCGCGACCGCAAACCAGTGACGCTAATACGCCTTTGGTTTGACGCAGCCTTCCACCACGATAGACGCCACAATGTGAAGCCAGTTAGACTGTTTTCTATATGAACATATTCATAGCTCACCAAAGACATGCTTTATGAAAATTCCTCGTTCTTGTACATCTTATTGTACTTGCGTATGTAGTCAAACTAGGTTCTCCAGGTGGTCCAAGCGCTCAAGTTCGACGGTTCTTGGAGATCTTTTCCATTCGCCTCCCAGACTCATATTGTCGGTCGCTGATGAGACATATGTAAATGATCATGTCTCTGAAGAATCCTACTTGGTCCCTCAATTATCACTCTCGCTTACTAGGACACCTATGACCATGTTAGGATATGGATGTTTTCACTGCGGCAAAATGACCAATTATTGACAAGGAATCCTTTATACAGCAGACCCTCCTCGCAAGGGTTATCTATCCTACTTGGGCAATATTCCGATGTCAATTAGCTCAACATTGTGTTGCAAACAAAGCCTCTGATTGGATGTATATCATGGTCATGAACCAATGACGGTCTGTGGCGCAAGTTGCTCCTCACCTCATTTGGACTCTAAATTGATTAAAGGCTGATAGAGGAAGAAGATAATATGATGATAATTTCGCTTATGCACACAAGTGGCTTCAATACCACCACGTGGACATACGATAGGCCAGCACGTATTAGGCTAATTGGTGACAGCCGAGATTAGATAGTATTGAGCGATGCCATGAACGCATGTCTCAAGCAAGGATGTTCAAACAGTCGGAACTATAAATGTTGTTGTATCACGTCACAGTTGAATATAAATGTGAGAATTAAAACCATCATGAAGACTCCATTCTTTTTGCTCCTTGTTGGCCTTACAACAATAGTCCGATCGGAACTCTTAGCTCCGGCCAACGACATCTTGTTCCCGTCAAGCAAGACATCCAGCAATCCTCTACAGTACGCCGGCGGAAATAGCCCCTATTTTGCTGGTCAGAATGCCTTAAATTCGGATCAATTACAAGTTGTTGATTTGATTCAGGACCTAACGTCCATGGCATCAAGAATGAGGTACCAGATCGGTGCTCTGTCCGACAAGCTGCTTATATCGTCCGGCATGGCAGTAGGTAAGTAACTTACTACAGATCGATCGTCAATTCGGTCTAACCAAGCGTATCTTCAGATTTCCCGACACTGGCTCATATAACGCCTGGGTTGCAATTCATGACAAGGTTGGTGGTGCCTTTAATCACTGGAGAGACTGGTCTTATCATGAAAATAGATTCAACGTGCGGTGAATCAGACCGGGTTCAAAGCACGCGGCTCATTGGACTTCATATCCGAATGGAAGCCGGTACTGAGCAATCCTAGCTTACAGCTAGCACAGGAGTCAATGACAGGCTGGAAAGAGGTATGATGGGATATTTGCGCTTGATCAGGATGCTGTTGTTAACGCCAATTACTAGGCAAGCGATCTCGGCTATCAGCTGCGAGCCAAGTGTTAGCTTTATCTCTATCAATCCGTCGGGAGTTATTGGTGTACTGACCTGTAATAGATCCGCACTTTTATCAAGACGGCAATCCATTCTATGTTTGGGCAAACCAATACAAGTCTCCGATCAACAGCTCGCGGGTTGTTCAAACTGCGAGAGCCTTCATCCGGGGATACCTCTACGAGTATGCCGACACATATGGGACTGTTGTGAGCGTGAATTCCACTGGCTCCAATAGTGCAATTGGAAACTCGCTTGGCCCTTCAGACTCATGCCCTGCATTTGGTTCCACGATCAGCGGAGGAAACAATGTAACAAATTGTCAGTGATCTGAGCCTTGCCCCCCCTTTTCCTTTTCGAGTATTAGGAAAGGATGCTTTAGGCTATCCTACCTACTACGAAAGTTTGGGAACAGCAGCTTACATTATTACAGGGGACGCTACCTGGGTTCCAAAGACTGTCAAGCGTATCAATTCGCAACTAAGTGGAAACCTCACTTTTGACGAAACGGAAGTCCTCTTCTTCCCCTGTATGTGCGCATACGAGAGCCAAATTACAGGGCAACTGAGTCCTTGGTGTGGTGTGTTTACGGAGAATGAGCTTCGTAAATATGCCTATTCTCAGGACTTGAGCTATTTCTATAGCGTCGGGCCCGGCTCAATCGGACCAGCCAAAGTCCTCTTTCTTCCCTTCCTCGAAAGTCTGATTTCACTACTTGAAAAGGGCCCGGGGCAAATAGGCATTGGTAGAGATGGCGCCAATTTCGAGGTTCCAAATCTTATCATGGCATTCTTGAATGATAATCAAATTGCTGAAATGACCGCTGCCATGGGAATCTTTGACTCGGAGGGACTGCTTCCTGATGACCATATACCAGCTAATCATCTTTATAATGTGGCGAATTTCATTACTATGCGTGGAACGGTTGCCTTTGAAGTCATGGATTGTGAGCCAGAATCCAAAAGCTCCTCCTCCAATGAGACATACATTCGAATCCTCTTCAACGATGCCGTTTACCCCATCGCGAGCTGCCGCAGTGGGCCCGGAAGCAGCTGTCCCCTGTCTAAATATGCTTCGATTATCCACAAAAAGCTGAATGGGGCAGGAAACTTCCAAGACTACTGCAATATTACCAAAAACAGTCATCCGGAGCGCGTCCTGGGGGCCAGCTTTTTCAGCGACATGTCACTAGACTTCCTAACTTTTGTCGCCCCATAGTCAATTATCTTCCTCAAAGGTCTCATGCAGAACTTATGAGAGTTGCGATTGGGATCTCTTAAGTCCCAAGTCGATTGAAGGATGTCGCTCAGATATTACCTAAGTAGGTAAGAGTCGGCGACTCGGACTCGCGATGGAATCGCGATGGACTATGTACATACTCTCATCTTTTTCAGGACACAAATAGTCGCATGTTTTATCTCAGTTCTTCTCTTTCTTGATTTCAGAGAGCAAAGCTCCTTAGACACGCAAATTCACACTGGAAAACACTGGAAATCTTCGGAGTTTTTCGCTTGATTTATCTTATCATCCCGGCATTTTTACAATGGAACCACTCAACATCGCCGTTGTTGGTCTGGGGAGAATGGTAAGTATATTATATCATTGGGTATAAGCTAGCGACATTTTCTAACATTTCCAGGGCAAACGCCATGTCCACACTCTGGTGTATCGCGTCCCCCGCGCTCGTGTAGTGGCTGTATGTACCACCGACAAGAATGAGATTGAATGGGCAACGAACAATGAAGAGTACAAGGACTTCGGTATTCAAGTCTACAGCAACTATGATGAGATGCTTGGCCACCGAGGTCTCCACGCTGTCTGGATTTCGACCAGTACCGATGTCCACGCAAGTCAGTCACTGGCCGCCATTGCCAAGGGCATTCATACACTGTGCGAGAAGCCGTTGAGCACCGACCTTGCTGAGGTAAGTCCTTCCCAACTTGTCCGACTTTCTCCAGACCATGATACTTATCTCACACGTTTGGCAGGCGCAATATGTGGTGGAGGCTGCTAAATGTAACCCTTCCGTCAAGGTCATGGCAGGCTTTTCTCGCAGATTCGACGCCTCCTATCGCGATGCCGCGGAAAAGATCTACCAGCAGGAGGCCATCGGTTGACCATTCATGGTCCGATCCAACACTTGTGATCTGCGTGATGAAACTGGGTTCTTGTCCGATACGCTTCTCGCAATGGAGGCATTTTTGTCGACTGCGCTATCCATAACATCGACCTCTCCCTTTGGTATCTTGGCAACCCAGTCCCTAAAGCCTGCTGGGCGGCCGGAACTCTTCAGCACCATCCGGAGTTGAAGGATCTCTCCGACGTTGACAATGTAGTCGGCGTTGTCGAGTTCAGGGGTGGAAAGATTGCATACTTCTATTGCTCTCGCACCCAGGCGCATGGACATGACGTCTCCACTGAGATCACCGAAACCAACGGCAAGTTGATGGTCAACGTCATTCCAAACCAAAACAACGTTGTCCTCGCCGACAAGCTCGGCATGAAACATGAAGTGCAGCCCGAGTACTGGCAGAGATTCGAGGATGCATTTGCCCTGGAAGCCAACGAGATTGTCGAAGCAATTGTCAAAAATAAAGAGCTTCCCTTGTCGCTTGGAACTGGTATCACTGTGATGAAGATTGGCCAGGCCCTTCAGCAGGCTTTGTTGACTGGTGAAGTGACAAGAGTCAATGAGAGTGGAGAAAGATTAAACTAGAACGATACTTTGTTAGGAATTATATAGAGTACTTGTCTTCCTCGTTTGTCACATATGATTATTTTTTCGCACGGAATATATAATGTCTTACAGTGAATTATCATAGTCTGGTAGCTACGAGAATTCTAGGAATTGTTCTCCTTATACTTGTAGCTACACCTTGCAATGTTACAATATAGCTTATGTTATTTGACAGTCGATGTAAGAACCTTAACTTAATTTACTTTTCAAAATATCGAGGGTTTTTTAGCATAGTCAATGGCTATTTGCTCAGTATCGCGTTGACGTCAAGATGGACTCTCCCATTTCTTCCCGATGTGGCAATTCGTGGGGATGCGGGGTAACCCCTTTCTGGTAGGAGCCGCCGTGTCTCTTTTGCAACTTCGCAACGTCTGTTCTTTGCATGAAATATGTCAACTGCCACCGCAGGCGTACCTTGTTCGAGTTGTCGCGGTAAGTGCACCTCAGTTAATCTCCCCGATTTTAGCTAATTCTCTCATTAGAGAGTCATCAAAAGTGTAAGTGGATCCTACAACGCGAAACATCCATCAATGAACGCCGCCGGGCACATTCCGCCGTGCTGAACATCCCTGACCTTAATAGGTGACAGAAGAAAGCCGATTTGCAGGCGATGTGAGGCTAAAGGCCTTGATTGCAGACCGGCGCGACGCCAACCCGTCTTTCGGCATGGCTCCACGGCAATTCTGGATGCCAATTTCAAACAAGACCAGACATGGGTGAATAGCAGGCCTAAAAACTGGAGATCGTCAGCTCGTTCCTCTACATTGTCTAAGCGTCGACCTAGTACGGCAGTCTCAGGGTCATCGCCACACCCCGAGGCACCACTGCCTGGCCTGGGCCAGACTTCCAGTGATAGACATGATATCCATTCTCGGAATCATCAAAACTTTGACTCCGATAGGCCTGGAAATTATGCGCAAATTGAAGCCTCCGGAGAATTTCGATCCGGGAAAGAGGGCACTGGACTGACAGGTGTCTCTCCCCACTCCTCGGCCACCATCTCAGACTCCCCGACAATTTTGCAGAGCCGCGATGGATTTTTCAACACACAATATCCACCAAACTCAAGATGCCACCCGGACGATGATAATGCCCGGAACGGAGCTCATATAACAATTCACGGAGGCCTTTCTGAGTTCGGCCATCAATCCCCCTCTTCTAATGGAAGCCTCGGGCATGTGACAGCCGATGTTCAGGAGTCTTGCTTGCTCCGCTACTTCATCGAGGAGCTGTCTCCTTGGGTATGTTGGACCCTCTCTTCTCGAACCCTTGATGTCATTGAAGATAACATCTTTTAGTTTGACCACTGCGATGACCGTAGACAATTTCAGTTGGTAGTTCCTCGTCGGGCTGCGCAGTGTCTAGCTCTGAAAAATGCTGTCTTTGCAGTATCCTCCCGTCATCTCTCTCGCTTGCCTCAGTATATGACTCCTCATGGCGTCGTGTATCGCGGGCAGGCTCTTCCCAATTTGAAACACACTACTTCACTTGAATACATGCTGAAGTGTATTCCAGAACTGATTCAATTTCCAGAAATCCAAGATCCGCGACATCAGGAGAACATAATGGCCGCCACTGTAATACTGCGTCAGTATGAAGAGATGGAAGAGGAAACTGAGGAAAACGATGAGAAGTCCCATGCCAACGATCGAGTCAACTTTTTGGCTATCACTCAAACCATCATCGACACAATGATTTCAACACCAATCCACCATTCCCTTGCCGCTGCGGCACACTGGATCACGATTCGACAGGAAGTATACTATGCGTTCACCAGACAGCGATGCCCGCAATTCCGGCTCGGCACTGAGCACTGGCAAACTACTTCGGTTGCCAACACCATGGTAATGTTCGCCAGTCAGGTAGCACGATGGCGCTGGGGAATGAAGAAAGCTGAAGAATGGGGTAAGCAGCCCCGCGGGACAAGTGGGAGCCATGTGAACTAACTTGACCATTTTTTAATCAGAGCCGTTAAAGATGCAACATCAACACCTGAGTCAAGAGTTCCGATCTGAATTGGAACCACTCCTTGAGCAAAAGCCAGATCGAGCTAAGGGTGAAATATTCCCTACGATTTGGTATTGTTACGATTCCCAGGTGACGGCCATCCAGCACTTGAAACTGGGTGAGATGATTCTTATTGCGGAAAGTCCGCATCTAGAGTGAGCATAACCTCCGTCAGATGTGAAAAATAAACTCTAACCAAATATACATATCTAGAAATGCTAGAGGGGCCGTTCATCGCAAGGCCGAGGCGCAAGTCCGATCCATCGTGCTAAGCATTTGTGGAATCGCGATAAATCATCCGCGGTGCCAGCCTGCGATGGTGAATGCTGTTATTTCGATCACGCTTTATGGTGGGTACTTCACCCGGCCCGAGGACAGGGACGCATTGCTTGGGATTATACACCAAACTATGGAGTTGCATTCGTGGCCTATGCGAAAGCCTTGCCAACAACTGCTAGACCAATGGGAAATGGTAGATAATGCCGAGCTCTAGTGTGACAATTTGGAATGAAGCTTGATGCCCCTGTATTGGTTTAGAACTCTATAGCACATCTATATGAACGTCATTATTAGCATATAGATTTGAAGCAGTGTTTTAACGAGCCTTGGAACTTGGAAGGCCTTCAAGGTCATACGACTGGGTAAAGTCATCCGAGCTGGTGACTTCCTTTCCTCCTCCAGCAGTTCTAATGCATAGTGGTCATTCAACCTGGTGCTCGGGGGTTATGGCAATCAACATATCTCCTAGATGTTTGCCAAAGACAGTTACTATATGGAGGATTTGCTCTCTAGGTAACGTCAGGTGTCTCAATACATAATCCAACTGTATATTAGTATTCACTTAATAGACGACATGAGAAACATTCAATGTGGTCCCTTCCGTCTCGAGACCGTATGTCGGTTCCGAATCACCTGTACGCGAAGCAATTGAAACTAGCATACCCAAAACAGCAAACTCTAGCTTGAGTTTGATACTGTAAACCATAGCCTTCAAAATAACTTGAGTGAAGTAGAGACCAACGTATTCCAGGATAAGGAGCGATATATCCATGATAATCGCGGCGAGGTTTATGGCGACTAGCTCATACAATATCTTGATTCGTCGTTTGTCTCCCTCTGGGCTTGTCCGGATCAATTTCGCAGTTTCCCTTATATAGATCGTAGAGATGAATGTCTCTTGCGCACAGAACCAGGTCAATTGCACCTTTTCTATGACATCATACCCCTGTATCCATGCTGGTGTCTTAATAAAAGCCCAACCGGCATTTAGAATAGTTGTTAGGATAAGAAGGATGATTGTGTCAATGATAATCAGATACCGTATGAAGCGAAGCAATTTGTAGTTTTGCGATACCAGGTGTAGTCGCGAGTATAGGACGACAGACTGACCCGGGACCATAAAGTAGAATCCGATAATTGCAAGGGTAAAGGTCAACGATATGGGAGCAAGGTTGAAAAATTGCAACAAGGTCCCTATGCTGGTCGGTATCACCCCGAGGATGTTGGAGGTTAAAAGCGCCCAAAAATAAAGGCTTCTGTAGCGCTTAAAGCTCAATAGAATGAGAATAAGCAACTCCAATGAGTTATATAGAGCGATAGAGATGAAAACGATGGCACTGATTGTGGTAGCCTGGCTGCTGTTATTGATTCAATCAGTGGGTGTTTCTCAAATTCAGACAACTTGGGGTGCAGAGAGGCACGCAACGTACAGGTTGGGTATCATTGCGTAACTGTGAGAGGCATAGTGCAGGTAAGATGATACTAGCCATTCTCTGCATACATTCTCGTTTTTAGAAATAATAACTGGGAAGGAACCACATCTGCAGTACATATCCCCTGACCACGTGGAATCAATGTGGAGAGAGCACGCGGGCCAACCTAACTGGCTAAGGATTAATATTTTTGCCTATCGGACCTAGTACCTTCAGGCCTAATCGCTCATCAAATGGGGGCAAGAAGTCTACGCCACAGAGTGAACAACGCGTCATAGACTCTCCCACCACCTATGAGTCCATATAATGACATTCATTAGTTTTTTAGTATGTCATGATATTATTGGCTCCCTGAACTGTATCCATACAATGTGCTGTCCCACTGCCAAGAAGGGGGTTATATTATTGTGCCTTTTGGAGCAGTTGTTACCAGTCCGCTCGTGGTGGCGCTGGCGCTCGTTGCACTTACTTGCTCATGGGTTTTATAGTGGTTTTACTAAGGCCTAACTGCTCTGCACGGATACAGTATAGTCATGCCAAGCAAAGCGATCCTGAAGGAAAACGTTGTGATATGAGAGTGAGGCTGGTGACACGACAGAGTTCTTAAACATCGGAACGAGTTATTCCAGGACTTTCGGGCAAAGTTACGCTAGAACGTGCCTGACATCCCCTAAGGGCATGTTAATGCAATTTAATGCCATAACTTATATGTAATGAAGTAATAATAAGTACTCGTCGTATTATAATTAGAATCAGGCGCTGTATTGATGCTGCTGCGAGAAAATTGATGTTCCGAGGCTACCTTCATGTACACTAAAGGGCCCCCGATTCTTGTCAGATAATCAATCTTGGAGTATAGAAGGTCGCACCAGTTTCGGGGCGTACTGTAAATGATTACTATAGATAATTTGGATGGAGTTATACAACCGCCGTAAGCCCATGAAGTCCATTTGCGGTATTGCATATGTCCCACTGCCTGGCTAAGACTTCACTATATGAAATACAATGCTAGCTTCCCAATGTATATAATCAATAACAACTGGAAACTGTGGCTTCCGATGGCCACACCTGGCAACGGAAGGATAGAAGCAATAAGCAGTGAACTCAAAACACCATCCTCATCTTAAGTTTGTCGTGATCGATGATCTCGTCTTTCTTTGCTAAGAGTTCCTCCATATCCCATGGACAGCTCACGTATCTTCCACCTAGCCACTCCCTGCGCTCAGCAGCCAACCATGCTATCGTATCGCCAGCTATATCCGGACGATCGGGCAACGTATTACGAACCATTTTCGGCGCACCCTCAGTAATCTTTGTTTTTATCGCTCCCGGATTGACACAGAACGTCAGAAGCCCTTCATCGCCGTATTCTAATTGCAAAGACTCAGTCCACCTCAATATCGCAAACTTCGAACTTCGATAACTTCCGCTAACGGGTCGAGCGCTCAATGCACCTGAGGAGGACACATTGATCATTGTGCATAAACCTTCGGACTTAGCACGGGTTGAGAGTTGCATAGGGAGAAATGTGCGAGCCATGTTAAAGAGACCTTGAACGTTGACTTCCCATGTTCGCCAGTACACACCTGGGTCTGAATCGAGGATTGGCTTGTATGGTTCCATGTGAGCCGCATTGTTCACGACAATATCCAGACGCCCACCAAAGCCCTGTGACACGATGTCATGCATTGCGTGGACGCTGTCCTGCCTTGCAATATCAACCGTGCAGCTAAGCACCTTGGGCTCTGGGCGACCGGCTTGCGCTGCGGCCAACTTCAACTTCACAACGAGGTCGCCTGACACGCCGTGTAGGTCGGCCACTGCTATCGCAGACGCTCCTGCCCGTGCAAAAGCTACGGCAGTAGCATATCCGACTCCATTCTCCCAAGCAGCTCCTGTGATCAGAACGTGTTTCCCGGCTAGGTCCAGCTTTAATGGTGAAATGTAGTCGTAGGACGTGGAGTGACGTGTGGCAGTGAAATAGCCACCAGAAAGCTCTCTTCCGTTCGACATTCTCGAATTGTTATTGCAGACGAAAATTTAATAACGCAGTGCTCGAAGTTCCTGTTAAATATCCCAACGGAACCAATAGTTGAAGAGAGGCGGCGCAACAGATCCTCCGATACTTCGGGGACTTTCTCTATTTCTGACAACGTAATCGGCCCAATTTCGGTCAGGAGGGATTGGGGGTTGGAATGTTACATAGGTGCCAATCAAATACATTGGTAATATTGTAAGTAAATATCGTAACCTACTCATGCCCAGGTGCTGTGCACGGGCCTATTCCGCCTAAGTCATCTGGATCACCTTTCGCTCTCCTTGGTGAAGGATGATGATAAAACATCCCTCGGTATGATTAATAAACATAATATACAAATCTGCAACATGCAGATTACCTACCACGACTCCCAGCGCGCCTAAGCACGGACGTTCCCACTCAGAATTGAGAATGAGTTCTAAGCGAGCTCAATGCATGCCTAAGCTGTCTTCTTCCCATTCTGACGTGAGCGAGGACCTGACGTGAGCGAGGGCCCTCGCCAGCTGTGGGCTTTCAGGCGACATTGATGAGGTATGTAATGTCTCCAAATCCCAGGTTAGGTCGCTCATCCGCAATTTCGAAATCTGTTTCATCCTCAATCTTCATCTAAACACATCCGAAATACCTTGCATTCGAACTTCACACGTCTTTCGCCGAATCTCAAATCAGTATCCCAAATTGGATCTTCCTATGGCTTTTCCCCGCCGCCTGCTCAGCCATTCAACATGGCGTCTGATCGGCCTTGGCCTCACAACCACCGTCTTTTCCTTGGGAGCCTTGTGCCTGTTCGCACCATCTGTTGCTGCAGATTCTCTTGGTGTCACGCCTACCTCATTGGAAGGTCACAACATAACCGAAAAAGCGATGATATTCCTTGGTATACGTGATTTGGCCGTTGGAATAGCGCTGTTTTGGTTCTATCGTGACAGAAAGGAGAAGGAGATGGGAGTTTTGTTAACAGCCTGGACTACGGTGTGTGTGGTGGATACGTGGGTTACGACACAGGGGCCGAGAGGATGGGATAAGGGCGTTTGGGGACTGTGTGGAGGGGCGGCGGTGGTTGCGCTCGGGGGGCTGGGGCTGTTGCAGGCGTGAGGACTATGGATTGACGGGGGTGCTGGAACTTAGGCGTGGGAAGTGCTGAGCAATGGAGAGGGTTGCCGAGTACAGTACAATCAATTTGAATGTTACGGTATGGACGAACGTATGAATCTTTTACCCTACTCCCTCGCAATCAGGCCGTATGCAGATAACCAGCCGTCTTCTTTGGATCAGAGATGATACAGGAAAAGGCAAGACAATGCCTGTGCGCTATCATCAAGGAATCGACACAATCGGCGGGCGGCACTGCGAAAATCTTGTTCTTTTTCTGCCCAGCCACAGACGTGCGAACCAATCATGTCATGGCCGTTCTCTGGGGTTCGACCTATTCATTGTCGAGAAGCAGCAGTCTCTTCTCTCTCATGTACGGAAACGGTACGACCAAGTGCGAAAAGCACTGTTTGAGGCCATAAACGCATTGAATGTGCTCTTGAAGCGATTCAGAGAGACCACTTGCCACGAATAGAATAGTAATCCAGCCTAAATATGATTTAGTAAATAGAGAATAGCCCACACCGGCGTACTGCATTTACCTTTCTGTATGGTTTCAGGATGTACTGTGATCTTATCAACTTACCAACTCAATCTGAATTTATCCTCTCGTTTTCTGGCCCTCTCTCCTTCTTTGTTCCCCATGCTTAAGTTTTCGTTGAAATAATAGTATGTTAGTATCTTCTGTCTTCTCTAACTTGGACTTTGAGAAATTAAGTCCGTAGTCCACAGGCACACTATTATCAGGCAAACCAAGCCTGTAGAGATTAGACCTTGACAGGTCATTGTTCTCGAATATCTATGAAACCGCCGAAGAAGGAACTTCAAACCCACCTGTGCGCTTCCTCACGCGCTACGACAAGTCTGCAACAAATATCAAAGACTCTCAGTTGTGGATTGGTATCGGTCAAGTCCCCTGGGCTACTGCTTACTCTAAATGGTACCACCAGTACATTGCGTACCCAATTCAGGCTTTGACTGCTGCTATCTTGTTGGATGACTAGGTAATATAATTGATTGAATAGATGATAACACAAGGTTTGGCGCCACGACGGCACCAAAATGTTACCATTTGTAAGGCCTAGCTAGGCCGTGGAGAAAGTGTTATCGAGTCCAGGGTGTCTACAGTGGCGCCCGACTTCGCCTTCTATATTTGGGAGTCGAGAGATGCTCTTTCAAACACTAATCACACGACCACTTGATCCAGATAAGGTTAGTCCGTATTGTCTTCTCTCTTAACAGTTGCATAGTGGCACGAAATTTGAGTTCCTGGCAGCGTAAAATGATGGTACACATGATAAGCAGCAGGGACAATCTCACTACATCACAAAAGGCCAAGTTGGTAAACCGTAGTAAGCGTTCTATCACAAACATCCGCAAGAACATGCAGCTGTTAGGTAATAACAAGTGGTGACTAATGTGGTAATCTTAACGAAATATTTGATCCGCAGCTTTGCAGTCATGGCGCTTCTGGTGGTAATTTACCGGGTCCTCGACTCGATAGAATACACTGATATTCTCATAAAGGGGCGTCACCGACGGTTGGTCTACCTGTCGCTGCTAATGCCTCTCGTAGCATCTGCTCCATTGTTTCTAGAGCCCCGACTTCTGCTAAATCAAGCGGCGTGCATGCGTTGAAGGAACTAATACCAGGGTCAACACCAGCATCTAATAGGGTCCGGACGGTGTCTTCATGTTCATTTTCAACCGCCCAATGCAGAGCCGTCCAGCCACTATAATCCTGAAGGTTCCTTGTTTCACTGTTTGCCAAAAGAATCTTGGCAATTTCATCCTCGCCCTCCTGGGAAGCAAGATGCAGTGCTGTCTTTCCCTCGTTGTCCCTAGCAGACCTATCAGCCTCTGTATTGAGAAGAAGTTCAAGAACTTCAATATGACTCCCCAGAACGGCTCGGTGCAGCGCTGTATATCCGCTTGAATCTTTGAAAGACAGATCAATACCATGTACGATGAGAAGTTGAACCACCAATTCGTGCCCAGCTTCTGCAGCCTCTAAAAAGGCTTCCTTGACGGTCTCGTCAAGGGTGGTACCGAGATCAAGAAGCATATTTGCGATCGTCGCATGCCCATGGAGTACTGCATAGTATAACGGAGACCGACCATCGATATCTTTGACGTCTGATCCGACTTTGATACTCAGCAACATTTTGACCGTATCCTCAAGTCCTTCCCCAGCTGTATAATGCAGAGCTGTGCGAAGTCTGTTGTCGGTGAGATGTGGATTGCTGCCCCGTTGGATAAGCAATTGAACGACAGCCTCATGGCCATTTTGAGCGGCCAAGTGCAGCGCTAATTCCCCATTTTGATTTTGAATCTGGTCGAGGGCCCCGGCTTCCAATAAAGCTGTCGTTATACCAAGATGGCCCTCGTTAGCTGCCCAATGTATCGGAGTCCACCCTGTATGGCTGAGAGCATGTATATCAGCCTTGTGATTCAGCAAAATAGGAACTATCTCTTCATGTCCTTTTGCTGCCCAGTGTAAGGGGGTCTGTTTCTTGTCATTTATGCTATCGACATGCGCTCCGGCTTCTATCAGCATATCGGCGATTGTTGCTTTCCCTGAAAGGACAGCGAAGTGTAGTGGCGTGGTCCCATCCTCATCTGGGATTGAAGGACTACTTCCGGCAGCTAGAAGCAGCCGCACGGTTGCGACTTGACCGGCGCCACTGGCTTGAAGAAGAGGGGTTTTTCCATCTAAACTTTGAGCAGACACATTCGCCCCAGCTTTTAGGAGAAGCTGGACAACGTCAACAAAACCCATTAAAGATGCCTGGTGCAGTGGCGTAGCATTTTCGTGACCTTGCAGAGAAGGGTCTGCTCCCTTATCCAGAAGCTCCCGTACGATAGCAAGATAACCGTTGCCGGCAGCGAGGTGCAATGGTGAGTCGCCTTCTTCATCTTGAATGACGACGGTTGCTCCAGCACAAAGCAGCGCCCGAGCTATCTCAAGATGCCCTTCCGAAACAGCCAAATGAAGTGGCGTATGACCATGGGCATCCTTGACATCAATAGGAGCTCTGTGGCTTAGTAGCATCTCTGCAATCTGGCTATATCCCTTGATAGCAGCCGCATGTAGGGTCGTTCTTTGAGCCTGGCCGATCCTTGCATCGGTAATGGTGGCTCCTTTGTTCAAAAGAACCTCCACAACGCGATCATATCCCGTTATAATGGCAAGATCCAGCGGACTAAGCCCATTCTTACGACGTGCATTGATATCGGCTCCCACATCAATGAGTAAAGACGCCACGCTGCAGTGCCCAAAAGCAGCGGCCAAGTGCAATGGCGTGTTTCCCTCATCATCAGCGGCGCAGGGATCGGCTCCTCCCTCCAGATAATGCTGGACAATGCTTACATGTCCACATACAACTGCAGAAAACAATATCGTTCGTCCATGTTCGCGGAGACTAGATGAGTACGCTGAGACAGCGAGCTGGGCGAACCCCTCCGCGGCTTGCGCGAGAGCCACGACATCTGAGGGTTCCAAATACTCAAATAGTTCCAGAACGATCTCTGGGGGAAGTGGGAGCCCCCACCAGCGGCCCATGTCGAGTGCCGTTTCAGTGAGAGTAAGAATAAGGAAAAGTTGAGTCCAAGTGGCCAGTGGCCCTACCTTGGCGGAATACGAGATTTAGACCCATCACGTGCGGAAGAGACGGTGTGTGCCAAGAGGGAATAGAAATCGGGTAGAAGATTTCAGAAGATCTTTTTCCTAGATATATTCTCATCCAAAGTAGCCTAAATCAATGTCGAAGACCAACGGTAGATCTGATTTCGAATGGTTATAACTGCATGCCTACTTCTATTGTCTGCGTGACCCATAATCCTCCTTGCGCAGCCGATCCCGTTCTTCTCCCTCCATAGCTGATATCACACAAAATTTGCCTTTCCCATCTCTATCCACATGTTACTATCGTATATCACCGACAGATCAACTTTGCCTCTAGATGTCATTTGGAAGACTAGGTATACCAAAATGGCTTACCTCATGATGATAAGCGATAGTGGAGACTCCGAAACAAAGCCTCACTATTGAGCCTTGCCTATCATCTTGACCCCAGATGGACCCTCATGCACCAAGCTCTCTGTAGTAAAGCAACTGCGAGATGCAGAAGGGACAAGTTGACATTCTATCAGTTCTCTTGTATCTGTCTTACAATATAAAAAAAGCATCTGGCATTATTAAGGAAAGGTACAAAACATGTTATTTTTACGTATCATGCGATTAGGGTTTGAAAAGAGCATCTCTGTGTTTTCGACATGGAAGGCGAAGTCGGGTGTCACTGTACAACTCCAAGAGCCGGGACCCGCGTATTTAGCTTTAAGGGGCTAAACTAGAAACAGCAATAAAGTCTTCACACCAGGTCGCGGGTCTAAATTATGGAACGGTGACGAAACTAGATCTATTATCACAAATATTCTTGAGAAGTCCGGTTGCTCTGAAATACAAAAGCTTAAGTGCGTTCTAAATTTTTCTCTCGTGCCGTCTCCAATATGACCCGATTTTGTGTAAACAGGCCAAAGTCGGTAGTCTTTTAAATACAATATGGTCTATGCAGTCCCATGACCTGCTATATTGGCTCAATTATCACAACAATATGTCAGTCTAACGTACTGGTATAGATGGCGTGGGCGGTAAGATTTGATACTTTCGCTCATTAATACTTTATATATTGCAGGGTTTCTGCAAATAATTATCAATATTACTTCATGTTGTCGGTTAGGGGCTCATCAGAAGAGCGTGATGGAAGATCTAACTGGTAGACCTCAACGAAGATTCGGGCATCTGCGCGAAGCGTGGGGGAGATGTCTTCACTTTGCGTGAGGAAGCCAACTATGCGTCTGAGAAGGGGCTCAAGGAGCTCTGCGTCGACAAGCGCGTGCAGGTTAGACCTGTAGGTGGCGGACAGAACGAGCATGTTGCCGAACTGCCTGCAGAAGGAAAAACAATGTTAAAATTGTCTGTTTTTCTTTACGCATGGGCTGTACCGAATATGTTGTTTACCAGCAACCGATGTCCACCTACATATCTTTCAGTAATGCGTGCAAGTCGTGGTGGGCGTTCAGTATGCGCACGTTACTCGATGGCTGACTCGTACTCCGGGAGTCGTTGGCGGGACTGGCCCAGCACCCTTTGACGCTACGACCGGTATCAAGATATAGCGAAGAGAATTATATCACATTTGCTCTGGGTAATCGTTCCCAACTGGTCTGATGCCTAAGATATTGCAAATTTTCGTTTTGGCGCTTAAATTGTTGTCCTTTTGAAACTGCGAACTGCGGGGAAAAGTGCCATCCAACCTTCTTTTCATCTTCCCCTTGCTGCGTATTACCCAGGCGCCATGAAATCCTGTCAGCAATGTCGAGATACCAAGCGCAAATGTTTGCCTAGCAAGGGCAGTGAGTCATCGTCTTCCTGTAACCGCTGCCTACGCCTTCACCTTGAATGTTCACATTCTCAGGCCAGGCGACTAGTGCGGACGCGGCTCGAGGCACGTCAGCCCGTTGCTTGGACATCAGCAGAATCTCAGACTCGGTCCACGAGAGTAGAGGCTTTCCTCTCCGACGATGTGTCTGTTGGGTTGCTGATCCACGAATATCTGTCCAAGATTCACGGTCGGCCCCATAGCATTTTTCATGCAGCGACTCTGTGGAAAGACATTCGCGACCGGCGAGCCAGCAAGGCTTTGGTTCTGGCTATCTGCGCAATGGGCGCTCACGTTGCAACGCAGCCAGCTCTACGATCACTGGAGCCTCTGCTCACCGCAGAGTCCAAACGGCTACTTCAGATCGATCTTGAGCGAGTGTGTCTGGAAAACATTCAAACCTGCATTCTAGTGGCAAATCTCTGCGTGGCACATGCAAACCCATCGTCGGAGTTTCTGTTCTTTCGTAAGTTTTTTTTACTTATCACCCTTTTGATTCTTATGATTTCAACAATTCATACATGAGGGTGTGTCTGTCCGCCGCCAGTGCCTGGATGTGTAGATACTCATGTTGGATGAGACTATAGGAACAGCAATTGCAATGATGCAATTGATGGAATCCCGTACGACACAAGCGAACGACAACGCAGTCTCGCATGAGCTCCGGATCCGAATCTGGTGGGCCCTTTTTGCAGCGGATAGTTGGTGCTCTTCGAGCCTCGGCTTCCCCCGCCATATGAAGGACTGGCCACGACCAGCTCGTTTACCCATTGATGAGCGCTTGTTTGCTGACATGAATCCAGACGAGCCACTAAATGACCCAAAAGGGCCATGTGAGAGCCCTGGCCTGTGGGCACACATGGCCACGCTCATCGAAGTGTTCAGCCCAATCCAGGAACTTAACTGGCGCGCAGCCAACAATGAGGGACTGCAACTGGATCAAATTGAGCAGGACACGGATTATCTCGCCCAACTGCTGGATCACTGGCAAATGACACTTCCGCCCGATGTCCAGTTGACGGAATCGAACCTCATAGCGCACAGCAAACGGGGCACGGGTGGCATCTTCATGGGCCTCCATCTAGGCTTTCACCACTACGCCGTCTTACTCTTTTACCAGTATCTTGATACACAATCCACGTTTAGTACGCGTGCTCGGCGATTTGCAGCTCGATGTAAACACCATGCTCTCAGTTATAGCACATGGCTCGCCAGGGGGAGAGAGCAGCCCGGATGCGAGGCCGTGTATCCAACTGTCGCGCATATGGCGATCGTCTCCTCTTCCGTTCTTCTTCATACTCTCCTTTTTGGGGAGGAAGACGAACTTCCACAGTCACGCCACTGCCTGGGAGCGAATTTTGAGGCATTGCTCGAGTTGGAAGAGTACTGGCCCATTGTCAGGACTATGGTGAACCGTCCCTTGCGTTGAGAAATCGAATTTCTACTCTGACTGACCTTTTGCCGAAGATTAACCGATTGACTTATTTTCAGAATAGCTGCCTGCTCCTCTCCCACTGTTATCAGACCCATCGTCTGGATCGTTGGATGGTGCGATTTCTCTTTGAGTACGCTTTACCACTTGAGGACAAGGCCATCAATCCACACACTGCCTTGGAAATGGAGATTATCTCCACACAGGCTCATATCTTCTCCCAAAAAGGCCGTTTGCCTGCATTTGGGGCAAGCTAGCTCGTTCTACCAATCAAAGTGATACCCCAGATGCTGTCGTGGACACTTCAGTTAGTTCAGCTCATGTCAGAGGTTTATTCTTGTCAGACAATTTTTCATTCTACGCAGAAGAGGGCGAATTGTATTGTAACTTGATTGCGGAGAACAGGCGCCATTTGAATAAGTGAACTGGAAGTCATCTAGTTATACTAGTCTGCAGCCAGGTGTGGCCAACAAGCTAAGCTCTACCTCTTTTATCTTCAGCATGACGGGATGAGCAGTAGTCCGCTTCGAAAGCACCGGAAGAGAGTCACATGATACCCTGCAGTCCGTCACGCAGGCTTATTTAGACGACCAATACAGCAATCTCATAAGGCTTGCTGAAGCTTATGGAGAAGCTGCCAGCAGACCCGGACAAGGTCGTGGTAGTGATGGTACTGCTTTCACCTCCCAAGGACGGCAAATTGTTGACACTCGTGGAACTTGGAGCAGTCAAGGTGATTAGAGTGGCAATGTTCTTCGACGACCCCTTGACATTGACCTGCACAGCGTTGGACGAACCGGTCTTACCATTATAATTCACGAGCTTGAGGATAGTGGATGAGCTGTTTGCTGTTCCGGACCAGTAGACCGGGCCGAATCCCCCGTTCGTGGCAGTAACGGGTAGAGTTCTGGTGCCCATGTGGTCCGCAAAAACCTTCTGGACGTAGTAGCTGATTGTGTACAGGACCTCGTTCGCGGTGTGCTTTATAACGGCCACTGTGTCGGGCGCTTCGTTGTAGTTCTTGATCAAGGCACCATAGGCAGAGCCGACAATGACGTCCGAGTTCCTTTCGCAGCCCAAGAGAAAGATGGCTTCTGCACAGGACATACCCAGAGTCTGCGCTCCCACCTGGCCAATGTTGTTAGAGCCAGTGTTGGTCGCTGCATACTCGTTGATGAAGACGGGATATTTGCGACTAGCTTGGTCGAAGGTGTTGAAGAGGGAGACAAAATAATTCTCATTGCCGTAGATATGGAGGTCCAGAGAGCTGCCGTTAGAGTTGACAGGGTTTGGGTTGATCGTTGAGACGAGATTGATAGATGGATAGACAGCGTGGATGGCATTGTAGAAGGCCATAAATCGGTACGAATAGTAGGAGTTCGTTCCCCCGTTGAGGTAGTCTTCATTGCCAATCTCGATCCATTTGATGGTGAAAGGTGAGGGGAATCCCAGAGCAGCTCGCTTGGCCCCGTATGTGGTAGTTTTATCCCCCTGGTCCCGTTAGCAATCATTTCGCATTTATAGTGGTACATGGGAGGATGGGGTCAACTTACCAGAAGAAACTCCAACTCATTCATGACTGAATCCACATATGGCTTTAAGTTGGCTTGGGAGACGACCTGGCCGTCCAGGTACAGTCCAGCCCAGATGCCAAGAATCACCTCAACGCCCAGATCTTGTGCCATCTGCATCATCTCCAGCAGACCAAATCCATCGGTATTAATATCACCCCAGGTGCCTGGGCGACCGGGACGATCCAAGAGAGAACCGATGGTTTCGTTCCATTTCCATTCGTAAGGGGAGCTGTTGCCCTCCATATTATTTCCGCCAGGCAATCGGATATATTTCGAGTTCATGTTGAGCAACGCGTCGGCCAGGTCCTCGCGCACGCCGTTGATCCGGTTATCGAATGTCTGCTTAAACAAACTAAAAACATTGAAATAAACAGATTTTCCAGCAAGCTTTGACCCATCAAATGTGAAATAAAACGTGTTGTTGCCGTCGGAGCCAGTTTTGCTCGGCTGGAAAGTCGCGGAGTAGCTCTGCACCCATCCAGCAGATGACGTCTGATGGATACCCATACTGGTGGACCCGAGGACTTGCCCGGTCGTGGTGCTATAGAAGTAACAGTTGACTGCGCCGGAATAATCGCCGCGCATGTGAAGACTAGCGATGTACCGCTTGGTCGCATCCACGTCGAAACCCCAGAAGCCTTCATTATAAAATCCCACAGTCCCCGTGGTCCCCGCAGGCACGTCCATTCGCATCTGGTACGGCAAGCTGGATGAAATGGCGGGAGAAGATTTATCGATGGCCAGTGAGACTCCTCCAACAGGATGCCAATAATCCGTGTTACGTGCCAGACTGGCAGCTCCATCAGACGAGGATCCTTGGAAGGCTCGGTTTCGCAGCATCTCCCCATAAAGACCGCCATCACCAGAGTGGTAGATATCCTGTCATTCATCAGTTATAATTTCAGCTTTGCAGGGAGGAAGGAGAATCGCCGACTTACCTCGTACAAAAGCCCATATAGAAGGGAACTGGACTGATTACCACCAGACGAGGCGATGTCAAGGGTCAACGAGGCCGCGCTGGCAGCGAAACATAACAAAGAAGAGAGAATCATAGTCCGTTGATTGCAGACAAGCACCTTATGGGTCGATCTGATTGATACCTTGGCCTGCTCTGGTGAGCTTAGGAGACAGCTCGAGGGGACGGCCCTTTATACACATGCGACACCCACGAGCGTTCCCCGCATTTCAAAATTTGCCATGAAATCTACAGACCCTGCAGATTTAACCAGCGTTAATCCGAGGACGAGCCAATGAACTCAGCATTCTATAATTGTGGAAATATTCGGTGAGAGTTCCACCGAAGAGGCTGGCATCAAGTCCACTCGCCAACAAGGAATTAGGCCCAGTATGCGGGGCATGGACTAGTCATAATGCAAAGAAGAAAATCGATTTTACCTAATTTTGGCAGAGCCTACTCCCAAAACTGCAAATCACCGAGTGGATTCAACTTTCTCAAGACAAGTGACTTCCTCTTGCAAAACCTTACCAGATTGCCTCGGTACGATATCAGACCAGCCAGATGGGTTCGAGGCTGGGCAGAAATCACAAGACCAGTTAATTGAGTTTTCATAGTTATACTGATGAAGGTTCACGATACGCTGCGTGTTATATCTGAAAATCTATATCACATCTTGCCCTGGATTCGTTATGAATGGCGCAGTCGCCTGGGGCGGCCATGGCGAAGGACAGAAGGGAATCCTCCACTGATGCTTTCCAGATCCCACATTCTCCTCTAGATTGCTGGTACCATTTTCATCAGCCCGGACCTTGACCACTGCTTGACAGTTTGGTGGGACGACCAGATCCAAACAGAATGTCAGTTCTTCCCCTCGATCGACATCGTGAACCAGTTGCCATTGGCAGCTCCAGTTGCCGTAAATACTTTCGTACGACACTGCAGAGTACGTTAAAGAGCCTCCTGGTTGTGGAAACACCAGTGCAGTCTTCCAACCAGCTTCGAGCGGCCGCAAGCCGCCCACAGTCTCATGGAGCCAATTGACCACGGAACCCAAGGCATAATGATTGAAAGAAGTCATCTCGCCGGGGTTGATAGTACCGTTTGGCAGCATGCTGTCCCAACGTTCCCAGATGGTGGTGGCGCCCATAGTAATAGGATATAACCACGATGGGCAACCGTCTTCGAGGAGCATCCGGTAGGCCAAAGGGAGATTATCAGTTTCTGTGAGAGCCCGTAAAACTACAGGCGTACCGGCAAATCCGGTTGCTACGCGGAACTTTGCCATGCGGACACGCGCAGCAAGTTGATGCCTCGCTGTGGCCAACTGCTGCTCTGTGGATAAGAGCCCGAAGACGATTGCTAAGGAATAAGTGGTCTGGGAGTCCCCGACTATGAGGCCGGATGGCGTAACGTACTTTTCTTGAAAAAGGGCACGGAGATGCTGAGCTTTGCAGCTGTAATGTGTACTCTCTGTCTCTCTCTGGAGAACCGAGGCAATGTCAGCCATGAGAGATGTGACGTACATGAGATATGCGTCTGCTACCAGCGTGCCACTTGTTCGGCAATCACCAGGCTCGTCGGGCGGCGCTTGCGGGTCGAGCCAGTCGCCCAATTGCCATATCTCCGGATCCCACAGTCCGTTTTTGCCTCGACGTACTCCCTTGTCCAGCCATGAGATCATGCTGGGATACTGTCGATGTAAAATATGGCGATCACCAGATGATAGATATAATATCCAGGGAAGTATTATCACCACATCGCCCCACAGAGCTTGGGGAATGGATGGCCACACATGGTCCAGAACATTGGGTACCACCAGAGGGGGAACGCCGTGGTGATCTGATTGCTCGCAAGCAACATCTTCCATCCACTCTGAAAGCATGCCAATGGAGTCATAAAGGAATGTCGCAGAGGGGCCGAAAACCTGGATGTCTCCTGTCCATCCTAAGCGTTCGTCTCGTTGGGGGCAGTCCGTGGGGATAGACAAAAAGTTCCCACGCATACTCCAGCAGGCATTTCGATGTAATTGATTGATGGCCAGGTTGGAACACTCAAATCGTCCCGTTCGCTTGAAGTCGGTGTGAATTACCAGCGCCCGGATATTGCTCTGCCAGGACAGCTCCGTCCGAGGGTCCCATCCATCGACTTGCACGAATCGAAAACCGTGGAAGGTGAATTTCGGCGACCAATCAATCAACGGCTGCCCAGACGAGATAACCGTATCGACGCATTGTGCACCACGAAGGGGTCGCGTTCCCAATTCACTGTCGTCTTCCATGACCTCGGCGTGAGTGAAGGTCACCGTTGCGTTAACTGGGAGGATCATTGAATGTATGAAAAGCTTTCCGACCAGATTCTGGCCGAAGTCGAGGATTATCCGGCCGGCCGGGGTAGTGAATATCTTCTGGGGTGCCAACATCTCTGTTGTTCGTGCCGGGGGCGCGTTTGGGGCGTATAATCTCGCCCGAGGAAAGTCTAAAACGCAGACTCTCTCCCAGTCGGCATCACAATAACGAGGGCCATGTTGGTTCCAGTCGGCGACTTCCGCCCGCGCATCATACAATTCGCCGTTGTAGATTTCACTCTTCACGATGGGACTTGGGTGGCACTTCCAGCTGGTGTCTGACACAACCTGGAATCGTCCACTTGCGAGCCCATCAACCTCCAACTGAGCCATGACTGCCATCCGATCTCCGTACATATGCCGTTTGCCACCACCAAAGCCCAGACGGCCTGCATACCAGCCTTCGGCGACCTCGACACTCAGCACGTTATTACCGTTTCCGTATATCAATAAATCGACGTCAAACACTTGATATGCAAGTCGGTGGTGATAGCTTGTCCATCCGGGCGCCATTTCATGATCCCCAATTCGGGACCCATTGAGATACGCCCGATAGACCCCGAATGCCGTGATATACAACCGGGCTCGTCGCACGGAGCCAACCCTGGCAGGCAGTACAAATTCCTTTCGAAAGAGTACGGGCCTCAATGGCTCGTCTTCGTGGCTACTTGGAACAGACGGGCTGGAAATAGGCATTGCAGTCCAATCCTGCGAACTAAGAAGGCTGCATTCGACCGTTGCCCAAGACGACCAGGCAGACCAATCCGAGTGTGCGCGCTCGCTTGCTCTATCCTTCCAGCTACCATACACTCGAACTCGCACCTGGGCTTGTTCTCGCGACTGCAATGGCGTGCTCGGCCAGGGGACCGTTGATGAATCGGGACTTTTGAGAACGAAGTGAGATGGCGACCCAGTTTCACGGCACACTGAAATCTCATACTGGGACTGTGTCCAGTCGCAGATGGAGTCATCGACAGCAGAGAAGGTCCAGGAGATGCGAGGCAAAGAGCAATGTACGCCTAGTCCTAGGGGATGCTGCTCAAAGCGGAGTGCAGTAACCTCGACCATTTCTGATGATGTGGCTCAGGTATACTTCGATTACTCTCTGACGGAAAAGAGAAAAGAAAAAGCAAAAACTTGGGGGCAAAGGGAGGGAGAGACAGAAAGGCTTCCAGGCTGGACGCCATCTCCACGAGCCATCTTCTGTCGTCTCACTTCGCTTTCTGTTCTCCCGAGAAGTCGATTGTGCCTCGCAGGCCTGGTCATATTTTGTCAAGCTGGACCTACAGATAGCGGGATATCCACAATAATGAGACCCACGAAGTGACTGCGGAATCGCCGCATTGTGATTGGATTATTTTCCGCAGGTGTAATCGAGCCACCGGGAGGTTTCCTAATTAGGTGATTAGTGGGTCTCCTCGACTCGCTTCCTTGGCACCCGTCAGAATAGAGTTAACCAGGTTAACCGACTTAGTATTATTTACCCCACGTCTCGTGCTCGTGAACTTGTCCCGATCAATGTACATCGTGTCTCGCACATGTTTAGTACATTGCACATCGTGCCCCTGCGAAGTCGGTCGCTCTCGCGCCCATGGGCCGAGCCCCCCGCATGGAGATCTGCATAGCTTAAAAGCTGGGGATGTCCTTCGAAAAGTTCTGGTCATATAGCAAGAACTTCATTCTTTACCTATAATCAGGATCAATTGAACTCACTGGGACAGAATATGAGGTTTCCTCCCAAGGTATACCAGTTTCTGGTGGGCACCTTTGCTGCACTTGGGTCTTTCCTCTACGGATATGACCTTACTATTGTGGCCGAGGGTAAGCCAGCCAGCGCAGAGTTTGCCCCGTTATTTGTTCGCAGGAACTGACGAAGTTGTATCTCTCTTGGTCAGTGGTATCTAGCGGTTCCTTCCTGAACTACTTTACCCCGACCACCACTGAAATAGGCCTGGTCGCGTCGCTGCTCACGGCTGGTGCCTTTGTCGGCGCCGGCTTAGCGTACCCGTGCTCGGATTACTTTGGCCGCCGAGCAACCATCTTGACTGGTGGATTGGTCTTCTGCCTCGGTGGTGGATTGCAGACCGGTGCGCGAAATTATGGCTACGTCTTAGGAGGTCGTTTTATCTCGGGTGTCTCGTGAGCTTCTACCAAACTCTTTCCCGGGTTTGTGACTTGCGTCTGTTTTGAGTAACCAACAATTCATAGTATCGGTGTTCTCACCATGATCATTCCAATTTATCAAGCAGAATTGGTCCACCCCAATATTCGAGGCTTGGTGACTGGACTGCAACAGTTCATGCTCGGCATTGGTGGTGTTTGTGGAAGTTGGATCAGCTACGGCACTTATGTCAGCTTTTCAGACAACCGGCAATGGCGTATACCATTGGGCATTCAGATCGTTCCGGCTGCTCTTCTGTCCAGTCTGATCTTCCTCTTCCCAGAGTCACCTCGCTGGCTCATTAGCCAGGGTCAGCAGGAGAGGGGTCTACAGACCCTGGCACGACTACATGCCAACGGTAACACGTCCGATCCTTGGATTCTCGCCGAGTTTGAACAAATCAAAGCGCAGGTTGCCGCAGAGAAGGAACATAGCCAAGTCACATTATACCAGTGGATCATCGATAAATCAAACTTCCGCCGTGTCCTGCTGGCTTGCGCCATGCAAGCTGCCACGCAAATGACGGGAGTCTCCGCGATCCAATACTATTCGGTCACCATCTTTGTAATTCTTCTTGACCTCCAGAGCCCCTTTTTGTTAGATTGCTGACCGTGACTCCAAATTAGAAACAAATTGGCATTGATGGAACGGACACCTTGCGCTATCAAGCCATCAACTCAATCATTGGCCTTATTGGTGAATTGCTTCTCATGCTGATCGTCGATAAAATAGGCCGTCGTAAGCTCGTGGTGGGTGGAAACCTTGCCATGTGTCTCACATACGTGATCAGCACAATTCTTCTCGCCAAATTCCCTCCCGAGGCGAACAACACGGGCGCACATTGGGGTTTCATTATCATGACATGGGTTTATAATTTCTGCTTTGCCAGTATGGGATCACTGTGTATGGCCACCTTCCTTTCATTTCTATCGTTCCTTGGCCCAGTCACAGAACTCGCCCTTAACGTTTATTTAGCTTGGATGATCCCTGCCGAGATTTTCGATACAGCAACCCGAGCCAAGGGTGTAGCCTTGGGCTGCATGGTATCATTCGCCTTTAAGTAAGTCTTCCGTATCACCATAGAAGAGGTACAATGCTAATCTTTACTTCTTTCTCATAGCACAATGATTGGTCAAGTGACACCCATCGGAATGGCAAACTCCGGGTGGAGGTTCTACATCCTTTTTGTGGTCAGTACCCATCAAATCGCTCTCCTGGCCTCTCCTTTCCCTCCTGTGCTGTATTAATGCATCCTCTGGAAGGCCTTTACCAGTAGCTGACAGCTTCGAACTAGGTCTGCAATTTCACCAATGCTGTCTTCTTTTGGGCCATGCTCCCTGAGACAAAACAGTTGCCCTTGGAGGAGATGAAGAAACTCTTCACCGAGACCCCCTGGTTCATCGGCAACACTACTAAAAGCGAGCACCGGATCACAGAGGCCAGTATGCTGGCGCAGCGAATCAGGGAACAAGGACTTGAAAGCAAGAATGGCATGGCTGAACATGAGGAGGTAACCGCTTGATCGGAGTCGAGACCGGGAGCAAGTTGTTGAGGTGCTGCTCAAAACTTTGAGCGATCCTGAAGCAGCTGGATACTCTGTTTGACCTCCATCGATAAATACTTGTTGTAGCCTGCACATCGTTCGCGAAATTGGATCCTAGGCCACGTGTTGAATATAGTGGCTGCCGCTCCGCTAGGCAGAAGGGAGGTGAGATACCGTGACTACAAGTAGCTGGATCTTTTCCCATGTATTGAAAATGATTATCAATCTTGTGCTTTAATTCAGGGTTTCAACTAGTTATGAGCCTCTCTCTTTCTAACCTAGACTGGATCGACACAAGTGATCAGTTATCAAGAACCCAGACCTAAACCTAGACCCGAGACCCCAGACCCAGTTTTGACTTCCAGACAAGACTTGTTCCAAAATGGAAGAAGTTAGATCATATCGCCAGCTCAAGAGCAAGACCAATTTTATCAGCTGGAAACAAGGGTTGAGCGAACGGCCAGAGCAAATGGTAGCTCTTGAATTCCCCACAGGCGAAGGAGTCGTTCTACCCAAACCTAGAAAAGAGAAATACTTCGTGAGGGCCTGCTGATATCGAAACCCGTCCTCCGACTCGGAACAAGAAGACTCCAACTCCGACGACTGACGATGGCGACGAAACAGATGATGGTCAAGCACTTCTGTTGACCACCAACAACACTCTCCGATGGCAGATGGACTATGACGAGCGTAAAAATGCAAAAGAAAATGTGGAACTTGGCTTGCAAGTTTCTTGACAACTGCATTTCGGACGGCATTAAGATCAAGATTGAGGATTGCGCGGACGCCAAGCAAGCTTACGACTTTACCAAGAAACGATATGCAATCACAAATGAACGGGCGCGTGATATTCTGTTGAATCGATTAAATGAACTCAACTGGACCACTGCCTATCTGTGATCGAATACTTTACATTTTCAGATGATCGCCAAACAATGTTTGCTTAACAATGCATTCACCAGCTCTCGGAATCCCCTCCACTGGTCTTCGACTATCCTTCCATGTCTTCCTACGACACCTACCGACAATCACCCTAATTCTAGTCTCTATCTATCCCGTTACATCGAGGAACTATACGAAATCGCCGCCTAGTAAATAGAATACGGCAATGCTGTTTCCTCTCTAGTGCCTATGAACACGGCGCCGAAAATTGCCTACGTGGAGGACCTTATTCGACCGTTTAGTGTACACTACGTAAGAATGGTAGGCATTGGACTACATTAACAGCGGTAATAAGCACACTTCTACAGTTGACTTCCGAATAGCCTTCCGGTATATATTCCTCGGAGTATGATAGAAAACAAACCTATCTACTCGCCCCAGCTTAGCCCCTAGCTTAGTGAGTAGATAGAATGATTGTAGACGAAAGGTCTAACTTCAGAACCCGTACCCACAAGTCGGGTTAATACCTGAGACCCAAAACCTACACCCGTAAACCCGTGGCATTAAATTTCTTATTTAAACTACGGGTTTTGCAAGCCTTAGGGGGTTTTACCTTATATATAGTGGGCTGGTTCTCCCTCTTGTTGAGAATCAGCCTCGGTTTCTGTTCTAGAGCATGATCATGCGTACGGTCTACGAGTTCTTGCTTCAACTGGAATGAAGCGCCTGCATAGCGATTACGATACTAGTTCGGCTGCGTCAGGTTAATAGAACCTTGTTTTATTGATTCTAATGATACACTTTCCATCGATATATCCTGGAAGCAAATTCTCATTGACACGTTTCAACGAAAATCCAAGTCATAGCCCCAGTGGTCTAGAATGAAACAATAATCTCAGACCAGTTACAAAGCTAGGTTAGGTTGCTCCTTACAAAGCCCAAGTGCTGGAAACGCGAATTATCAAGACGAGTATCGTAGAACGGCGACTGTTTCATGGAACTTTCATTTTCAGAATTACATGAAATAATATACTTCACAAATAAGCCACAAACTGAGCGGAAATCCAGATCCAAATAGAACAGAAAGGCTTCAAGTCTCACCAGCAGAGGCTCACTTTGTAGACGGGTTCGGCATTCCAGAAGTATCAGGCCACTTGCGGAACAGATCCGCGAGATGATCGATCGGCGCCGTTAGAAGCCCCACCACTGTCTCAAATGGGGGTTTGTCTGGTGCACTAGGATGAGAACGCGAAGGCACAAACATCTTTGTTCGGCCAAAGCTCTTAGCATAGCTCTTGCTATCTTCTTCAGATAAGGCTTCTTCCAGCTTAGGCAAATCGTGAGTTTCTTCCTCTTTGATATGCTCGGACAAGTTTTCCATCAACTCCTTGATAGTAGGAATGAACTGTGTATCCGAAGGCGTCATGTTCTGGAATGCCTTCAACTGCTCTTTGACCTAAATGCATGTTAGTTTTATAACTAAACGTAAACGATAGTTTAAACTTACCTTCATATGCTCCTTACGGTCCTTGTTTGCCATATCGACACCACCAGAGAGCAGCTTTTCGAAAACAGGATAAACAACAAGCTCCTCTCCGATAGAGTGTCGAGCTAGTTCCCAGGTGAATAGATTCTGGAAGCGTGTTTGCTCATCCTTATCCGAGGAGTTGATGATCTTGTCATAATACGACTCAATTTCCCGATGGTCGTTTTTGATCGCCTCGCTAATGCCGGGAGCCATAGCTATAGGTGAGGTTGCAATTCCACGTCTTTGAACAATAGGTGATAGGAGTTGTCTGAAATGCGCGGCGGTTCTTGATGAACGAACAAACATATTATATCAGGATGTTCCTACCACAATCGCATTGGACTGGAAAGTGGCCATTTTTATAGGTAATTCGGTAGCAACAGCAGGGAAATGCGTCACTAGCTCTTCATGACCTCTTGGGCTCACGATCATACTGACGTATATTACATCCATGTATGTGTTTTCGCTGAAATCCTGAAGTAAACCATTCCATTCAAGTCTAGACGAACCTTGCCTGCAAGACGCACCAATCAGAAGAAAAGTGATAGTAAGCATCATAATGACGGGTGGGGGTTAGACTGTGGCAGAATCTTGCTAGCTTCCGCCCACACATTCAGATACAGCAAATCCGGTATATGACCAGCTTGATGTATATATTATGCAGACCAGGAATCAAAGCCAAGTAACCGTGTATGGATTGATTGATTGATTTATGGGTGCCGTCCCATTTTTTACTTATAATTTCGGCAGAATGGGTTTAGCCCGATGGCGGTAATAGACTGCCGTAAGCACGAACCACCCCATCAACCAAGATGCATCATTGCTTTCTCTCCGCATGTTCGTGATGGCAAGGGGCTTGGAAGTTCCCGTGAGGGGGCGGTGTTCTGCCATTCTGCTCGGCACCAAATCACAACAAATATATCACCAATGTTCTTTCTTTCTCACGATCGAGTCATTTTTCTCTACAGTGCAGTAACAGTCTACCCGTTATCCTACAGTAGTTTTTGGAACGGCTACATTTTTTACGAGTGATTTACCGGAAATCAGGTCGCCGCTGTGTAATGACGGCGGGACTGCAGTGGTAATGGTCATACTCAGATTGATGAGTCATCAGTTTAATTCATATGTCCCATAGAGCAATGCAGAGTCACCGGATACAGCAGCGCATACCTCTTGAAACCGCGATCTGGCGACATTGGCCGCCTGCTTTCCTCCGTTCCTCTTTCCCCCTGGTCCCGTCTTTCCCTTCCCCCTCATTCTTCTCATACGTAGCCTCCGTCTACGCCCGCCCGTCATCAAGCAGAAGGCTATGCTTATGCTGTAGAGAGCTAACCCTGGTACGCAAAATGTGATTCATTCCATGCCTTATTATCTATGCGCGTCTCCTTCGTTGCCAGCGTTGGACTGAAACCGGCTTCAAGTGTAAGCCCACAAAGGCCTTCCAAGGCTTGTGAAACCTTTCAAGGATGATTCAGAGCCCTAGAGAACACATCGATGATATATATCGGACTGTAGAGCGCGAAACCCTATGATGTGCAATCTATTTTAAGGGCGTCTCCCCGCTCTTTTGTATAGCAGCCTCTGTCCATGTTATTCAAGTGAAGATCATAAGTATGAATACAGCTACATCCAAAGGTTGGTTCAGATGAGAGCCAAATTCCTCGCTCGGCCATATCCACAGTACCCAATTCCTCTTAAATTCCACTGCGAATGCTCCTGCCCCTGTGAGTTGCCCCCAGCATCCGTTGCGCAACTCAAGACTTCCCTTTGGGAGCCTGGGGTCAATTTGATCTTGGCCGTCCACAATACCCAACACCACTTCGAATTACCGCCCGAGTTGTCCAGTTGCGCATCTATCCATGAGTACCCGCCATCTCCTGACACTGAAACACGAGTAACAGGCCCATCTGCGCCTTGGGGAAGGGCATAACCTTTTACTTCCACCAAACCGGTTGATGGCAACCTCACGGTTTCACCATCAGCAGGAACCGCAACAACAGAGTTGATCGGCATGTCATACATAGGTGGTGTACAGTGCCAGTACTTCTCCGCAGATTCACTGTCTATTGCATCCGGTGGAAGGACTTTGTAATCACGTTGTTGGTAGGCGTTAGTTGACTCGTGGTCCTGAACTGTGATACGGTCAAGCCACTTCACCCATCGAACACCCACAATACCGGGAAGAACAACTCGAACCGGATACCCGTGGTTTACCGTGAGAGGAGTACCATTCACCTAGAGGAAATCATGAGCATATATTATATTTAACACTGAGTAGGTAGTGATGAGAGGGATCTAAAATACCTACCTCTAGTGCCAAAATAGCATCCCTTTCCGCCTGAAGACATACATCTAAGGGCACGCTAGATTCGTACCAATTGTCGTCTTGACACTCCGCTTGGTAACAGGAAAAAGCTACATGAATCTTGCGGTTTGGATCAGTAGACTCTATGCACAGACCAGCTCGGAGAAGAATATCTCGAACACGAGGCCCCTTCCATTTGCAGTTCATGACAGCTGCGTCGTCCCAGTCGATTCCTTGGACTTCTTTCACAAGTGTCCGCATGGTGTGTCGCCTGTTTCCCGCGCACTCGAGCGCGCTGATGACTTCGTGTTGACGAAAGTCAGAACGCAGCTGATCCACAGTGAGCGTCAGCGGATCAACGACGAGACCGTCGACGCGGACGGTGTGCACTTCGCCATTTATATGTGGAATAGGTCCGTGATTCCGGTCGAAACCAATTGCCTGGGGAGTGAGGAAACTGTTGTTTCAGATCAGTTGTGGCATGATGGGTGGTATGTGCAAGAATAAAATGAGGTGAATAGGATTTTGTTGAGAAATAATACGTACCGATCAACCAAAGTCCTTACAGGGGGCTCCCTGTTAAGGGGCTTTTGTGTGGAGGATTCAAGTTTCTTGATCTTCCCTGGACAGGACATAATTAAATTCTTGGAACAACTGCAACTGTTCGCATCTGCTTATAGTCCCAGTAAAAATTGTTCAAGTACGTGGAAGTTCAGTTGGCTTATGTATAGCAACGTATGTGTTCATGACGTCATCGGGCGATAAAATGATACAGGAACACCAGGCCTCAGAACACAGACGTCGGTCGGTATTGCCAGAAGACAATGTGAGAATTCCTCGGGAAATTCCTAATTTGTGGGAATTCAAACTGCTGACGGCGTTGTACCATTATCATTATCTTCCTATCCGCCGTTTGTCCTGTTCGTCTCTCCTGTCTATAAACTACGAAGTCTCGTGCTCCTATGCTTCATACTGTCACACATTGCCGTAGGAGATAGCGCTTATTTTTGAAAATTGATGTGGACACTTTGTGTCAGAGCTATATCATTATGCTTTGGTGCCGTCGTGGTGGCTAAAGAACGTAGGTGCCCGTAGACGTGCGTTTTCGGTGGGTGACCCTTCGCACATGGTCACCGACATCCGGTAGAAAAGACGGCCACCCTACACTGCTCGCTACGGCGAACGGTACGGGGGATGCTTTCCTGGAATCCTATTAGGAGTATAAGGACGACTTCGATACGTCCTAGGCGGCTAATCTAGACCAGGAAGCTGCTAGCTACTGCTACAATTCGGGCTCGCGTTTATTCATCAGCTATGATACCCCTAAGGTTGCGCGTAAGTAGGGTGAGTACATCAAGTCTAAGGGTCTTAGTGGTGGTATGTGGTGGGAGCTTAGTGCTGACAAGCAAGGTAATAACAGTTTGATCACCATGGTATGTTTCATTCATATTCCACATTTGATCATACTAACCTCGAGCTTTGTAGGTGGTGAATACCCTTAAGAGGTACTGGGGGTCTGGACAAGAGCGAGAACCAGCTGAGCTACCCTGCCTCCAAATACGACAACCTGAAGGCTGTCTTCTGATCTTATTTTATCTTCTTGTGGATATCTAGTCCATGAGACATACTTTCGCTAACCCACGGAGTGGGATTTTATGGCTTTACATTGTGCTGTAACAAGAATGCAAAAGCACACACTCAAATTAGGGATCATGGCAGCTGCTGTTACACTCCAACATTTCGTCTATGCTTCATCGTGCGGGACGCACGTTGCATGCTGCCTCTTTGCAATCTCAAGAGCAAGCTACCTTCGTCGCCGACCGATTGCACAGCCTGCTTAACGACGCAGATATGGGCCCAGAATCCGAGCAACCTTGCCGTGAAGCTGTGGAGAGTCTACAGCTCGTTTATTAGCCTGAGTCATCGATAGGAGAGACACCTCCCAAGAAGGCTCCTGACTTGATTTGGACTTGGCCTAGTTTGCTGTCAGGCGCTTTCACTAATCTTCTCATGAAACGAAGGCCCGAGGCACTCATCATTCTTTGCCACTACGCGGTTTTCCTCCATAGAAGATGTCGCATATGGCTCGTACGCAATGCCGGTCAGGTGTTCATTTCAGAGATCACACGGTTCCTTGGCACGTATTGGTTAGACTGGCTCGATTTGGCGGAACCAGGTGCTCCAGGACCTTTTTTGAGGGCTTTGAGCTGCTTGCTGGGGTGAGACTAAGCTTATTGAGGCCGTGCTGCCTCTCATAACTAAACTAATGTTCTTCTTGGTATAGGTTCGCTCGAAATTAGTTCCACCATTTTATTCTTCTTTAAATTTCCAAACGGTATTGGCAAGTCCCACCTCTGCCCCTGTAAAGTCTAGGCTGGTGAGGATGACGAATAGGAAGATAGCCAAGATCAAGGAGCTGCTACTGACTAGACAAATTTGGTATGGTACACTTGAAGCCTAGCGTTGCTTTCTATTTTACCTAAGTGCCTCTCAGAATTTGAGAGATTATGCATCTACCGTATTCAAAATACGTCGTATATGTATACGAGCGACGATCAAACGCGTATACGCTCACTTCCCGCGCTCAAGGATTCGGCCGGCGGATTACGTACATGATCAAAGGGAGGCCCCCTACTAGCGTTTCGCCAGTTAACAAATGAGACGGTCAAACTGGGTACGATTAGCGTCCCTTAGCATCTTCGATATAAAGACGCAAGCTCGCAGATTTCTTGTCCAGTACCTCTTCGCCTTTTCTTTCAATCGACGTGTTCGCCCATCATCTCCGGTTCCGCAAAATGAACATCTCTCCGATCCCAGCTTCAGCATGTGCTGCGAGCGCCATCGCATATCCCGCGGTATTCGGTGCTGAGATCCTGAATCTTTCAGCCAATCTTGTTCTAAACTACTCCTCCGAAGTATCAGACCAGTACTATTTCAACAATCCTTCCATTAGTGTGAGAAACATTGACTACTGCAACGTCACCGTCACATATACGCATCCCGGTCAGAACGACACAATCAACGTTGAGACATGGCTCCCAATGAAAAATTGGAATGGACGGCTTCAGGCTACTGGAGGTGGCGGCTATGTGGCTGGTCGGTTCTTTCTGTCATATACTGCTATGGCTGGAGCTGTTGGAAACGGCTATGTTGCAACCACTACCGACGGCGGTATTGGATTGAGCCTTGTCCCAGATCCGTGGGCTCTGAACAGTCCCGGAAATGTAGATTTGTATGCTCTCCAGAACTTCGCCTCCGTGTCTTTGAAAGATCAGGTACGTATGAACAGACTTCCAGCTCTAGTGGCTATCACTAAGTCCGCATTTCAGGCTATCATTGCAAAAGAAATCATCAAAGAGTTCTACGGCCAGCCTGCGGAGTACTCATATTATACAGGTTGTTCACAAGGTGGTCGCCAAGGAATGATGCTTGCCCAGCGCTATCCAGAAGCGTACGACGGCATTGCCGCGGCGGCCCCAGCTTTTAACTGGGCTCGTCTCTTTCCTGCGCTTGCGTGGCCACAGGTCATGATGGAGCTCACCGGGCAATTTCCCCCGAAATGCGAACTAGACGCGGTTACAGCTGGTGCTATTGCAACTTGCGATCCACAGGATGGCGTCACCGACGGCATCATTAGTGACCCTGCTGCCTGCTCCTTCGATCCCTTCTCCATGGTTGGTAAGGTTGTTAGCTGTGATAACGAAACTACCACGATCAGCAACGCAGCTGCCACCATCGCCAACCTTACCTGGACCGGGCCCCGAAAAGCCAGTGGAGATTTTCTCTATTACGGTCTCGATTATCAATCTCGACTTACTGGCTCCGGAGATCAGAGCACCACTGCAGCTCTGGGCTTAGCAATGACGAGTTGCAGTTCGAATGGAACTTGTGTAGGATCGCCTGCTGGACTCGGAGAAGCCTGGCTGAAATTCATGGTCAAGAAGGATCCTAATTGGGATTTTTCTAAGATCATCTCGATTGAGGAATACGCACGCCTGTTTCAGGCTTCTGCCCAGGAGTTTGACTCGATCTTTGGGACATTTGATACTGACCTCTCTGCGTTTCGCGATGCGGGCGGTAAAATGATTACTTATCATGGCACGGTGAGTTACAACCACACAATCTCCTCTTCCTTCTTTAGAGTCTGTCGCGCATGCATTGTTTTCATGCTGACTTGAATAACGTTGAAGGCCGACGGTCTTATTCTTAGACAAGGAACCAACGAATACTACGATCGTGTCACAGAGCAGACGCCGAATGTCAAGGACTTCTTCCGCTATTTCGAAGTCCCAGGATTAGCGCACTGTGCTGGTGGAGTGGGAGGACAGCCAACAGCGACGTTCCAAGCGCTGGTCGACTGGGTGGAAAAAGGCGTCGTTCCGGACACGCTGCCGATCAACTTCAAGGATACAAATGGGACGCAGTATGAGAGGATTTTGTGCCCTTATCCGGAGAAGGCGCAACTTGTGTCTGCCGATTTGGATGCGACAAAGGCTGAGTCTTATAAATGCGGATTGTAAGAGCGCGCTATGTATATACGTCGATCGATTGAGGATGATTCGAACATGGTGATAAAACGGGCTGCGCTGGGGTCACTTTGCTCTTGGCGATTCGCAGGCACACCAGAAGGACGATCTCACTCAGCACGGCCACTGGAGTAGCCAAGCCTCCCTCATTCGTGTTTAATTGGATTCCTGATCATGTGCTCTTTGCATCTTGTTGGAATGCAGCAGAATAGATGATTCCCGAAGGCAGGAGATACTATCTCCCACCAAGATTAGTTATTTATTTGAAAAGAAACGCGATCTACATGCTTTAGGTGCCCTGTCCAGTGACTTGCAAAGCACTCTGGTAGGCTGTAGGCCAATTCTATGGGCGATGTGGTGGGTGCTAGAACTTAGGCGTAGTAGTAGCGCATTGTACGGAGAGTATCTCATCTGGTCGGGTTCGTCTACACGCGTATAGAAAGAGTGGGTCTTGTGAATTTAACTTGTGGGTTTACCGTGCGAGCTCGTTTCTTCTATACGGATTCGGAGCCTTATTCATCGTGAGGCTTGAGATCCATTGGCCGATTGCCGGTTTAGATCCAAGAACAGTCTCTATCTCCGTACCGTCGAAATAGAAGTCACATGTCTCAGTGCATACCACCACTCCCGTTGCCGAACGTGAAGTTTATTTTGAGCGAGATCTGATTGACAGGGCCAGAAAATTCCGAAATTGTGGGCCACTAACTGGTTCGTGCATACGCGTATAACATCAACCAGTCCACTTGAGCACTACGATCCACGGGATCATTGAAGGGGTCGGAGAAGCTGAATACGCGAGTGCCGTGAAATAGGCTGCAGGGTTTGCGCTCGGGCGAGTACATGACCTATCCCCCGCGACGCCGAATGCTCTTGGATTTGCGTATTCGCGTACAGCCGGCATGCCACGCAGGACGCATAAGAAGTCTCGCAATGGCTGTTTTGAATGCAAACGTCGTCACGTGAAGGTATGCAATAGTTAATTGTTCTAGACTTGATTGGAAGACTTACTGACTTAACTACCAGTGTGATGAGCGACGACCCATCTGCTCCAATTGCGATGCTTCGGAACGACAGTGCCACTTCGCGGGGCCTGCTCCTTTAATCATCTCCTCTGCACAAGCTTCACCCAGCACCAGCCACGACTTTGCCTCTGCTTCTTCCGCCACCAACTCACCTGCCCAACAGGGTGTACAAGGCCCCTGTGGCCCCGCCTCAGATCTTCCAGTTAACCTACTTCATGTGGAGCTTCTTCACAATGTATTTGTGGAAAGTGCCAATTGGGTTGACCCTCGCGAAGTATCATCTGGCATGTCGTTTCCTGACATGCTGAAAATTGGCCTTGAAGCACCCTACCTCCTTAATATGACGCTAGCTATAAGTGCTTTGAATCTCAGCATCACTAAGCCAGATCGTCGACGCTTCTATCGACATCATGCGACCCAACTTCAGAATCATGCATTGAACAACTTCAATAGCCTCTCACCTCATTTCGACCAAGAAACCTGCATCTCAACGTTCCTTTTTGCGTCGATACTAGGCATTTATTTACTCTGCGATACCCTTGTCCTCCGAGAAGGTCCTTTCGAGGGCTTTATCGAGCGTTTCGTGCAGTATCTTCGAGTCCATCAAGGAATACGAGCTGTCACAGCCGAAGGACGATGGGGCATCCTTCGGGAAACCAAACTTAAGCCACTCTTGGCCTTTAGTGAACTGCTTCCACCAATAGAATCTGATCTTGGACCGGTGTGCGAAGCTCTATTTGAACGTATCGAAGCCACGGAAAAAGATGAAGCAAGGCTCAACGTTTTTCGCCAGACAATTCAAGCTCTTCAGTTGGTGATGGCGGCGATTGATTTTAAGAAAGAACACTTAGGCGTCCATGCTCTGGTGGCGTGGCCAGTCATGGTGTCCCCAAAATATGTGGATCTGGTAGCATCAAATCAGGGAGAAGCTTTGGTGATTCTGGCACATTATGGCGCTCTTGTTCACTCTTGCCGTGATAGTTGGGTATTTCAAGATGGCGGTCAGTTTTTGATAGAATCAGTTACCCAATTCTTAGGACCCCCCTGGCGTGAATGGCTTGAGTGGCCGTGGAAAGCCTTGACCTGAGCAATTCCCTCCTAAGAACAGTGTTCCGACTGCATTCGCACGGAAGAGCTGAGAGTGGACATCGGCCCACATTGGGACATTGAGGTATATTTCGGTATTTCCAATGAGATACATGCCGTGCTGAGCTCGACTGAGGAGCAAGTTGATGCGGTTTTCGGTGCGTAGGAAGCCACCCTGCACTTTGAGTTGCTGCGAACCAGGGAGACAACGATCACCTTTGCCTCTTCGCCTTGGAAGTTGTCGACAGTAGCAAGGCGGAGCGTCTGGAACAATGTTTTCTTCTCGATTGCCTTTTGACCATTTGACTCGGGATTCTCATCTTCACCTTCTCGAACCCATCCGCGGTCAGCTCTCTAAGTCTCGGTCGCTGACAAATCTCGAAATCATTGCTAAGCGATTTTTTGAGCTTCCGTAGCTGCCCGGTATAGGGGTCAAGAGGGCAATATCCGCGCTCTTATACTCTCCCTGCCGAACAAGATGCCGAACAAGTGCAGTAGCCATATCGACCTCCCACTGGTTTCTATAACATTTCACACGGCTGCTGTCATCCTCCGAGTCTTTATCGCATCGATGGTCCAGTCAAAAGAGGTTGTTACGCATTCCAACAATATTGGGTAGAGCCGTCACGCTTTTATGATCCTCAAGTTTTGGGTAGACACTCGTTATAAGTTGCGAGATCTTAGGTCTTATTCTTCGCTGTACAGTTAGCTATGCAATAGGGGCAGGCTTAAGACCTGGCTCACCGACAGCGCGTCTCTCAAACTGACTGCTATCTAGCTGCCATGAGTTCCGTGTGGATGTTTCAGGACTGAGTGGATGATTTTGAATCTGTGGCCGCAGCTGTCGGTGATCCCCAATCTGAATGAAGTTCTCAACACCTGGCATGAGGGCTGACATGATGTGGGCTTCCATCATCTCAGCTGCTTCCTCGCATATAATGACCTTTGTTCCTATTTTAAAGTGTTAAACAAATGTCATAGGAACAGTCGTGCCGCACAAAGGACATGTAGTTGACCTGATTCTGCCCATTATATATAATTTTACAGGCTTACTGAATTACTCGAGAAATGTTTAAGCGAGCCCGACATAGCACGCGCTTCGTCTGCTGCTTCTAATAAAGACAAACACGTCATGATACGGCCTCTGCCTCCGCTGCTGCGGACAACAAGTTCGTTGGCTGCCTCGGTAACTCCACCTGCGTTCGATTGAAATTACCGACGGCAAAAGACCACAACGGGTGCAACGATATATGTTTAGCTACTAGCAACCTCGATCACCCTTCCACTTCCACCTTGATCCTTCATTTGGGGTTGCAGGTTAGGACTGGGTGAAGCTTGGCTCCCCTGTAAAGCTTTCGGAGAAAAGAAAACACTAATGGTCTCATTCAAGCGATTCCATCTTTCGGACTTCCGTTGGAGTAAGTCTGTAACAAAGTGCATGTGTCAGCTTGACCAAATACCACCGATAAGTATGAAGAGCTCCTCACCATTCAGAATATAAAGCAATTCAACCAGTATCGGCGCCCAGATCGCCAAGGCAGCAATCTGCCCGAACCCCCACTGATCATCTTCAAATTGATCTCTCACCAAGCTTCGCAGATGCCTTCGTTGTCGCCACATCATCGTCAGACCGACCACCATGCCCGCAGTCAAGAGTCCAATCAACAAGATCCAAAACAGCATCAATAACCTAAACAGCGACTTGTGTAACATGTCTGCCTGGAACTTTTCCTTGAGAGACTGTAGCCAGAACGCAATCGTACCCGCAACGGCAAAGATAGCGACAGTCCATGATGGATACGGGACGGGGTTGATGACGCTGTAGTCCGTTGAGCTGTGTGCGCAGCCATCCGAGGCAAGTCTCCAGTTTGCCTTGCTGTCGCTGCCCAGGTGGCTCTTGCCTAGGGCGACGATCACGAGGACAAACACTACAAAATAGAGCAGCACTCGCGCGGCCCAACGCGACATTGGTTGCGCGACGACCAGACAGAAGAATGTCACGAGGATGCTGTTGACCTGCAGGAATGCCATGGCCTGCATCTCGGCGATCTCAAACGTGGATGGGTTCTGTGACAGGTTTGCGAGCGTGGCTAGGGCGGAGGAACCGACGAAGAAGCCATTTGAGGAGAAGAAATTCGTCTGAATGTCGTTCAAGTCTCGGATGAAGCTGCTCACTGGCGCTAGGCTGAGATAGAGTATACGGTAAACAGGACCGAGGAGGATGGTAAATGCGGCTTGTATGCTATAGGCATACATCATCTGGATTAGAAGGAGGCACAATCGATCAGCTACGACATAATTGTTGTGAGAACGGAGAAAGCTTTTGTTTAAGAACTTACGCCGATCCCAGAAAGATCAGGGTTTCCCACCCCGTATGTGAGCAGGCACAGATTCTGGCACTTTTGGACCTCCACAGTGATGTTTAGGCCGTTCCTGTTGGCGTAAACGAAGAAATCGTTTATCGTATTAAAGTCACAAGTCCTTTCTTTCTCTACAACTGACGTCCCTGTGGGTGTAGCTGATGTTATGCTCGAGGCTTCGGATGGGGTTATTCCCTGCGGAAGTGCTGCAGCACCCTGTAAATGTAATAGGGCGTAAGCCACGAGGTAGTGCAGAAGAAGTAACATGGTCGCTTCTGGAGATCTGAAGAACTCTCCAGTGAAGAGCGAACCTCAAATGTGTGACTTTAATGAGAGGACTGCATCATTCCCCAGACACGGGCACGCTTTCTGTTGAAATGCTCAACGACCAGCAGAAGCGGCTTAAATCCCGCATTCTCGCCAAGAACACTGGTACACCTAAAGAACAAAACAAGCAAGGCTGACTTGACTCGCTTGGCAAATGAACGGGGTTCTACCTGACGCTTCATCGGAGGGCGTCAGCACCGTTTAGTCACCCTCCATGGTGTAACTGAATTAGGATATTCGCAATGCATGAAAATTGGAAAGGGATAGCGTAAATGGATTTTCATCCAATGATAAGTTCAGGGCTGGGCTTGGACAACGGCCCGCCCTACTAGCGCTTATGGACCTTGTCGCTTCGCAGTGGCACATCGGCTATCCCCCACGTCGCCAATTCCGGGTTTAATTAAGTTAGGTTAATCCATGTACTAAGTTACTGCAGGTCTGGTTGCGACTCAGCTAGCCACACTTTTCTCTTACGCATCCTTCAAAAGTTGCGCATGACATTGGTTCCAGCCCACTTTGAAGACATACTTTTGTGCCTGAGGTACCTGAGCACCTGAAACACCCCCAAACCTTAGGAAACTACAACTGCAGTTTTTAATACTGCAAACATTACATAAGGAAGCCATGCCGGGGACGCGAAACGACAGGAAGGAGGGTTGCCATCTATCATCACTAATAAGGAGCTTGCTTCGCTTTGCTCACCCGCGAAATGGAGACCTGATTCATCGAACCGAACCAAGAAATGTCTTTTTTGAGATGCATCTCGGACCAATGACCGGAAGGATAGACGACACAAAAATCGCTGGAGTAACTGTTTAAAAACAATATCGGAGTTAATGCCTCAGATGTCCCCGGCGAGGCCGTTTGGCCCCTTCCAAGGGTAAATATACCATCTCTGATAGGTTGACATAGCGATGCCCAGCAAAGACAGCGCTACAGCCAACCGCGTTGTGGGGGCGTGGGTGAGGAAATACGAGAACTGACAGGAAAAAAATTCCCAGGCTTATCTTCAGCCGCAAACATGATCCCAGTCCCGTTTCCCACCTCTTCTTCACAGCCAGTGGTGTCGGCTCGGAATTTCCTACCACCAATTGGAGGTGAACTGCCTCTACCCCAGTAGGAATATGAGTACAGCCGATTTCTTGGCGTTTAGTTTCAGTTTCCCCTTTTCTAGTAAGAAAAGTGCACACTCCCAACGGGTGGTAGGGCTACCAGATTCTGATCTCCAAGAGGTTGGAAGTACCGGCATGTGCGCTTCAGGGATGTTACAAAAGCTATGACATTACCTGTATGTTTCTCAAATTAGAGGGCCTCCAGGCACTGCCAGGGGTGGTTCTGGGGTGCTAGGCTTAGGTGCGACCAAGCTCGCAGTTGTTGATCGCCGGATCGTGAGAACAGACCACCGCAGAATTGTATCCTAGCAAGTCCCACCAGAAGGACTAACATACGGAAGTTTTGAGTAAGACTCCTCGGAGAAACACCCAACAGTCTGATGGCTGATTTAGTTACGAAACCAAAACATACGTGTCAAATTTAGCAGTCAGGAATAAATCAAACTCGTCACCCTGCGGCGATGCTCCGCATTTGATCACGTTGTGTCATCTCTATGTTGCTACCTCGCTCGAAAGCAACCCCAATCACAGATCTATAGCCACTGGCTGTCACCATGGCCGGAGTTGACAGTAACCCGAAAACTCACCCATATGAGCCTGCTCAGGTTTCCGAAGTAGACTCCGAGCCACAGACTGCGACCACAACTGAGTATAAGCGCCATCCAGTGTACTCCCCCAGCGAATGGCTTTTGGAATCGATCAGTTCGATTCTGGCCCTGGGCCTCCTCATTGGCATTGCCATTATCTTTTGGTATATGGACGACAAGCCTCTCTCTGCCTGGCGCGGCCGCATCTCTCTCAACGCGACAATTTCGATTCTGACAACTGCATACATTACGGCGTTGATGCATGGGGTTAGCACATTTATTGGACAGTCTAAATGGCTTCACTTCCAGAACGGGTCTCGCAAGCTTGCTGACTTTGAAATATTTGACGGAGCTAGTCGCGGTGTTTGGGGGTCTATCCTGCTGCTTACCACCGTCAAGTGGAACCTAGCCACCATCAGCGCATTCATCACGATCTTGCGACTTACGTTATCGCCATTCGCACAACAGGTGGTTCTGATTGAGCAGCGAGACATCGTCTTTTCTGCCGACACCGCCACCTTCGGATATGCGCACAATTACAGCCGGAATATACTGAATAACCTGGTAAACTCTGGCATCGGTAAGCATCGTCGACACCCTCCACAGCCAAAACAACCAGTGCAGCTAACATGCTTCTGACTAGGGAGCATCCCGCAGGATCCCGGTATGCAGTCCTCCATCATCCGGGGCCTATATGGCATCAACATTGCAGAACCTTTCAAGTGCCCCGGGGCATGTCGCTGGACGGGATCATACATATCACTTGGGTTCAAGGCCGAGTGCAGGAACGTCACCCAGGAAACATTGCAAGTGGCCACCTGCGAGGGTAAAGATAATTCGCTGCGGCAATGCAACATGACAACACCAGGCGGAGTCGACCTTGCAACTCGCGCTTACTTTACCGATTTGGCGACAACATACTACATGAATGCATCCTCACTGCTGATGAGCACATCAGCAACTAAGTTGCCTGATACCTTTCCCGAAATCACCCGGTTCGCAATCTATAGATCGACCCCGGACAGCAATTTTCGAATTCAAGACATCAACATCACAGACTGCTCTCTCTCCATCACGGCCTACCAATACACGGATGCCAAGGCCGATGGTAGTGATTTCTCCTTTGCGACCAAACGGGAGGTCGATTTTGGCATGAAGAATCCCTGGATGCTCGGGACCAAAGGAACCGAAATGAAATTCAAGAGCATGTACACCAACGAGTCGACGAGTGGTGATATCCATATCCCGGCGCTCGAAATGAGCTATGCTAGTCTCGCTGCGGTGGAAACTTTATTCGAGTCCACGACAATAGCTACCGAGTGGGTCGCAGGGAACTTTGTCAATACGAACCTCGGTGTCGCCGCTGCTCTATCTGGCGACGTGGACATTAGCAACCGGTTCGACAAAATGGCGACTGCCATGACGGACTATCTGCGGTACGGTCCGAATGCCCTGTCTGCACATGGAGAGGTAGTTCAGAGCGAGCCGTTTGTTTTCATCCGCTGGGGGTACTTCGTGGTTCCAATTGTGACTGAAGGGTGCGCGATTTTGTTCGCCATCTTGAGTATTTTTAGCAATCGCCGGAGCCGCGTTCCCCTGTGGAAGTCTTCGACGCTTGCTGTGCTGGCTTGTCAGCGTGAAAAGCAGCGTGGGCTCCTACAGACTACGGGCAAGGACATTAACGAGATTAAGGACGAGGCTCAGAAGGCTAAGGTACGGCTGCAATAGTGTAAAGCTAAAGGTAGTGTAAATGAGTTACGAGAAGGCCTATCATGATAGAGGATCTAGTTAAATAATACAGTGTGTTCAGGGATTGTGCCATAACATTGAAGCTATCCAACAGGGGATTCAACAGGTCTTCAATTTACATTAGGGTTTAGATGACGGTTCATAAGCTTTAACACCTCCTTATTATATAATCCTAATGTGTTAGTAGAAGAGTATCCGGAATTGCCTTTTTTTCCTTGGCGCTCACACCTGGTGCTCACCTCCGCTCACTGAGTAGATTCAAGGCTTTGCTGTGTTCAGCCCCGGGTGTGCCTGGTTTGCTCTCTGTGGCCCATCAGTAAGTTGCGGCCGGTAACTGTTTGGTGACTAGCATGTCCGTAACAGCTGCGCCTTTGCTCCCTGTGTGATTTTTAAAGTAAAGACTTCATCGATTCTTTGTTCAACGACCTCCCGGACGATTGCTGCTTCGTGGTTAGACAAAGCGATATTATTCTATCTGTATGCCTGAGCATTCATCGCATCGTTTTACAGCCTCTTGATATCGGTTGTTTTGCGGTGTTAACGCTATCAAAGCCATTGTACAGTCGGATGGTCGGAAGAAAAATTGTTGTAATTCAGAGGAATGACAAATTTTCTTGTTACTTCTGACGGACTACAAGAGACTATATACAACGCGAGGTCCAAGTTTATTTCTAATGAACTGGCTCTTCTTCGTAAACATTGCAAAAGAATTATTCCCGATGATGCAGCTTGATCCTGATCTGCACCAACCTCGTATCACAAAAAGTATCGCTTCGTCATAGTGAAACCAATAAGGGGGAATCCGTTGGTGCTTGTATTCGACCATTTCAGTCGACTTGGGAGGTATGCCAGCTACAGTACGTCCACTAAAAGAGCGCTACTGCTTCTCCGGGACTTCGTCAGTCTCCTGGCCATTGTCACTACTGAGGCCGAGCTCGGACTTCTCAGGTGCGGCATGGTCGTTGGTATCCAAGCCCAGCTCGCGAGACTGTTGGACGATCTGTTCGAAACTGAGCTTGGGCATGTCGTGGGCGACCCTGAACGGCATCTTCCCTTCGACATGGGCTTTGGCGTAGATTATGTCGACCTCCTCAAGCTCACGGCCGGCTGTCTCAACATAGAAGAAGAAGCCGAATATCAAACCGACAAAGTTAAATAGTGCGAAGAAGAGATAAACGCCCCATGGGCTTTGGCCAGCGAACAGCGGCGTGAACATGACCACGGCAAAGTTGCAGATCCAGTTGGTGCAGGTCGACGCCGCCGCACCCACAGTACGGGTACGGAGGGGGTTGATCTCCGGTGGGTAGATCCAGGGCAGTGGCAAGAGAGTGAATGCAAAGAAAGTGATAAAGAGGAAGATACCGACGGCAGCGCCCTTAGCATTCTCCTCGCTCTCCTTGATCAAGCAAGCGAATGTGATAACAAAGCTGAGCCCCTGGCCTAGGAAACCAATCAAGTACAGGTTGCGACGCCCAACTCTTTCAATCATAAAGAAGGACGGGATGGTTGCAAGGGCGTAGACGGTAGCGAAGACACCACCCATAATCAGAGACAGGTATTTCTGCATGTGCAGATTTTCCTGGAAAAGCAGCGTTGAGTAGTAGATAGCGGCGTTACAGCCGGTGAATTGCTGGAAAAACTGGCCGGAGCAACCAATAAGAAGGCGCTGGAATTCCTGGGTCTTGCCGAATGTGAAGACTGTCTTCCAGCTTGACTGTATATTCTTCGAATTTTCCACGTCCGTCTTTAGGAAGTTAAAGTCATGAAGTACTTGATCGGAATCAGGAGAGGCGTTCTTAAGCTTAGCGAGAACTTCGCAGGCCTCCTTGTCAAGTCCTCTCTTTACAAACCACGACGGGGAATCCGGGAGCATCAAGGCACCAGTGGCCACGATCAGAGCGAAGAAGATCTGGAGCGCCACGGGGAATCGCCACTGGACGGTATCCGCGGCGTGGGAGATACCGAAGACAACCCAGTAGGCAATAAAGGTGCCACCAGCAATCATCGCACCCTCAAAACAGACCAGGAAGCCACGATTGTGAGCGCCGGAGCATTCCGATTGCCAGACCGGGATTGTGGCAGTGTTCATGCCATTTCCAATGCCCGATACAACACGGCCAATGACAAACTGACCGAGTTCCCATTTACCAGTAAAGCAGACCGTTGTAAGCAAGGCACCAACGGTCAGGACATTGGCACCCGTAAAGATCAGACGTGTGCGGCCGAGTCTCTCGCCGAAGAACATGGAGAATAATGCGCCGAAGAAACAGCCAAGCTCATAGCAGGATGTGACAGCACCGCGGATGACGTTGATGTAGTGTGTTTGCGCCGCAGTCGCAGGCTCGGGCATTTTGAGAATTGGAAAGGAGTTTACAAACTCGTCGCCGTTGAGGAGGCCGGCCATCATGCCCTGATTGTAGCCGAAGAGCGCGAAACCCATGACAGCGGTAAGGGTGATGCTCACCCGGAGCGACCGACCACTCAAGCCGCTGGTGGTCGTCCACATGTTGACGGTATGGACAAAGTAACAGCCGTCAGTTTGTGGGGAATGGGGTAAAAGAAAGCTGGGGGAAAAAGGAGTAAGGAAGGAAAGAGGATAGGAGCGAGGCCGGGAGGAATTGGCTGTCTTATATCACCCTCCATGGAGAGAGACTGGACTGAACCCGCATCCTGGGTCAGACCCCAAACGGAAAGTCCAGCGAGGCTCTACAGTTCTCGATACGGAGAGACGCGGGGGAATCCTTCCTCTTGGCACCTTGGCGGATCTGGGCGGACTTGGCACTCCGGGGCCATGACTAATTCGGGGAGGCGAGACGAGGAGAGACAGAGATTTCCCCATAGGCCCCACATGGGCATATGGTACTGGCATTTGCCGAGTGTACACTGGCCAAAGCGAGCCTGCATGGCTCCACTGCAATCTCCTATCAAAAAAACACCCAGTCTTAATGACGAGCATAGATGAAATGTTTACGCGATATCCACCAGCGGCAAAGGACAAAACATCGATATTCTTAGCTCGCGTCAGCGAAATGGCAAGGAAGAGGCGACTAGGGCGGTATGTGTGTGTGCCAAACGTAATGTTGAGACGGAAAGGTAAGCCATCTACGTAGGAAGGTTCTCTGCCTTCGGGTGTGGTCACCTAATATCTTAGTCTGGAACTTAGTCAGAATATTAACAAAGGGTGACTAGACAGGGCAGGCTTGGCCGGTGGTGGTGGCGTGCGTTTAGACACGGCCGTAAGCCATGTAGATCATGTTACGTAGGCCAAGATTATCCTCGGGTTGCGGAAACGGTCCTTTTAGTGTTTCAGGATTAATTCCACGCCGAGGAAGACATAGTCAACATCCTAATCGAAGGTAGAGAAGAGTGATTTCTATGTATACCAACAGACCTTAGACAACGCATAACGGAAGGTAAAGCGGGGTGCACCAAAGCAATGTGGCTTGTTCGTCCGGAGCGGCAGCGGTGCTTGAGTGCTGTTTGGGATTTCTTATGCCGCCAAGGCCGCCCCCATCCTAACGCCGGCCCGCTAATTACGTCAATCATCGGCGCCGCTTGGCGCCAATGTGCCCTCGGAAGTCTTCTTCCTCCCGGTGCGTCACTTTCGGCGTGCCTCGGGTTACGACTATTGGGATTTCCTATGAGGACTGAGGTTCGGACTTGGCAAATTGCCGACACCCAGCTGACTCAATCAACTCGGCATAGCACTGCCCTCTCTCAAACAGGCAAGATATCCGGATAATTCAAATGATCACTGGTGTTACTAGTGTTGTAACTTGAACTGTCTTCTTCCCCCGCATGCTTTCGTGTCGGCTATCCGGAGCTTTTGCATGTGGCATGGTTCGGTGAAAGGGGTTTGCTTTATCAGTGGAGAGGCCCAAACGCAGGAAATGCAGGCCAGATCACAACAAACATCAATGTTTGTAAAAGCAAACAGAATTAGCGGGGCAAGGTATTGATACCTCAAACATAATGGACTTGATTCGACCAGAAACAACAATCAAACGACACACCGTTTGAAATGCAAAAAGCTAAATTTCAAGTTCTTCTCACCCAAGCTGCCCGAGTCATGGTGGGGCGGCATTGACCTTGGGATTTCTGATTTCTACGTTGCATTACGGATGGGGTAGCCAAGAAGACAAAGTAACCAATTGCTGACCAGGTTTGGCTTGGGCGGCTTCTGTGAATTCCCACCTAGCCTTTGAGAGTACTTTATCCTCTCGGCTAAGCTTGTCTCGATCCTCTTCTGCATCATCTCATAGGACCGAATGACACTATGGAAAGACTCTGCATATTGTTAAATTACTACAGTAGAATCATGGTAATTCAGCATGAAACCAGCTGTCGCTGGAGGTATGAGTAATTCAATGCGACCTAAAAAGGTTGATTTGTCTAACCATCAAAACATCAAACATGGAAAAAGGGTACATTTACGGTTCCATGTTTCGCCCAGATTACCTGTGCGATCCTATATAATTATGAGGCATATTGGCGATGACTTAGGAGTACAGTCGTTCTGACAGAAATGAGGCGAAATATCGGGACATTTCGGAAATTGATCGGCTTCGTGGAAGTCAACGGTTGACGCATTATACCGAGACGGTATGAATGCATGAGAATCCGTAGAATTCAGCATTATCACGCGGCGAACCAAAACCCGTCATCACTGGATCATATCGCGTCCGGCATCAAAATCTGGATGGTTAGCATTGCCTGGCCTCGGCTTGCATTTTGGCATAAACCGCCAATTTGATTGCTGGTGTAGTATTCCCATGTCTCATTTGTCAGTCAAATGACCACGCAAAGCTAACCACGATATATCAGCAGACGGGGACTTGAACCAAACCTCTCTAGGTGGCCATCCTTCTGGCGTCCGCTGGTATTAAAAAGAGAAGGCTGTAAGGAACGTCGTCACGGCATTAATGAGGATCGAAGCCACGAAGAACAGAATAAAGATTTACGCATCAACGCCAGGCGTT